GGAATTACTGGACGCTTTGGAGCCATCTTAAAAAAAAATCTTTACTCCTTCTTAAAAATTACAAAAATTAAACAAAAGAAAAAGAGAGATTAACTCCAAAAAAATTCAAAAAATCCTTCAAAATGAGATCATTATAATAAAAAGAAAAGAGTTAAAAAAAGGAAAAGGGAAAAAGAGAAAAAAAAATAATTAAATAGAAAAAAATCCATTCCATTTTTTAAAAAGTACTAAAAACAAACAAAAATTAAGCAAAAGAAAAAGAGAGATTAACTCCCAAAAAATTCAAAAAATCCTTCAAGAGGAGATCATTATAATAAAAAGAAAGAAGTTAAAAGAAGGAAAAGGGAAAAAGAAAAAGAAAAATAATTAAATAAGAAAAAATCCATTCCATTTTTTAAAAGTACCCTCTTTCTTCCCTCAAAAATTAAAAAACAAAAACAAAGGAGAGTTCAAAAAAGATTTCAAAACCACAGAACCACTTTCAAAAAAAAAAGTTTAGAAAGTTTAAAAAGAAAGAACTATATAATCCATTACATTCCATTTAACTCGCTTCTTTCCGGAAAAGAAAGGAAAAAAAAAAAGCACTTTCAAATCGCCATTTTACTTTCACTCTCCACACCAACAAAAAACAAAAAAAAAAAGATCAACATAAACTAAAAAGCAAATAAAACTCAATAAGTTCAATCCTTTATCCAGCTCTGTCCGCTTTAAAATTCCCTCACCCGATCCCTTTAAGCGCGGAGATGGTAGCGGCGTTTCACTTTGTTTCCGAAGAAACAAAAACAGCTGGGAGGCGGAGGCAACACGAACTCCGAGGGAGCTCTCTTTCACCCCCCCCCCCAAAAATCCCTGGGGGGTTCAAGAGGCTCTATCTCTATTCGTGTGATTCTCTACCCCCTCCCTTCACCCGGGAGGGGGATTTCAAGCTGCGGGACAGCTGGTATCCGCTGTGCTCCGCGGTTCTGACGCCGTCCCAGGAGGACAGCTACAATGTAGCCACCATCATCGACGCTGACCACCGGAAGAGCCTATATTTGAAACATTCTTAAATATACTCTTTAGAATCTATGACTGACTTTATGCACCTTTCCATAGAATCAATCAATCAATGATATGGATATATTCACTAGTACTATTTCATTAATAGTGCCATAATTATAGCACTATTATGCATTACACTTCAAGTATTATCTATATATTCACAGTAGATATAATTATTTTCCCCAAAAGAAACAATGGTTTACTTATGTTACTCCAAGTGATTTATATAAAATGGCTCTGGAGTAACTGATCCTATTACATCAGACACTATTTAAATGTTACCAGGATGGATTTGATTTAAATCAAGTCTATCTGAATCACAATTTAAATCATGATTTAAAACACTAGTAAAAAGGCTTGATTTAAATCAACTTGATTTAAATCATAATTTTTAAAGAGCAGCTGTCATCTCTGTCCCGCAGCGGCTCATCCTCTGACCCGCTGTTGACTCACCAACAGTCCCATTCACTTTAATAGGACAGTTGGTGATGCAGCAGTAACACAATAAGGTGAGAGACGTGGCAGGCAGCAGGTGAGTGGATGCCCGCTAACAGGCGCTGCCATGATGGATCTGAAATGACAGGTGCTCTTTAAATGTAAGGACTCATTCTTGCTGGTAGTTAGAATCTTTAATATTATTATTTGCAAACAAAACGAAGGTTTCCTATTTAGAATAATAAGTTATCAGGTTAGTAAAACAGTGACACCAGAATCGATTTTAGGTTAATCGCACATAGTTGGAGAACTACTCAAATTCTTTTATTTAATTAAAACACTTAGGGCCTGGTACAGATGCATTTCTCTTCAAACAATCATACAGTTTGTAGTGTACATAGATTTGCAAAACAATGGGATAAAGGAATATTCCTGAACTTTGTTTAATGATTAATCTCATGTTTACTGTGAAATTGTGTGAATGCATCAATGCAGTGCATGTTATCTCAGCTTGCAGAGCTTGGATTCACTGAATGAGTTTACCAAAATGTAAATATTGCAGAATATACAGCCTCGTGCTACATAACTAAGCTCCATTTCATACTGAATAAACTAAATTATTAATGCAACTTAAATAGAAAACTATATTTAGATTTTTACTCCAAAAGCAATAATTAAATTAAATTTGATAAAAATAAAAAAAATCAGATTTAAATCCCAAAAAATCAGATTTGAATTTTAAAAAATCTGATTTATTTTTTTTTTTTAAAAAAATCATTATTATCCACCTGAATGTTACATTATCAACAATATACTTGGCAATATATTAGGCAGCTTGTTCAGGCTTGCATCTTAACCTTAATCAAGAACTCTATTCCCCAAGCCATATGGTTAATATTTTTGAAAACAAGATATACCATAAAGGATATTATTCAATAATATAGCAATCTTCAAGGATAAACACTAAGCACAAAGGGTTTTTTTTGTCTATGCCAGTGGCTCCCAACCTTTTCTATACCCTGCACCCCTTAGAACACTTCTGATATATGAGAGAGAGAGAGAGAGAGAGACTTACAGCAGTTCATTTAGTAACCATTTGATGTTACAATGGCACTGAAAAAAGTGACTTATGACTGTTTTCACCCTTACAACCGTTGCAGCATCCCCATGGTCATGTGGTTAAAATTCAGACACCTGGCAACTCATATTTATGACAATTGCAATTTCCTGGGATCATGGATCACCTTTTGTGACCCCCCCCCCTTACAAGCAAAGTCAACGGGGAAGCCAGATTCACTTAACAACCATTACTAACTGAACTGCAGTGATTCACTTAACAACTGTGGCAAGAAAGATTGTAAAATGAGGCAAAATTCACTTAACTGTTTTGCTTAGCAACAGAAATTTTGGGCTCATTTGTGGTTGTAAGTTAAGAACTACCTGTAAATCCTTAACAGCCTTAAGCTTCTTACAGATGGATACATATATTTGCTTTCTGATATCAATTTTACAATGGAAGTTTGCTCCAACTGAATGACTTTGAGTAACATATGCAATCTGCTTTACCTGACTTTTCAGAAAGTCCATCTTCTATCTAATCTTCCGTTCATTTGAATAAATGCTAATTTTCAAATGAAAAATTTAACTGTTATGAAGTTAATAATAAATAGTTTACATTAAAACATAGCTTTGATTTACATATATTAACTCATAAAGTAGTTTGGTTTGAGGTAATATATGTGAATTATCTTCTATAATTTGTAACCTATGGATTCTTTCTTGGGATGGATTTGCATCTCTTACTATCTTAAAAACAAATAAATCACATTGTAGAGTAGTATTATATAAAATCAGGCACTGACTATCACTGAAAATTGTCAATAGAAACATAGAAAACTGATAACAGAAAAAGACCCAATGGTCCATCAAGATTTTTGTTTGTTTTTATTTTCTTTGAATTAATTTTTTATTTTTATTTATTTACATCTATTTTTTTAAAAAAATATTGTTGTTAGTAGATTGATTCCCATTAGAAATCAGATTAGCCCATTTTAGCTTTCATTTTTGGAGTCTTTGAAAGATGAATTGATATAACTCAGTCTTTATTTTTATTTTACACTTTTAAGTTTATATTATGGTGATTATATTTATACTGTACTTCACTGAATTGATCAAAATATGTGTACTATTAAATGCCAAGAGACTGCAGTTAGGAGTGGTTATAAAACTAAAGACTTAATACATGTTTTAATAAGTCATTGCTGATACTTAAAATCAATCTGATTACAGTAATCCATAGACATGGTTACCCTCCTTGATTACCCATGCCAACAAGCAACGGTACCAGCTTCGGAGGTCATAATGATTACTCTTCATTCCTTGACTTCAGATTCAAGTGAGCTAATCCCGAAAAAGAGAAAGAGCCGATTGTTATAATTTCCCTAAAGAACGGTGGGAGGGAGAAACAGGCACCAGCTAATCTCGACTGTCCTAGGCAAGACATCAATGACAAAAAATCAGCAGCTGCTTCGTGCTTGGGATGGATTTATATGAGGCACTGATACAAAATGTGCAAACCGCAGTTGCGCACGGAACAGCCACCTCTTTTTCCAACTTTGCTTTTGATTCTTTTTTTAAAACACTCCTTCTCCTCCTTCGCATTGAACAATCCTTAGAGCTACGAGAGGAAAGAGCAAAGCCTGTTCAGGAGATGAAAACGGCAGGTGAAATAGGAGAGGCAGGGGTGAAAATCTGGGGACAGGGACCCTTTTCAAAGGGAGGTGAGGACCTGGCAACACTGGAGGAAGGGAAGGAGGGAAGAGTGTGAGGATGCAATCGTTGTCATGCTTGACCAGCCCTAATAATGGATACAGGTCAGATTTTCTAATCTCTTGGAAGGAAAGCATCTCGCGGTCGTTGTGGAGCCCAGTGTTTCTTCTTAAGATAATATCCATCTAACATGGAACTGGGGGAAGGGACGAGGGAACCGACTGTAGAAATGGAAGAAGAGAAAGAGAAGGACAGAAGACAGCAATGGGCGGGTGCATAAAACCAGGGAAAACGCGGAGCCATGATCTCGGCTCCCCCTCCTTTGCTCCTTACCGGTTCCTGGGTTTGGCGTTTTTACACCTGGGCGCTTCCACCTCACTCCATTCAAGCTACGCGCTTCAGCTGCCTCTCCCTCTTTCGGCGCAGCGGACGGAGTGAGGCAACGTGGGAAGGGTAGGGATAGAGGAGGCGGGTTACGCTGGACTACAAGATGGCGGCCCCCCGAAAGGAGGTCGAGCTGCCTATCCCGTAAGGAGCTCGTCAAACTGCTTCTGCCACCCCCCCCGTTTGTTTTGAAACTACGATTCCCATCGTGCAACAGTGGGGCGGGAACAGCTCCTTCCATTCCTCCTCCCCCCTTGGAAACGCCCCTCGAGCGAATATGAATCGCAGAGCACTATGGGGCTCGTAGTCCTTAAGTGGGAGGCGCTCGTGCTGGTCTCCTCCGCCGGTTTGGACTCCTTCGCAGTTGCGCTGGGGGGGCGGGGCCTGAAGTTTGAGGGGCCTGGGGACTGTTGTCGGTCGTTGTGTTCTGAAAAAGAGCTGGTGGAGGGCGGGCGGCTCTCGGTCTGCTTCAGGGTACTGGGGGGCGTTTGCCCCCCCCAACACTTCCCGCGTCTGCCCATCGAGAAGCGGGCAGCAAGGCACGCGCACCCCAAATCAGCCTAATTCGCTCGGGGGTGATTCTGCTCTGGAGGAAGCCCCAACGAGGCGCTATGGGGCAGAGTTCCTGGTAATTCGCAGAAGGTAACAGACGCAAGTTGAGGTCGGGCCGGGTGTAAAGGAAAAGAGCGTACGTGTGGAATAGGGAGGCAGGACGCCCAAAGTCACCTCCCCACGCAGTTCCTGTAAGAAGGAAAAGATGAAAACTTTCCTAGTTGCTTATTATTCCGGCTGAATTAGTTTTGACTCAATTGGGAGAATAAAGTGGTTGCGTCTTTCTAATGAGTTATATCATGCACTCTGACAAAACTTTGGAGATGTTTATGTTGCTTCTCTAGGCTGCCTATGCGAGAATCAAATACTCGAAAGGCTTTGATTGGATTTTGAAGGTTCTATGTTCATAGTCCTTACTGGAAGGTTAGCACTAGTATTTGTTAACGTTAAGATGCCTAGCATGATATATCTTGGATCCTATTTGCAGCTTGATTACAAGTATTTTTATTATACGGTAATTCACCTGTCTGCATTTAGCCCAACAAATAGTTCAACCCGTTTAAGCAACATTGACATATCTTTCTGTTACGGATTGAGTTGTCCCCTGCATCTTTCTAATACATTTCAATGATTTGAATATTGACCTTAAGCATCTGACTTACTCCTTCTGTGTTCCTTCGTCCTTATTTTGTGGTAGTTTGTATTTGTAATTTTTTATTTGGGGAGGGGGAGTGGGGTGGATAACTTTTAGAGTTTGTTAAAGTTAGAATCTATTGATGGCTATAATTCCTAACTCTTGCTTTTGTTAACTAAGATGGATGATGTAGTACAGATTGAGAAAAGCTTTTCTAATAAAATTAACATGTTCGTCTTTAAGGCATAAATATTTTTTTCTTTGTTCAATCATGTCTGATCTCAGAAACTGCTTGGACAGGTCCCTGCAGTTTTCTTTGCAAGATTTTTTAGAAGTGGTTTACTATTGCCTTTTTCCTAGGTTTGAGTAAAATGATAGCCCAAAGTCACCCAGCTAGCTTTTCTGCCTAAGGCAGATTTCCTGGTTTCTAGCCTGATGCCTTAACCCAGTGGTTCTCAACCTGTGGGTCGGGACCCCATTTGGGGTCGAACGACCATTTCATGGGGGTCGCCAAACCACGTTGTCCGCCATTTTTTCCCTTTTCCCTAGCTGACCTACTCCCTCTTATTGGTGGCCACACCCACTTGGGGGTCACCACATGGGGAACTGTATTATGGGGTCACGGCATTAGAAAGGTTGAGAACCATTGCCTTAACCAATTCACCAAGCTGGCTCTGAAAAGGATATACACCAGTGGTGGCAAACCTATGGCACGCGTGCCAGAGGTGGCACTCAGAGCCCTCTCTGTGGACACATCTGCCGTCCCCCCAACCCCACCTCCACCCACAGCCCCCTTTTCACCAGCAGCCTCCCAGAGGAGAGTCGCCCCCAGGTGCTGTCCATGCAGAGCAGTGCAGCCAAGGACATGGCAGCCGGGCAACGGGGACAAGACTCCGCCCTCCCTGTTGCATGCAGATAATGCGGGGTGGAGGGTATGGCCGCCATGGCGTTGCAGCGGGCCGTGAAGGCAGTGGGTGGCCCTGTGGGCAGGCAGGGGGAAGGACAGGGCGGGGGCAGGGCAGGCAGAGCAGGGGGGCAGGGGGCAGTTCTTGGGCACTCGGTCTCTAAAAGGTTCGCCATCACTGATATATACAATCCTTTTTTAATGGAAGAATCTGTGATCTTACTTAGGGGACAATATGAGTAGGTTGTAGTCAAAATAGAAAGTATGCATGCTCAGATTAAAAACCACACTTTCTAATTACCCCCCCCCCCAGTTTTTTTTATATATTGATGTTTTCCACCTGTTCATTTACTCCCATCTTAGCCAATAATATTAAAACAATAACTTACAGAAAATCTTGCATTTGAGAAGGCAGGATTTTGTGAGATGATGACTTAGGTATATGTGTGCAAACTCTGAATTTAAAATCTTCCCTATTTTTAAAGTCTTGGCATACTTTGTTTAAAAGAAACCCATTAAAAGAACTGCAGACTTTGTTGAGGAGAATATTACTGTGTTGTTTGTGTGATGAAAAGTCAGTTGATGCAAAGAATTTTGGAAATGATTTTCCCAGAGTTCATTTCTGGACATACAATTTTATAAAATATGTCTATAGAAAGGAATAGTACATTTTTTTTAAAAAAAGTGATTGCTCAAATAATATGTTTGCATGATATGTTAATTTGACATGCAATCATAAATATATAGTATATTGTCAATATGTCAAATCACAACCAATTGTGCCTCATTTGTTAAGTTTGACAGTGTTACATTTTAGTAAAAAGTTAATGCCAGATCATTATCAGCTTTAGAGTTAAAAAGAGGTGGTGACCAGCTCTCTTGGTGTTGTTAATTTCCCTACTCTCCAAATGTACTTACTCCAGTTTCTATCTCATACTCAAAAGCAGTAGAAAGAAACCTTTCTCAATTTAGTACAGACAAGTAGTGCTATGGTTAAGTTTTGTAAACCTTATAAGCTATGGGTACCAATTGTGGTTAAGTCACTGTCATGATCTCATGGACACGTGATAGATCAGTCTTAATACAGATCATATAAAGAAATTAAAGCCCAATATTTTCTTCTTGTTATTTGTTTACATCATTGGCCTGAAAAGGCTTCTGATATAACTCCGATAATGCTTGAATATGATTTTAAATATTTTTGATGAGTTGTGCTAGGGATCATTAATTCTGTCCAGAACACTCTATGCTGGAGGATTTCTGTGGGTATTTATGGCCAAAGAGGAAAAGAGACATCTTTGGTTGATACTTGGATGTTGAATGTACTGTAATCTTTAATATCTTAATGTTCTATTTCAGAATAAATGGATTAACATGATATTTTCCATGAATTAAAACAGTTCCATGTCTTGTTTGGTAAGCATATATTTGTTTTAATCTTTGAAATCTAGCACATGTTAAGTTTATGCCTATATTACATGCATGTTGAAAATATAATAGATATAAAGAGAATAAGATTCTTTTGCCCACTGCAGAGCATTGCAGAGAGAGAGTCAGAACTTTGGTTTACTTTCCAGAATGAAAGCTTTAAAATAGAATCTTCTTTGAACTGTAAGAATATAGCCCCAAATTGTGTTTTAACGCCTCCTCTTACATCTTAATATACATTAAAATAATTATTACATCTTAATATAATGTTCTGGTTCAGGCCCCACAGCAAGTTGTTGTATCCCAAACTAAAGATTACAGGGATAAAATTAATAATTGCAAGAGCCACTTTACAGGGTCATAAAAAGGGAGTTACTTGGATGTTTTTAGTCCAGCATCTCTCTTATTTATATAGCTTTGAATTCAGAGAACGATACTGTAGTTTTGAAAAAGTGTATTTAATCATGATTTTTCAAAATGGACTCTTAGATGTCCCTAAACCCACCAAGATGACCACATTGTTTGGAAAGGGTTCATTTCTTATTGTGTATTGACTTTAATTCATTATTACTATGCAGTGAGATTGCAGTTTCATATCATAACAGATGAGTGTAGATTAGTGAGTTACATTTTAAAGGCTTTATTTCTCTACTTTCAAATTTCTTTTAGGACTGTTCCTGTATTCTACGGACACGAGTTGAATCCATTAGAGTAGAAAAGCAATTGGAAAACATCAGTAGTCAAGACTTGGTAAGATAAAATTCATCTCACCTTAACAGAACCAGTATTACGTTTCCTATCACAATCGTGTCTACGCTAGTGATAAAATGTCACTTGGCAATCCTGACTATCCCCATTGCTGCTGTTAAATGAGAATCACAGGTCATTAAGAGAAGACCTCCTTGCAACTTTCTGCTGGCTTCCAAAAATCTAAATCAGTGGGGAACCCAGCAGGAAGAGGCAACTTACAAGTGACTTGCAAGCAGGCTGGCAGACGAATAAGTTGCTATTGCCAGGTGGGAGAGGATGTGTGGGTGATAGCAATGGCATGCTCAAATAATTTGAGGCCTGGGAATGGTTGCTGCAGGATGGGGCAGACTTACTCGAGTGACTTGCGACGTTTTCTTCTGGGTTCCCCATGAATTTTGCTTGTGGGAAGCCAGCAGGGAAGGTCAGAAATGGTTATCACGTGACTGCTGGGCACTGCAACATCACTGCAAGTGCAAGCTGGTTGCCAGATCTCAATCATATGACTGTGTGACGGCTGTAACTTTGAGCACCAGTCATAAATACTACACATTTAGCACCGTTGCAACTTCAAATGATCACCGAATGAGTGGTTAATAAGTGAGAACTATGTATATATTAGAGAATTGTAATTACATACCAAATATAAATTTTTTGTCCTGTAGAGTATGTGGTAGCATTTTAAATAGGATATGTTTTTTAGTCTTTTGGTTTTAATGGACTTACATTGTATAACATTTTGAGTGAAAAGGATTGCCATGGCTTTTTTCATGGATTGGTTGATGGAATGAAAAGTATACCGTATCTAATCAGCCACATGGGGTTCTTTAGAAATTCAATATACTGAGCTTGATAAAAAAAAAAATCACACCCCAATTAAAGAAGTTCTTGCCATCAAAAACGAGGCAAAATTAAAAACCAGTTGGTGCTTTTGAAATGATACATAGACAGGAATATTGGCAGATTTTCAAAATTTATGTGAAATGACGCCATTTTAAACAATAAAAGTTAATAAATATTTTTGCTATTCAGACAGATGAACTTGCTGTATGTTGGGGTCAATCAACTCAAAGAGGAGATGAACAGATACCATGGTCCTCTGATGTATCACACTATGATCTCCAGGTGGAAATAGGTGATTGTTTTGTGATGGAAAGATGCTCCTATTTTGTCTTAAGTGAGAGATCTTTAGTGTATACTTGAATTGAAAATATAAATCAGAAATTTTACCCTTTGCCATGCCCTGCTATTAGGTCTGAGATATACTTTAGTTTTATCTTCATTAATGCTTGTATTTTACAATCTATTTCCATTTAACTTCTTGTCTTGCCTTTGATTTAGTAAGTCTTGATATTGGTTTTTTTTATTTATGATAGCTTCAGTAGTATAAGGATAACTTACATTGTGGAATCGTGCATGAATAATTGTTTTTCAGCTGCAATATCTGTCACCTCTTTTAACCAGAAGAAAATGCATCTTTGCATTCTTTTTCGTTGCCTCAGATCCTACTTGAGTGAATAAGATTGGAATATTGCCTCTTCACGATGGTATTACACAAGCATCTTTGTATGTTATTAGCACATGGTGCTGGTAATTGGTATGAAGATATCTGTTATGCTAATGAGCTGCTTAAGATTTATTTCAAATGAACTTCAATTGGTAATCCGTATTAAAATACCAATTTTGATTCTCATTTCATTTTTTGTACATTATTACTTTAAACATTTAATATGCTATACCAATATTCATTGATCTTGTTCTGAATACTTTGTTCATTTCTAAATTGCACTTGGGGTCTATTATTTGATAGTCCCCAGAGTATAATACAGTTAAGGACAGCTTTGTTCAGTGACTATTCAAACTTATAATGGTGCTAAAAAATTAGATGTTTGATTGGCTCTCAAATTTATGGCCATTATACTATTCCCATAGCCACATGCTCACAATTTGGGTGCTTCACAATTGACTTGCTTTATAACATCCCATGGTTACATGATCACCATTTGTGAGCTTCAAAGCTGGCCCCTGGCAAGCAGAGTCAATGGGGAATCCAGTAGGAAGTTGCAAGTTGCAGTCATATGACATTGTGCTTAATAACTGGGGATGATTCACTTAACAATTGCATGGAATTGACATAAGTCTGATATGGCCATGTGATGTTTCACTTAACGACTGTACTGCTTAGCAACAGTTGCCAGTCCCAATTGTAGTCATTAAAGGAGGACTACCTGTAATCTTTTTAAAACTGCTTTAGATTGTTTCACCTAGGGAATAGCTTTCAGAATCAGATTGTTGTCTTCTAGTTCAAGTCAGATATTTAGTTATGCTTGCTTTGAAAGGTGTTCTTTTTCACAATAGTTAAGAATTTGTGAGTCATAAGAAAATTTTATTTACTTACTTACTTTATTTGTATATCATCCATTCCAAAAGATTATTAGTGAATTAATTAGAATGTTAAGTGGTATATTACTTTTTCTTTATAGGAAAGGGATGCAACAACTTAACTTCAATCTACCTCGCCCGTCATATCCCAACAGGAACACTGGTGGCTGTAAGAATTACAGATCTGGAAAAATGTTCTGAAGAACTCTTAAAAGCTTTACAAGTAAACATGATTTTAAACTTGATATATAATAAGTTGAGACTTTTACCTATATCCCCACATTTCTAGTAATTCTAGATATGCAAAGAAATCCAGAAATATGCTCATGCAGATTTTATGCAGTTATAGCCTTCTCAAGTAATTTCAGTTTTATATTTCTGACATTATGATGAGGCATCAATTTTTTTCTGATTCAAGGATTGTTTTCAGATCATTAATGCCTTATAATGAGGTAGGGTAGAAACTAGGAGACTGTGAGTTCTAGTCCTGCCTTTGGCACAAAGCCAGCTGGGTAACCTTGGGCCAGTTACTCTCAGCGCTAGGAAAGGCAAGAATGAACCACTTCTAAAAAACTTCGCCAAGAAACTTCAGGGATCAGTCCAGGCAGTCATCAGGAGTCAACACTGACTTGAAAGTGTGCGCACACACACATATTGTCCTATGGCTAAAACTGTATGGAGTATTTCCTGTCTTTTAGATTATTAAAACATTTTTTTCTTTCTCTAGAATGAGGTGATATTATCCCACTTTTTCCGACATCCAAATATCTTGACTTTTTGGGCAATGTTTACTGCTGGAAGGTGGCTTTGGGTTATTTCCCCTTTCATGGCTTACAGTAAGTACTCTGCTTACAAAAATATATCCTTATTTACTAAATTCCTTCTGCACATGCAGAGCAGTTCAGTTTATTGGTACCTAGTTTGTGCAATCTTTTATATTTCTAAGTGGGATAATTACTTAAAAAGGAAACCATTGAGACCACCTTTTGAAACAGAGTTGCTTCAGTTGTGGGCTTTAGAGGCCAGTGCTAATGTGCTTCTTCGGTCATACACATCTATATTCTGCCCAGGAGTTCTTCTTGAGCTTCTTTTGAAACATTGCAAAAGATCAATTAATTTGATCATCCTAATTATGGTAGAAAATATCTGGGCCAGCCCTGACCTTCCTATATTTATAAAGATATTATGAGGAGTTACTACTAAATCTCAGGCTCTTTTTTTCTAGATTCAGCTAGTTGTCTCCTGAGGACTTACTTCCCTGAAGGCATGAGTGAAGCTTTGATAGGAAATATCCTCTTTGGTGCAATTAGTGGATTGAACTATATGCATCAACATGGTTATATTCACAGGTAATATGGAAGAACTTTATTGGAATCCATCCAATGATTTCAGCTGAAGCTTGAAAAGTTCTGTGATTATTTTATTTTATTTTCTTTTGGTAGCATTTTCCAATTAAGATGTATGTCCTTACCAAACACAACAATTTGTTTTCATTTCTCATTCTCAGATGGAATTCCAAAATGCTTTAAAATAGATTAAACCTGCACAAATATTCCAATTATTTTAATACATTGTGTTTGAGTGTGTTACAATATGAATCCTTAAGGTATTTTCTGATGAGATGCATGAGCTCATTAAGAGTTCCTTCCCTTGGCCTCTAATTGCTAACTTTTAAATTTTAAGAAATATTTGACGTTTCTAAATACTTTGTGGAGAATTGGTACAAGAGATAGGACAAAAGGAAAGCTTGAGCCATCTGTAGGAGTGCTTGTGTATAACTAAATGATCTCTTTGAATTATTATCACACTTGTTTACAGTGAAGTAATATGGACGTGTTCTATATGCTGTGACTTCTACTTTATAAGGGCTTAAGTTACATTATAGAGTTCTTCTAATAGGTACCTTCAGGTATAAAATGAGTATGTTGAGGTAGCAAGATCCCTATATAGTTTTGTGGAAAACAAATGAACAAATAAAACATATAATACAATACTTATAGCTTTATTAAAATTAGAACTTATGCAATATTATTTAAACTCACATTTTGAAAAAAAGGGGGGGGGGAGTCACCAAGCTAATTTTATTGTCAAATATTTAGACTTGAAATCTGATTGGGAGAGGCGGGAAGGAAATTAGAAACAAATAATGTGAAAAAATGGGTCACGTTAACCTAGAATAATTCTCTTATGTTGCACTGACCAAGGGATTGCTCATATATTTCATATGTGGGCTTTTAAAAAATCTTCCTCAGTACTAGAAACATTGAGGGCTATAATGGCTGGTAATGGCTGCTCATGGACCTTTTCTGTTTCATTCTAGCCTAGCCCACAGAGAAAGCCACCCAGTTGCTCTCCATTTTCTCTCTGTGCATGTAATTATAAGCTGAACTTTTGTATGGTTAGTTAGGGAGGCTTTGTGGGATGAATCCAAGCCAGTTTATCATCTCAGGCTTGCAGAGAAGTAGAATGAGAAAGAGTTGGTACTTTCTTATTTAATCGATCATTTGAAATTGTCACTTCAAATCAAGGCATCTTTTATATTGAGCTGAGCATCTTCACAGACTGAGATCTGCTATTTCTTAGTCAAGAGTAATTCTTAACTAAATTCAAGAGTAGCACAAGCAAGAGCAGCATCAAGTTTAACATAAGCAGTAAGCCTCAATTCTCTTTCTGATAAAGAATAGTAAAACCTTTTAAGCTATAGCAAAGATCATAGTTATTGAGAAGAAACAAACCTACATAGGTGATGTGTCAGAATCTTAATAGGTATTTAATAGGATAATCTTTCTACCAAGACAATTGGGGTTTTATATAATTTGTTTGTTTGTTTGTATTTCAGAAGTATTAAAGCTAGCCACATCTTGATTTCAGGGGATGGCCTAGTTTATTTGTCGGGCTTAAATCACCTCTATAGTTTAGTCAGCAGTGGACAGCAATTAAAAGCTGTGTATGATTTCCCCCAATTCAGTACATCTATGCTTCCTTGGCTGAGTCCTGAACTACTAAGGCAGGTCAGTATATATAAGATTATATTGTGTGGCTGTGCTTTCCTGCTCTATATATTGACTCAGAAATTCATTAAGTATTTAAATTCTGCACCCTATAAATTAATCTTAATTATGTTTAAAAATTATTTACAATTTTTAAACATTGGCATTTAATGTTTTATCTAAAACTATGCACTATGAATTTTGATGCATTCCAGTTATACTATGATTCCAAGATGTATATTCCATATTGTTTAAAATGGTATCTCTGAATCAGTATAGTCCCGTGTACAATTACCCTTGTCAAATTATCACTGAAAATTAGGACAAATTACATATGTTGTTATATGTACATAGTAAAATAGTTTTTTTTAATTCCTCTATTTCTATTGAGAAATATATTTTTAGCATTACTTTTTGGTAGAAGTTAATTTCCAGTATTCTGGAAAATAAATACATTTGTTGAAGTACTTGAGTTGTTCATATAACCCCTTCAGCTTTCTTTGAAATCATATTGTATAAATAATAATAATAATTTAATATCATCATCATATTAAGATTCTCCTATCCAAAGACTTAAAATATACTTCCCTTACTTTTTTTTCCATTTCATTGTATCATATATGGAAGAAGTTCCCATTTGAAATAGGTGATTTCCATAGATCTGTGTATATTATTTATATATTTTAAATATATTTTTAATATAAGATGACATACACACACATCTGGGCACATACATGTACACACTCATATATAAATATAAAATAGTCTGCCTGAATCAATCCACTTCTGGATGAAGTTCTCTTTACTGAAAGTTTTACATTGTAATGTAGTATATTGGTCCATTTGTAGCTTGGTAGAAAAAAAAATTTTTTTAACTTCTCAATCTCTTATATAATTATATTATTAAGGGATATTTTTTAAAAAAAATCTTCCTATTTATTGAAATATTTCATTTGAATGGAGCATTCTCTCTTTCTTTGTAACCCAAACCATTGTCAACATTTGCTCCAGATTTGGGGAGAAGAATAGACTATATTTGGATGTATGTGAAAACATCAAGGAACAAAAGACCATGTATATAATACTGCATTTTGCTGATTGCATGTGTTAAGGATTTTTCTTAAAAAATAATTTTCAATTGTTTTTAATTGATTTATCTTGAGAAAGCAGTGTAGACTAATTTTATTTCTTTATAGCTAGAATGTATTTAAAAACACAGTTTTTCCATTTGTATTGATATCAAATATTTTGCTGGAAATACAAGAACAAATACATGAATATTTTCCTTAAAATGATTTTGATTTATTGTAGCACTGATGGTATAGTTTACATATGAAATCATGAATTTCTTGAACACAGTGAAGCTCTTTTGTGAAGTTGCATATCATTGATATTTAAAATAGTTGAATACTGTACAGCCTAATTGTATGCGTCAGAGGTAGTCCTTTTTATTTAGTAGACTAACTTATCCACATGTACAAATAATAGAATTGTACATGGCATGTTTAAGTATTTCTCATCTGGGTAGGCATCCATTTCCTAATGTGCATTTGACAACCTTTGAACAATTGAATTTGCCTGATAAGTGTTTTCTTCTATAGGATATGCATGGATATAATGTGAAATCTGACATCTATAGTGTGGGCATTACAGCTTGTGAACTAGCCAATGGGCATGTACCTTTTCAGGATATGCCTCGCACACAGGTAAAGCATAAAAATCTCTAGATTAGGTTCTTAATAACTAATTGAATAACTGTTATTATCAAGAGCATAAGACGTTTCTTAATTTTGAAATTTTATGTACCCAGAGTTTCAATTCTCTAAAAAATTAGATTCAGTTCTCTAAGAAGTATAGTTCTGAGTAAATTTGGTTTGGATATAATGATTTCTCATTTAAGTTCACTGTTTACTTGGTTCATGCAAAGATCAGTCCATGAAGCATTGCTCTTGATTACTTGTTAAATTGCCCTTCCTTGGCAGCAAAGCAATATGCCATTTACCAGTGGAACAACTTGCCTTCAAAAGTTGTGAGTGCTTCCTGATTGGAGGTCTTTAAGAAGAGACTGGACAGCCACTTGTCTGAAATGGTATAGGGTCTCCTGCTTGAGCAGAGGTTGGACTAGAAGACCTCTAAGGTCCCTTCCAGCTCTATTCTGATTGATTGACTTGGATTTAATTCCCAATGAATACTGAACTGTAGGAAAACTGTAGGGAAAACTGCATGTTTTGTAACTTTTCCTGATAAATACTTTTGCAAAATTGTATTATTTAATGCAGCCACAATGTACTATTCTTATGTAAGCTAAGACAGACATTGGATATTTTGCATTCATTTAGTCATGGTGTTCCTTTGCCTCTTTGTTTCAAAATGACTCCAATATTGTCTGTATCTTTCTACCAGATGCTGTTGCAAAAGCTGAAAGGGCCGTCATACTGTCCTTGGGCTATAAACACTTTTTCACATGGAGAATCTAGGATAAAAAATTCTCAGTCAGGAATTGATTCTGGAATTGGGGAAAGCATGACATGCACAATGACAAGTGAGAGACTACAGACTCCACCTAAAACTTTCTCTCCTGCTTTCCATAATTTGATAGAATTGTGTTTGCATCAGGACCGAGAACAAAGGTAATGCTTTAAAATAATGTGCAGGTTACAATTTAATTATTTTAAACTGAAATTAGAACTATGTTTTGAAAGCCTGGTTTATATATGAACATCATACATAATTACCAAATTGTAATTGTCAGCAGGACATCCATGTTTACTCATAATTATCAGAAGACCTATAATATCCCCAGAGGGCAGCCACAAAATTAAAAAAAAAAAAATTTAAAACAAATTTTTAAAATGTCTGAAATTTCATGAAATCATCAAATTTTGAAATATTTTACTGTTTCATGTAAGTGTTCAGACATTTTTAAGTGTCATTTTCATATACTGCAATCCCAGGTTGTTGTTTTTCCATGCTAAGATTGCTGAGCCTTTAAGGAGTAATATTTGAAAAAATATATGAATAGATGATTTAACCTTTAGAGAGGAACATATTTTTCTATCCATGACATAGGTAGCATCTTAAGTATATTAAACTGTACCTTTATTAAAACAGTAATATTTATGTTTTAGTATGTACTGCTCTATCACTTAAAAGGTAGTTAATAAAACTATTCATTTTTAATTAGTGTTGCAAATTTGAAACTTCATATTTAAAGAGCTTGAAAATATATATTTGCAATATTTTATTTTTAAACTATTAATCTGTTGTAGCAAGGACATGTGGATGGAATAATTAAAATGGGGAAAATATTGATTCTTCTTTCAATCAACTGATTCTGCTAAAATTATAAGAGAGAAGAAGCAATTACCAGCTGTTTGCAAAGGTTAAACATCTAATCTTTGTTTTTTCCTTTGGGGATGTAGGCCATCAGCAAGAGGCCTTTTGTCACATGATTTTTTCAAGCAGGTGAGTTTATTATACATTTTGTTAGATACAGTATGTTATCTGTATAAAATCACTAAGGCTTTGGGTTTCGAAAACAGATCAGATGCTGGAAGCTGCAACATCTTTGATTTGAACAGGAGATATCTGTTTGGAGCAGTTTGAGTTTAATATATAAATTTGTGCACTGTGAAATAATGTATTATGCCATTTCTGCAAGTTTGATTTGTGTATAATAGGTGGTGTCCATTTATAAGTTCTGTTTGAGATTAAGGTGTTGCCTTTCTGATTTTGGTTACCAAACTGCAATTTAGAGTCTGCAACATTTGTTCCAGTTCTTCGTTTTATTTTAAAGAACCCATAGTATCTTATCTATGGTAGGCAATATTTATATTTGCTTGCCTTGCCCCACCTGCAGAACTGAGATAGCTGTTGGCATAAACACAGCTATTTTATAGAGTCAGCCTTTTTTCTTTTGAAACACATGGTTGGGGTTATGCAAAATATTAATTGCATATTTTATAGAGTGTGTTTACATTGAAATTCCACTATTATAAAACATTTCTTCATTACAAATACTGTACACATATCATTCTGAGCAGAGAGAAAGGAGGGGGCTTATAGCCTAATTCAGGAAACACACAATACTATTATATTGCTATTTATAAAATCACAAGCACCTTGGATAATATTCAGTATCACAAGAGCTCAGCTGTGATTGTGCAACAATTTAAATTCCTTGCCTAGTTCCCACCCCATTCCCATTATGTATGGATCATTCAAATATCTACTGTTAGGATGGATACTTGCTCCTCCATACATTTTGTTCAAAGAGTTTCCTTTTCACCTCTCAACCTGAAAAAACCACCTTTTTTAGCAATTAAGGACAATATAACATCATATCTTCTGCAGTATGGATTACTTATTTGTATCTTTCTGCATAAATGAATTGTAATTAATATTCTGTCTTTCACTCTGGGGCTCAAGGCAGCCTATGTGGCACTCTCACCTCTATTTTTCATTAAATGTAATTATTTGCATTTAGGAAAAAGGAGATAAGCATAAACTGTTGACTAAAGCAGTGATTCTTAAATTATTTGACCCAATATTGATTTTTCTTATCTTGAATAATGTCATTATCCCTACAAAAAAAATGCCATACTCCATGGTTTTTCACAAGAATCTTGGCAGTGACAGTCCGATTTTCATCCTTGATTAAAAAACAATTACAAATTTCCTCATTACTCTGATAGTCTGATTCCCAAATTATCCCCCAGTTTAAGAACCACTGGATTAAAGAATGGCCATTTTATCTGAATTTATAATGAAATTGCCATCTTTAATCAGGCCTATTGAACAATCTGTCCGGAAGCAGCCCTCGATTTTCATAGTCTTTTATTAGCAATCACTGTTTCTAAGAGTTGAGTTAGTAGCAATAATTAACATTTTGGCAACAAGAACTTGCACTGTATTTCCATAAACCTCTGAGAAGGTATTCATAATTTTTTTAATAGATGTGTGATTATTCCAATAACTGCCTTCTCAATTTTCAGGTGAAAGAAGACACAAAGGGTTCATTACTTTCTCTCTTGCCTCCTGCTATCAAATGTAGTCAGTCACAAATACCAACAGTGCATTCAGCAGCCATCTGGAATAAATCTGAATGTAGGTTGCCAAATGAGAAAAAGATATATTGGGAATTTTAGGAGTACTAAAATCATACAGGTGGCCCTCAACTTACAACCATTCATTTAATGACCATTCAAGAGCCGAGGTGGCGCAGCAGTTAGAGTGCAGTACTGCAGGCCACTTTAGCTGACTGTATTTAGCAGGTCAGCGGTTCAAATCTCACCGGTTCAAAGTTGACTCAGCCTTCCATCCTTCCGGGGTAGGTAAAATGAGGACCCAGATTGTTGGGGGCAATGTAAATATATATATACATTGCTTACTGGTGTACACCGCTTAGAGAGTGCTTGCACTTAAAGCGGTATATAAGTCTCATAAATAAATAAATATTAACAAAACTGAAAAAAGGGACTTGTAACTTGGTCTTTGGATTAGCAACTGTTGCAGCATCCCGATGGTCATGTGATTTCTATCTGTGACCTTCCGAGTGAGCTTCTGACAAGCAAAGTTGGGGGGGGGGGAAGCCAGATAACCATGGTGGTTCATTTAACAACCATAGCAAAAAAGGTCATTAAATTGGGCATTTCACTTAATAACTGCCTTGCTTAGCAATGGAAATTCTGGTCCTAATTGTGGTATAGGACTCCTATATTTCTTTGGAAAATAATGTGATTTACTTGCTGCTGTTGTCAAAATAGAGTTTTTGTTTTGGTATACTTGAAAATGCTAAAGGCTTATACAGATAATGCTATCCAGAGAGAATTTTTTTCAAAATGGTATTATGAGAATTTATTAATCTTTACTAATTGAATTGCAAAGATATCTGTACAGCTCTTTACATTTTTGTTACATCTGAACTGTAATGGTATCCATTTGTGTAGTAAACCTTTGCTTGAAATGGCATATATTGTTACAGTTGTTATGTGCTATGACTACCTTCCCAATACTAGTCTGAAATATTGTTCCATTCTTTAATATATTGTTAATCACTATCATCAAATTTATATCAAATATATAACTTCATTAAAATGTAATGTCTTTTTCTACTTGCAAAAAATATCAATGTGGAAATCTCCGAGAGCTCTGGATATCTACTACATAACCTTCAGTGGTTGCTGAAGTAGCCAACACTGTAACTTGAAAAAAGTAGCTGTTTTTAATGGAACATGTGTCTTTGAGAAATCAAATTAAGGAAAAAATAATTTGCCAAAGAAAAGCTTGAAATTACTTGACTTAATACTTAAGAATATTGCTTAATTTTCATAGCTTTAATTGTGGTTTGCTCTTCAGGGAATATATTCATCCTTTGAATAAGTAGCCATAATTTGAACCAAAATTTGTAGGACTAATATAAAAGTAATCTGTATTATTTAGGCAATGCACAAGAACTCTTGGCTATAAAGTTCTGCTGAACTACATGAATACAATGATTGCAACAACAAATGAACTATTAGCCTCCTGGCAAACTGTATTGTGAAACATGAGCATCTACCAATAGATTGTGATTCATAGCCCATTTTCTTTCCACTTCTTAGCTCCAGGGTCAGTGAAAGAACAAGAAGTCTGGTTAATATTACTTAAAGGCTGAGACATTTGAAAAACAAAAAAGATGACTTCTCACTCATCATTTTGTCTTTGTAGTTTTGCTTTTCTTGAGAAGAGAGAGTTCAGTCCTAATTACAAACAGAAAATATAAAGGAACAGAAAAAAGGCTGCTTTCTGTGAATAGTACTGTGAATAATTGAACAAAGTAAACCTAAATTCTTGTTACCTGTACAGCATACTTTTGGAGGTTTAATATTTTATTAATGATTTTTCAATAATGTACATTCTATTTACTCATGTAAAAATAGAAGTTAGTTTTAAGTATACAATCTTATTTAGCATCGCAAGTGTCCTTTTAACTAGGAAACTACTGAAGGAAAAGTATGTATTGTCAAGCTAATTATGACAAATTTAATTGTAATAAAATATTATTTAACAAAGATCATTTGAGTGAATGGCACCTTATTTCATGCTCATCAATAAGAGACTATACAATGCTAGCATTTTTATTTAGAAGCTCTATTGTTTTAGGCAGATTGTCAAGTAAGCATGATTAGGATAATACTTTAGAACAGACATGTCAAACTTGCGACGTCATGTGATGTCGCGCAACGTATCAGAGCTTTTTCGCCGTTGCCGGCAATGGGGTGGGTGCGGCTCCAGTATGATGAAACCGGCCCACGGGCTGGCAGTTTAACACCCCTGCCTTAGAACTATTTTGAGACCAGTCCCTAATGTTGTCTGTAGAAAGATAGTAGAAAAGCAGGTTAACCTAGAGAAAACTGCACTGTATTTGTAAGTGGGTACTAAAGTAAAGAATACATAAAAATCTAGTGAAAAACATTTACAGTGGTTCTTTTGCTGTGTCAAGAAATGTCTATTTTTGTGAGGAATAAACGTGATGATTTCTAATATATAGTAAAGATACTTTGAAACTATAAACTTTATGCTAAATCATGTATTTTATATGGGTGATCCTCAGTTTATGACCTTAGCAATTGTTCGCAGTTACAAGAATGCCCACAAAGCTGCTTACAATCCGATGTTGAAGTTATGATGGTGCGCATGCTCATGAGCACACAGTCATGTGATAGCATTTTGGGTGCTTAGCAACTGGCTCACTTTTTCTGCCATTTGCCATGTCTTGCTGTCACATGACTAGGATTTTTTATGTTTTTTGCCAATTTCTGTTGTTATTTCAAATTCCAGCAAAAAAAGCCCATTAAGGAAAATAATAGATTGGCTTAAAAACCAGTGCTTGTTTAACAGTTATGGCATCTGCTTAATAATTGCCAAAGAAAATGCTTAAAAATCAGATCCACTCGTGATGCTTCAACTTACAACTATAATTTTACAACCATACAAACTCACTTGTAGATATTTTTGTCCTAAATGGTGATTACTGAACTTACAGCAAAAAGCTTAAATGTTTTCAACTTCAAATTGGAATTAGTATTTTTCTGTTTTCTTATTTTATTCATAATCAATCTAGATTGATCAGTATTCTTCACATTTTTTTTCCCTAAGTGTATCAAACTTTGTATTAAAACACTTTTTGTGAAAAAGAACAGATTTGGTCCTAAAGGTACACTACCATGTCAGTTTGTAAATACATAAGAGTGACCATTTTATCACTTCAACATGATACACAAATTCTTCCTTGAAGTCATAAATTCCTCCTTGAAGTCATAACTGAAAACTAGTTTTTGTTCTAAATCTAACCATAGGTTTCAGTCACAAGCAGCTGTTTTATCAGGAATAACTAAACTGATACTTCTTTGATGATCCCTTTCAGAATAGGAAACAAATTTGGTGTTCCACTTTTGGGACATAGAGTTTCTAAAATCTTTTCTTTCCTGATATTTTCTTTTCTTGTGACGTTTAGTTTTCGTGAGTTTTGATTTATAGGTCAGTTTAATTCTTTTATGGTAGTTTAAAGTCTTTTTATGGCATAAACTTTTATGGATTAAATTCCATCTCATTGGATCTTTAAAGAATAGGCATACAATTTAATCAAGATGAGGGAAAATAGAGGAAAGTGAAGTCAGAGAGAAATTACATGCAGTAAAGAAACTGCCAATTATATAGAAGCATATAGTAAAAGTCATTTCAGTGAACATTAACAGGTGGTTAATCTGTAACTGAGTCTAAGTGGTCATTCAAACACTCCCCATACCTTCCTATTCAGGCATAGCAATTTGTATACCACTTCATGGTGCTGTATAACCCTAAGCAGTTTACAATGTGAGTATATTGCCCCCAGCAATCTGAGTCCTCATTTTACCAGTCTCAAAAGGATGGACGGCTGTGTCAAATTTGAGCCTCGTCAGGATTAAAAACACCTGGCAGTGGGCAGAGTTAGCTTGCAATATTGCATTCCAACCACTGCGCCACAGCATGCTCCTGCTGAACACACCCATCAACCCTTGGTTCTCAGACCACCATTGCGATTCATTAAGAATAGTGAGAAGATGTGGCAGAGGGAAAGAATGAGAGAAGCAAGCAACAAAAATCATCTGAAGAATCAAGTCATACATGTGCTGTTCTATGTGATTAATAGTGGCATATATGATGCTTTCAAATCAGTCTTGATTCCTGGTGAATATGTAGACAAGTACATACAATTTTCTTGACAATATTTTGCAGAAGTGGTTTGCCTTGCCTTCTTTCTAGGGCTGAGAGAGTGACTGGCCCAAGGTCACCCATCTGGTTTGTATTTAAGCCAGGACTAGACCGGTCTTCCAGTGCCTATCCCAATGCTTTTAACCATTATATCAAATCTATAGAGTGACAAATATACCCTAGCAAATAATAAGTGTCTAATTTTCTATCTCTTTAGTTCACATATTTTTAGTAGATTTTTATCCTGCTTTTATTACTTTATACGTAATTCAAGGAGGCGAATATACCTAACACTCCTCCCTCCTCCTTTCCCCCCACAACTATTCTTCACAGGGTTCTTCTGGAGAAAAAGAATATTGGGTTATGTTCGCCACCTTGTTTATTTATAAAGTAATAAAAGCAGGGGAGAGGGAAGCATTTATTGGCATGGAGTCAGATATAATCAGTATTTTGAAAATAATTATACAACTTGGACTGAATAGGTGATGTGAAAGTCCTGGAGGTTTTTAGGATCTGGATGGGGAGGAATAAGTTTAGATAGCAATCCTAGCCAGATGGTTTTGAACTGGATTTAATTTGGAAGACCTCCAATTCTAAGAATATTCCATTTTTGATTCTGGTCATCAGGAGGAGATTATGCTTCCCTATACTAAACTACCTCATAGCACAGACTTGTAGCTTCTACTCAGACAGTAGGTGCGAACGTGGCCAAGGGGATAGACGCATATAGTACTTTCATCTGATGTGCCATATAGACACATTTATAGAAGATACTTATGTAATTTGCTTAAAGTCAGCAACAATTGGAATGGCATGTTATAAGGCACATATTACAGAATTAAAAACCTACTAGCTTGATTCAAAGAATAACTGACCAAATAAAATTTGATTACAAGGTTGTAATATAGGAGTTCCATGTTGCAATCTTAATTAAACAAAAAAGTCTTGGCATCCTGGATCAATGAAAAGATTGATAAAAGTAACTCTTTCACTAAACTCTGAACTGTTTAAATCAACTGCATTCAGCAGAGCAAGCCGTCTTTGCGAAGAAATCATGTTTCAGTCCACTCGTTGATGAGTATGAGTGTTGTACTCCAGTAATTTTCAAAGGCATCAGGCTGGGACAAAAAGCAGAAAGGCCTTTTTATTAAAATAAATAAAAAATAAGGTTGCTTTAATAATAATTCAAATAAGTTTTCAAGCTTTCTGAACTAAAATGTACTAAGAGCGTTTTATTTTTTATTATGACCAGGGGAAAATAATAACCCAAAAGCACACTCATAGGCTGGTTGAGGATCAGAAGGTTAAGATTCATCCATTATTTGGGGGTCTGGAGTTCTGCCTCAATATTTTGTGGAGAATCTTAAGAACAACTTCCAACTGCTCAGGTGTCATTTTTAAGATTTGATCCTGGTTGTTGAGCATGTCAAATATCATGCCTGCTTGATTTCTTGGAGTTTCCGGTGCAGAAGGAAACGGTCGAAGTGCATCTTTAGACATGAGACCAGCAACATTTGGAGCCGAATTTGATCTTGCTTGGCTGCAGCTCCCTTCGTCAACGCCTTGTAAATCAACAAGTGCTCTTTCAATTGCTTTTTCAAGATGTTTATAAGCTTCCAAATCTAAATCTTCAATGGCAATGGAATTCTAAGCATTGAAATAAAAAAAATGTATGCATGTATCATCATGACGCTAAATCATACAAAGACTTTTACATAAACTAGGAGGTATCCTTATTGTATCACCAAATTGCATTATTTTTGCCTTTTTGGGTACCTTTATTTCATCTATCACATTCATCACACCATTAATATTTGCCTTAGATTAGCTAAGAAAGCATCATTTTGCATCCTGCCTGTGGTGGTACAGTTTCTATTCTGAAAACTTCTAATTCTGAAAGTTTGTCTCTGTGGCCTTTCAAAAGTCTGCTACAGAGAGATTTAGATTTTGCAATCCTTCGGGGATTATAAATTTAATACACAAACAGAACTGTTTTAACTAGAATGATATATAAAAAGTGCACATTCTGTAAGAAAACATTTTGCCTGAAAAAAACGTATACAAATTTTCCTTATATAAGGAAGTGCTTCCCAACTGGTAGCCAGGTATATTGGAAGAATTCCCAGAACTCCTATCAAGCATCCTTATATTATGGTAGTTCTAACACAACTGGAGGGGCCAGGTGTCTTTTTAAAAGTTTAAACTCCAATACTATGGAGATATTCTATAACTGTAGAAATGATTCATTCTTATTTTTTAAGAACAAGAATTCTCATCTCACAAGCCAAATGTTCTGCTCATTTTTTGTTTTTAAATTGTGGCCTGTGGGCCCAACTTACTTTGAGTTTATACAATGCATTAGAGCAGTGGTTCTCAATCTTTCTAATGCCGCGACCCCATAATACAGTTCCCTATGTTGTGGTGACCCCCAACCACTTATACATCACCGGGTGCCAGGGGCGTGGCCAAAGGGGGAAAAAATGGCGGACAGCCTTCTTTGGCGACCCCCGTAAAATGGTCGTTTGACCCCAAATGGGGTCCCGACCCACAGGTTGAGAACCACTGCATTAGAGCAATGCATTAGGGGTGTCAAACTGCTGGCCCGTGGGCCGGTTTCATCATACCGGAGCTGCACCCACCCCATTGCCAGCAATGTGGAAAATGCAATATGTTGCGCGACGTCATGGGATGTCGCGAGTTTGACATGTCTGCATTAGAGAATATAATCAATCATCTTCAAGAACAAAATTGATTATGTTCTTACCAATGAATTGGCTTTTGTATGTCCAGTAGTAGGAAATTTAATTGTAGAAGGTTTTTCTTGAACATTTTTTGATAGTTGTGAATCAGATAAGGTAGCAGTCTTGCTAAATGATTTTTTTTGTTTGATTTCATTATCACGTTTCTTCTCAGGCTTCTGTTTCATGCTTTCCCTTTTTACACCACTCATAGATAATAGTGTTTTTGAATCCTTTTTGTTTTCTGTCGTGCTCGATTTTTTAGAAGGCAACTCGCCATGTTTTTTTCCATGTTTTTCTTTTAAAACATCCTTAGAGGCTCGGCTATGTGCTTTTTCCTTCTTGGCTGAAGGATTCGTCCCTCCTTGCTGGTGCAATGCAGTGTCCTTCTTTCTGTCAGACTTCTTGGTTTTGGTTTTGTGATGATACTTGCAAGTTGGCTTTGCTTCTTCCTCAGACTCTGGGTGTAAAAAGAGAAAAGTCTGAGGGTTCACTGGAAAGGGAGGCTTGGAAGGATAATTAGGAGATTTGGAAAGATAATTTTTAATTTCAGTTTGGGCTCCAATGTCATGTGCACTCAAAAAAGAGGAAAAGGCAAATGGTTCAGATGTTTTCCTCAGTGGTTCTTTCTGGGGCTTATTTTGTGATATTTCTTCGTAGGACCTTCTCTTCAAATCTGATACCTCTAGATTATCAGGGTAACCTGGCAATCTGTAACGTTCTTTTTTACAAGTGTGTTTCACTTTTTTGCAACCAGATGTCTGGGTCTCTTGGTTCTTTGTTTGTACTTCGAAAATACTGTTCATAAGACCACCTAGATTTTCCTTTTTACATTTTTCACTTGCAGTTGATGCATGAGGAAGGTTTTCATGTGAAGGATGTTTTGCTTTGTCAGGTAAACCTACATCGTCGCTAACTTTTGAAATGCTTTCAATACTTGATATAGATGCATCATGATCCATATCCTTATCAATTTCTTTGCTAATCCCAGTTTTGGAACTGGTTGGTACAGGAAGCTTTTCGAAGCTTTTTTGCAAAACAGATGCTAAACCTTTTACTTCTAATTCCGAAAGTTGCTCTCTGTGACCTTCTTTCAAGAGTCTGCTACAGAGAGACTTTAGATTTTGCAGTTCTTCTTCAGAGAACCTATCTTGTAGACTATGAGTTACATGGGATATTTGCTGTACACTTTGCCCTTCTTTAGCTAAGTCTGGTCCTTTCTCTGCCCTGAGTGCTGTTTCTTTGGCTACAACTGGAAACACCGTTTCGAGTATTTTTTTTAACTCTTCCTGTGTGATCAATCCAATTTCTGAAATTCTCTCTGAGAGATGGTCTTGGATTTTCCTGTTCAATGCAGACTTTAAATTGGCAATTTCATTGTCTGAAAGGGCCTCAAAAAGATTTTGAATACTTTTGCTTAACACACTGTCATCAAATCTCTCATTAGATTTCTCCTTCAAGTTCAAGGACAACTTCTGACACACAGTTTCCAGTTCTTCTTCACTTAATCCAGTTTCTGAAAGTTTATCCTTAAGGTGGTCCTGAATACTTTTGCTTAAAAATGATTTTAAACTTTTTATTTCTGCTTTTAAAATCTTTTGAAGGAGGGTATCATGGGGGGAAACATGTTTTTTTATATTAGCTGTTTCGGTGCTGAATGGTAACTTTACTTTAATGATTTCTAATGATGTTTTTGAGGCTACATTTGTTAAATCCAATTTTAGTTCTTTCACTGGACTAGTTTGGCTTTTAAGAGGTAATAAAATAGACTCATCGTGATCGCCTTTTCTGCCTTCATATAAATCTGCCTCCGTAAATATTGGCTTGCTTTTGTGACTTTCTTTATTATCGAAGGCTTCAGATTTGGAAAGTTCTCTTATATCACTCTCACTTAATGGTTTTATGGTTATTATTTCAGTTTGTGAAGTTACTTCTTTCGATAAAGCTTTCTTGAGTAAATCACTAGCATTCTGGAGAGAAACCTGGTTCTCTGCTATCACCATATCTGGGATTATCCCTTTTTCAGACAATTTTCCTATAAGTTGAGCCTGCAAATGTTGACTTACAACATCTTTCAGTTCACTAATGTCTGGTTCTGAAAATGCATCTGTAGTACTAGTTGTTATTTCCTTCAAAGAATGTTTTTCTCTGTCATCTAATGGGCTGCTGTCTTCTAATTCTTGGGATAACTCTGGTCCTGAAAGTCTCTCTGCAACTAGGTTTTCAATGTTTTTGCTCAAAAGTGATTTAAGTGCTACCACTTTTACAACTTTATCAACAAGAAAAGTTTCGAGAGAGTTTTTGAAGTAAACATTAACCTGTTTTATTTCTGCTTCTGTTAGTTTATCTCCTTGTGGCTTTAATTCAGATGTTATAGTTGATGGCTTTATTGCTTTTTCAGCTTCCACTGTAGTTTTTTTGTCTTCCTCTTCCAAATCAATTTTTTTTTCAAGGAGTCTTAATATTGACAGTTGATCACTACTTCTGATTAATTTGGGATCTAAGCCATTATCTAATTTTGTCAAAGGCAGACCTGGAGGTGGATCCTGGTCTTCTTGTTCTTTGAAATCAAGAGGTGTGTATGTTTTTTCTAAAAGAATGGAATAGTCTACTGTGCCTTTAGTAAGCTTAGGTGGCTGTACTTTACAAACACGTCTCAAGAAGGGTTCAAACTTGCTTCTACTAAAAAATTCATCTTGGAACTGCAATTTAAAGAAAGAATGGTAGAATTAAGATCTTTTGAAATCTTGATTATAAATAATGGGATATATAAAATGTCTTCTTTGCCAGAATTTAAAATATATTTACAAATAGCTTTGTACCATATGTGCGTGCGCGTGCGCACACACACACACACACACACACACATTGTGCACACAGAAAAATGACAATAAAGGTCTATCTATCTATCTATTTAAATTTCAACTAAATTTTCAATGCAATGAATATAAATAGAAAAAATGTTTTGAAATATTTAAAATTATACACACACTTTCATTCATTAAATCTACCTAAATGTCTTTGTTGTAAAAATCAGTACATGAAAAAGAAAGTCTTTTCATCCTAAGATTATATTTTACCTATGTCACAAATCAATCTTAATCAGCTTTAATGTGCTAGCTGTACAATGCAATATAAAGATTACAGGGGACCTAAAAAGTTAAATTTGAATTAACAAAATCTTATGTTTGCTCACAACTGTATCTAAACATTCAGTGAGACAGACACATAAGTTATGATGGAGTGTAGACATGCCCCCCCCCAGGATTAAAGAACACCTAAAATACCTAATGCATGGTATTACTAATCTTTTATCATCAGATTATAATATGCATCTATCTAAAACAAGAGCACTTGTTTTAGATATGGTGCATATCTAAGTGTGTCGAGCACTTAACACCTCAAGCATTCATAAACTATTCTCTGCATTGATGTAGCTATGCAGTGCAAGAATAATAGAAACTGTTCCTTACAATATATGTAACTCTGGTTCTTCAAATGGCCATCTGTGAATACATGCTAATAGGTTCTCCACCTAAACAGAACTTTATCTACAACATTTCAAAATTTAGAGGTTTTTGGTAGAAACCATTGTGTTGGTAGAAACCCTTCTTGTGTTCTGTTATCAATCTCAATCACCAAAACCTTATACAACAACCCTTCAAAACTGAGTGATATCTCACTACACTGAAGTAGAAAATGAGGGTGGGTTCTGTATCCAGAGATCACCATTTGAAGAACCACAGGTCCAGGTAAGACTTGTCTTCATCAAGATTTCTGTGATCCATATACGTAGAAGGGGCAAGGCACTCGCACCGATGGAGGAAAGAACCGATCTCTCAAACACTACACCCCTCTGGGTTGAATGAAAGTGGAAGATGGACCATGTAGCTGCTCTACCAAGTTGTTGGCAATTGGATATGCTGAAAGAAAATAGCGGTGGGTGGATATCATAATGGTAGAATATGTTTGGATGGGGAGCAGAAAGTGATGCTTTAACAAATCAAAGCAGTCTTATAGTGGTCACAGTCCATTTTGAGAAGTATTATAAAATACTCCAAGCCTGCTCTGTTACCCTTAGAAGCAGAAAAACAGATGTAAATCTCTGAAGAAGACATGAATGATGTCAGATAAATTAGCTGAGCAAACCAAGCCTTTTGTGCAACGAACAGTAGCATTTTGCTCTATAAAACTGAGAAAGATACAAAAAGATACCCCTAAACTCCGCTGAAGATGTTACCTAGCCTGCTAACGAAATGTTTGGAAACCAACCCACAAGCTCGGAGAATAAATCTTCACCCTCAAAGATACAAAAAATATATATGCCACAATCTTTTCCAAGATGGCAAAATGCCTACAACAGAATCACTGAGAAACTGCCTGAAGTGGAATAGGTTCCGTTGCTCCTTTATCAAGTTACATACACATCCTCTACTGAATGGTTGTTTCCATAATTTGTTCCGTGATGATTGGTTCAAAATTTAATATTGGTTGCCCTTCCTGATAAGTGAAAATAGCCATGCATTTGTAGTCATGGAGGAATGAATAGACTGAAAATGTACCAAATAGTTTAAGTGGGAGAAACCCTATGGCACTGAAGTAAAAGTAGGCAGCTGGATCTCTGGAATCATTCCCTGCAGTGTTAAAACCTGATAACAAATCTCCTATTCCTCAAGATTGTCAGGCTCTTTACCAGCTGCCTGAAGAGGGCAGTAAATCTTTCCAAACTTAATTTTCCCAGAGTTCAAAATGGTTGAAAGAACTGACATTACATCAGGATATTACAAATTAAAGCAAATATTCTGAAAAACTGGTCATTTTCCATAGAATAAGACTGGTGAACTTCAAGGCCTAAGGCACTAGTAATGTATAAGGGTTGTTCAGTATACAGTCTATTTTCTTTGACAGGGTGGCATGAACTGGTTAGCCCTGTTGGGTCTATAGAAAGAGGAATTCCTCAACAGTCAAAATTTTAATTATGGTCACGGATCACAATTTAAATGTTAAATAGAAAAATTATAATAAAATTATTTTAATACACGAAGGAGGAATGCACACTAATTGCTTTTTGTCATGGAAAGAGGAAAACTTAATTATACCCTTGCAAGAATCATGGTTGAACAATATTTTGGTGGGGTTTTTTTTGAGGATATATTCAATGACATAGAACAGTGATTTACAGGAACTGATTTACAGAAATGGATGATATTAATTCAAAGCATCAGAAAAAATGAAGTGCTGAGGAAAGAGATTGGTGTTTATAATGTAGTGATACAGAATCCAAGTAAAAATCCTTATTGTCTTGGAGATATGGAACTACCAATAGCAAGGAACTGATGCTCAAAATTTTGAGGTCCTTAGTTCTACGGGTCTTTTAATAGCATGAGAGTGTTAATTATAATGCAATTACAAGACACCTTCTAAGTGAACTTTATTTACCCTTTATTATGTAATTGTAGAGTTGTATTTCACTTTAAAATTCAGTTTTAATCCTGTGTAATTAATTACTTCTTACCGTAACCTCTTTCCATGGCCATTGCTGTTCTGGTTCAACAACTGAATCTGGAAATGATTAATCAGAATGAATAATTAAAATGTAGGAGCAATTAAATATGCATTTTATAGCTACAGTATAAAATACTACTCAACGTCTGTGTGAAATTCTTTCACACAGGGAAGAAAATGGCTTATCAGAAAACTACACCTCCAAGAAATGAGAGCAATTTGAGACTGTGGCTTCCCCAAATTTAAGCCACAAAATCGGCTTAATGTGGAAGTGGTAGCTAAAGTTCTGAAGGTATCTTGAGTTAACTGCTCCACTAAGTTGAGTTTGGAGATGGCATGCATCTATGAGCATATTTGTGAATGATGTTTGTGTGATGGTAGAAATGGATATACTAGTATATGTATAGTTATTCCGAGCAAATGTTGTCTTGTGCAAAAACAAAAAAACCCAAACCCTACACAAGGCATATAGCAATCAATTTTGGGCTAGAGGACATATTTGGAATTTTGTAAGTATGTTGTGGATGCTCTTTGGAAAAAGAGAGAAACTACAGCCACCTTCAGTTGCTCTCTATTTTGGCTTTTCCAAACTACTCTTAGGAAACAAGAACTTCAGCCTTATAATGGCTGTGAAGCTCCTTAAGGGATGGCAGAGCTGCATACTCAATTTCTTATTGCAAAGGAAGCAATAAATAACAATCGTACCTTTCTATATAGTCTTACACTGAGAGATTCAATGCCTCCTCTATTTTTCCCACATTATGGTTGCAGGATTAATATTGCTGCCCCAGTAAAATGTGAGAGCAACTTTGTTTTGGCTTGGGGCTGCCACCTTGTTCATTCCCTGCTAGGAGGCCACATTTTATAATACTTTGATGTAACCAGAGGGGCAGATTGAAATCTGGGGGTCTATTTTTTAACTCTATCCAAATAATCTGGGGGGGGGGGAAACAACAGCATCATTCTGGTTACATCTTTCCTGTTTGTTTGTTTTTTAATTCCAAGGATCATTACTATCAGCTAAAAATTAAAAGTTTTACACAAACTTTTCTGGAATTCTGAACATACTGTGGCCTGCTTAGAAAGACATGATTGTTATACATATATTTGTTTCATTAAGAATTTAGGTGCCATAGCCTTACCTGAGATTCTCACAGGAATTTCAGAAACAGAAAATGATTCCTTTGAAGTCTTAGAAGGCAACTTATTAAGAAGAAAGGAATAGTTACTTTCATAGAATAATAATAAAAATACTGCATAAATGTATACCAGAAAATCAGTATGCAAAATATACTGAAGGGAGAAATATATCTAGTGAAGACTTTCTTTTCATAGATCTAACTTGCAAGTGATTTGTCTACATAACATTACAGTTGTCACATACAAAGATGTGTCTTTTCGCTTCATGCAAAGAGAAAACTACATTTTCCCAGCTGTTGCATTAAAACTGTCTATACCAGTGTTTCTCAACCTTGACAATTTTAAGGCATGTGGACTTCAACTCCCAGAATTCCACAGCCAGCATTGCTGGCTGTGGAATTCTGGGAGTTGAAGTCCACATGCCTTAAAATTGTCAAGGTTGAGAAACACTGGTCTATACTGAGGATTACTCAGCATGAGGTCTAACCCCATTGGAGAAATGTATTCCTAGCACTGCATTTGAAACTCACCAAAGCCCGCCCAGGCCTTGCTCTGAGGGTTTTTCCTCACAAGCAGCCTCTGTTTTAATTTCTCTAGCAAGTCTACATCTAGCTATGAAGCCCAACAAACTGGGAGCAGAGGGAGACAAAGTTGTTTTTACCAGTCCTGGTTGATACACTGAACATGAAACAAGTATGGTTTTCAGTTCATCCATTTGGTAATCCAGAACTAACTAAAAGGACAGACTTCTTAGTTTTGTTGAAAGAGGAGATAAAATGTCATCCTATATAATTTTTCTTCCCTGCTCTTTAAAAGTGTGGTGAGCTACCAGCAGAAAATTCATTTTGTTTCTCTTCTAGGCAGCAAACCTATTTGTCTGGATGAAATTCCAGTGATCAGGTAATGGTGATGGTGATGAAAAGCTGGTTAATAGGTGCACAGTGGCTCACAAGGTTAAAACGCTGGGCTGACAATTGGCAGGCTCGCGTTTGAGACTCATTGCTGTTGCAGGGCGGGTTGAACTCCCATCACAGGCCCCAGCTCCTGCTGACCCAGTAGTTTGAAAGTGGGAGACCACAAGTAGATAAATGGGTACCACTTCGGTGGGCAACTTCACAGGGACACAAAAGGAGCCTGAGTGTCACCTTGGCAACGGTGATATCACAGGCAAATCCTTTAACCACAGAAACACTTTTGTGTTTCCAACATGAAAGTAGTACTAGAAACTGTTTAAAGCAATGCTGATACAGCTGTTTTAAAAAATACATCTGCTCTTGCTTTTTAATTCCTTATTAATTCCTTAAGGAAGGACACTCTGCAGGTTCCTAGTTAGGTGACTGGGAACTAAGTTTAGGTTCATAGTATAGACATGCTCTGTGAACAATACATGAATTTCAAAACAGCAAGAACAGGAATACAAAATTCCTATGTACAGGAAGAGGTGAAGAAGGGAGAGTGTATAGCATAATTACATGTTACCAACAGTTACCTCTATTGGTTCTGGTAAATAGTCTAAGGCAGGTGCTTCTGCTACAGATCTTTCTTTAAGCAGTATTTTGCTTCTAGGACCAGGAAAAGGAGGGGGTTCAGAATCACCGCTCTCTGAAAACCCGGCTACGATTCCTCCAGAACTAGATAGAGATGTTTCGGACACACGAGAAATTTGTCCTCTTGTAATCTTCTGTTCCAGAGTCTCTCTGTCAGATGAAGATCCTGATGAATGGGGCCTGCTAGATACTGCAGTCAGTGCTGGAAGTTCAATTGGTTCAGCAGGTGTACAAATTTCACTTTTCTCCGATTCTTCTGAGTCACTTCCCACACGGGATGGTACAGGTGCAGGAATTTCTAAGTGCATATTAGATAAGTCAGGTGGAATACCTGGAAATTTCTGAAAGAAACGATTTCAGTAATAAATCATCATGATAATCGTCAGTGTTTAAATCCGGAAGAACTGCAATATGTGCATTGTTCGGCAAATGAATAGCCTTCCCTATATATTCTTTCATTTCAGAATAAACCCAGTAATTTTTATCTTTGAAGACATTTTAGGAAACAAAGCCTGAAAATGCTCACAGTAACTCAGAGTTCATCTACCTATCAAATATATTTACACGGTACAAATTCTTCAGGGGATTTATGTTTACTTACTTGCATGTAGAAAAGCACAATACCAGGAAGTGGGATACAGAATGCCTTAATAAAGTAACATTGAGACAACTAAGAGTGAAATTTCTTATTTCTCTTTGAGATAGGAAGCATCTTCGGAATTTATCGTTGCTGTTGCATAGGTTTGTTTAGCCTCAAACGAGGACCAAGTTAGAAAATACTACACATTGTGGGGGGAAAAAACCCGCACCATTTGGCAGCAATAAAAACCTCCATTGATTTTAATGAAGAATGACAGTTTAATTTTTGCATTGGAGGAGTGAGAAGAGTTGCTTTGTTCCTCACTAAAAGATTGCCTACATGCAGCTGGCTCAATTGGCTTTCTCCCTGAGGGGGGGAGGGGGGAGATCAACAGAAAACCCACTATTCTCTCCGCCTATCTTTTACCAGGTCTCAGAAGTGAGGCTGCTTCTGTAGTTGAGCTGTCCTTATAGAAAGTAATGTGGGTAACTTTGTGGACAGCAACTAGTTTTTCTCTTCTGAGCCTGGGTTAGAAAAATGTAGTTCTGTGAATGCACACTTTCCCTTACTAGCCAATCCTGAAATGGAATAATAATAATTGGTTATTACTGTGTTTCCCCAAAAATAAGCCTGGGGGCATGGGTGGGTGTGGCCAGCACAAGTGGCAGCGAGCGCACAGGAGCTGATGGTGTCCAGCAGCAGCTGAAGCCTGCTGGCCCCTTGTCACAGCGCAGGTAAGTACGAGTGCGGAGGCAGATGCAGGGGGGAGAGGCAGGCGATCCGGATGCACCCAAACATTTTTCGTTCAGAGGGAGATTGGAAGCTTTGTCTGCTTGCAAATGAGGCGCTCCATCTCTAAGTCTCTGTCATTTCTCTGTCCGGGCGAAAAGTGTTTGGGCACCTATGGGGCACTTGGAAATGGAGTGTGCTGTTTCCAAACACCCCACAGGTGCCCAATTTTTGCCCAGACAGAAATGACGGAGACTGGAAGCTTCATCTGCTTGCAAATGGGGTGTCTGGGAATAGGGCTAATTGCTCCATTCCCAAGCACCCCATTTGCAAGCAAATGAAACTTCTAGTCTCCCTCTGGCCAAAAAGTGTTTGGGCACCAATGGGGCATTTGGAAATGGAACACTCTGTTTCCAAACGCCCCATAGGAGCCCAAACACTTTTCGCCCGGATGGAGAAATGACAGAGACTGGAAGCTTTGCTTGCAAATGTGGCGCTTGGAGACTGAGCAAATAACTCGTTTTCTAAATGCCCCATTTGCAAACAGACGAAGCTCCCAGTCTCCCTCTGGGCAAAAAGTGTTTGGGCGCCTATGGGGCGCTTGGGGCAGTTCCACCCTCGCCCACCTGCCTTGCCTCATGATGGCAGCACAGCGCAGCGGGCCACGCAGCCTCCTGCCCCGAGCAGCTGCAGAAGTGGGCCAACAGCCATGCAGCCTCCTGCTTGACAGGAGGCTGTTGGTGCCTCCATCAAAAGGCAAGGCAGGTGTCAGGAAAAAAAACAAAGATATCCCCCGAAAATAAGACCTACTGCCTCTTTTGGAGGAAAAAAAAATATAAGACCAGGTCTTATTTTTGGGGAAACACAACATTATCTATATACTACCAACATTCTCATTTCTGTAGCTTTTAATTGAGCAAAACAGTACATCTTAAGGCAACACTTTTTGAGCCAAGGCAGCTCAAATGGGCTAACTTACAGAATCCATCCAAAATCCAGGGCCCCTGAGTCCCGTGTAATTGAAAATTGGCAAATTTTAGAAAACATTTTATGACATAAACATTATCATCAAACCATTTATGACATAATATGTCATAAAACATTTCCTTTGCTGATGCTTGACTGCACTATTCTTTGGAACATGGCTATTTTCAAGGCAATTATATATATATATCTGAATTTATCCTAACTTTCCCAGTGACAGTGGTATATTAGAAGCTCTATCACTGTTGAAAGCATTCAGGAATCTGGTAAGGAAATGTCTCCGAAAGGATGGCCCAATGGGTTGTCTAGTTGTTATTGTTGTTGTTGTTGTTGTTGTTATTATTATTGCAATCTTATTTTATCACATGATTTAGCTATGAACCTCATACCTGAAAATCAGATACTTGTTTTTCTTCCTTAACTTCTCGTTCTACAGAGACAGGAGAAAAAAGGGGGCTACATTTTGACACATGAGGGGGAAAAAGCACTAATGACACAATCCTGATCACAAAACTCACAATTCTATATAATTTTACTTTCAATTTTAATGGTACATAAGTTTAAATTACATTCCTGCTGATTGTATAATGGATATTTCTTACAAATAACCCATTGAAATTATGAACAATTAATAAGTGCATTTTTAAAGTTTTGAAAGTCTATGTTACCTTAAAAGATAAAACAAGTAAATAAATTAGTTTGTAATTAACTTTACAGTATTTTACACTCTCTGTTTTAACATTTTAACGTAACAGACATAGCACCTTTACAGATGTTGAAGTATAATAAAACTCCAAAACCTCAATCATGAGGAATATGGCATCCACTGTTATACCTCTCCTATCCACTGAATCCTAAAATGGCACTTGTGGAGCTCTGCATTAAATTAAAAAATAACTTCAGATATTGCAATCTTGTGAATTCGTAAAAAATGTTCAGGATACCTGAATTTGAAAATTATATCAATCACTTGTTAAATTGTAAACTTTGATTTCGTAATAGGGACACTTGCAGAAAAGACCTATGAACAAGGCTGAAAGGCAAAGAGAGAAAGGGCAAAACCCTCACAACTCACCAGGTAGGAAAGAGAAAAGAATGAGGTAAAAAAAAATAGAGAAATGAATTAGAATAATAATGTGCTATGTAGTATCTATGGTGATCAGCAACCAAAAGGGAATTCAGCTTGAGTTGCATATAGTTGTAGATGTGATGCATGGTGAATGCATCCTATCAACCATTCTTTAGGTTATAAGTTTCTACACAGGACTATACCAGGGGTATGCCATCTGTGTGAACAGACACCTCATTGAAGAACTACTGTGTTTCCCAGAAAATAAGACCGGGTCTTTTTTTTTTTTTTTTTTGCTCCAAAAGAGGCACCAGGTGTTATTCACCTCCAGAACCAACAGCCCCTCCGAAGGAGGGCTGAAGGAGCAGCTTCATTTTGCAGCTACATTCCGGCCTGCAATCTGCAGTCAGGCCTTTCCGGAAGGCCTATGCACTCAAGTACTGAGCTATGGATTGAATCCATAGCTTGGTCCTCGGCTGCAGAGGTCTTGCAGAACTGAGCTATGGATTGAATCTGCACAAGCCTTCCAGAAAGGCCTGTGACTGAGAATGCAGGCCTGGCTGCAGGAGGTGCTGCAGAAGAAGTGGGCTGGCGAGGAGAGGCCTGGCTGTCAGATAAATGGGTGTGCAGCACGTGTGGCAGATCCACATCCCTATCCCCACCCTAGCTTGATTTTTAAGTGTGTGCCTTGTCCCAAAACTAGGGCTTATTTTTGGTGTAGGCTCACCCTCTAAAATCAAGCTAGGGCTTATTTTCAGGGTAAGCTTTACTTTCGGGGAAACACGGTAAATGTATTTTCAATCAGAGTTTTCTGTTGAAAAGCCTGTTTTTGATAAAACACTGTTATGTTTTTATAGAGATCTGTGAATATTAGTCAATTTTAAAAGACTGAAATTATACATTATACACACATATTAGAACAAAGTCCCAAAGTTGGTTCTGTAAGGGCAAAGCAATGTTGGGTGTAGGCACTTTGAATAAACTCTTATGTTTCTTAAAAAGTAGTTTGTTTTGAATTCTTTCAGCTTCCCTTCTAAGAAATAGGAATATTATTGTATTATGTCCAGCAAAATACATTGTTTGGCACCTGAGGATAAGACACAATCAATGTGTTGTATTTAAGCTGCTAAATAAGGAATGTGTTACAATAGGCTTACATAATAGGCACTTTACAGCGGTGCCTAAGACAATTATTCTAACTTCAATATATGCAGAAAGATTGGGATAACATCTGTTCATTTGATAAATTGTTTAAAATAAGCATCACTTTTGTTAAAAGTAGCTAATCTCCTGTCAACTAACTGAACAGTTTAAACAGCAACTTTTCATGCTGCAATTGGAAACTGCAAAGAAACAAAACAGATTTTCATTTTATTTAGCCCAGTTTCTCTTCCTGTTTTCATTCAGAATAATATTTGATTTTAGTGGTGCAAATACTAGCATATGCAGCTATATTATATATGTGGATTCTAACCTCTACTCAAGAAATTAATACAAAAATAAAAATATTTACTAAACCTGGAGAAGGGTAAGATCCTGATTCTTGAGAAATGGGGGTGTGAATCTTCCCAACAATTTCTTTGAAGCGAGACAGCTTGGGAGGAAAAAGCAATTACAATTAATTTTTATTCACAATATTTGCAAGAATAACTTCTGTTAACAATAATTTGTATTGGAACTGTATACTAAATATTTTTTTCTTTTTCTGGGAATTGTTATAGTTCTTAATGATTAGATAAAATGTACTATAGCTAGGATAACTCAAAAGGACTAAAAGTATTGTTCCAAGTGTGCAAAAGGAAAGTGGAGGCTTACTAATTTCTCATTCAATCTTTACTTTTACTTCTACAAATATAAAGTCGATTATTCCATTATTCTGCTAGCTAGCAATGTGTGTAATAGCCAATGGAATTGAAACAAAAGAAAAAAAAATCTTTATACATAGGCATTAGTGCAGATGTCACATTATCAAATCCCTGGACTTGAAAGTGACAAGCCTAAAACTCATAGGTAGTTACACATCTGAAAAAGAATGACAAATATAAGAAAGATCTTATTAGTGGTGGCCATTCTATGATAGTGCTTTGCAATTTAGAAACACAAGTAGTTGAGAAATGACAGACCATTTAACAATGTTTCAAAGTTATGACGGGCACCCCAAAACTACATATACTCCTGTTTCAAACCTATGACAGTTGCAGTGCCCTCTAGTCATTCCCCTTCACACTAGACCAGGGGTAGGGAATCTTGGCTCTTTCGTGGCTCGTGGACTCAGGAATTCTGGGAGTTGAAGTCCACAAGTCATAAAAGAGCCAAGGTTGCCTACCCCTGCACTAGACTATGGGGATGCTGCAGTGCCCCTGCCTCTTCCCCCCCCCATCCCACCCAATGGGATCACTGCAGTACTAGAGCCTGCTCCCCATGCCTCCTGGAAACAGCCAGCATTTTCAGGATCCAACAATTCCTCATGGAAATGGCAGCTATTTTCAGACCTTTCTACTCCAATCAGCTGGCTGCACTAGAGACTTGTGCAGCAAAATGGAGGACGTTGGGTCTTTGCAAGCTTTAGCTGCCTGTAGAGCCCATTAGCTGTCCATCTAGCTGCCTGTAGAAGCAGTCTACTTTCTTCTAGCCTTTTTAAGTCCTAGCTGGGCTCTACAGGCAGCTAGATGGACAGCTAAAGCCTGCAAAGATCCAACGTCCTCCATTTTGCTGCACAAGTCTCTAGTGGGCTAACTTTTGGAGATGACTTTTTTTCCCCTTTAATTCAGGAGAAAAAGCTGCAGAAAGATTTTCTTTCTTTGCTCGCTTCCGCCCCTCTGCTCTTCAACCTAGAGTCAAGATGACAGAAGTAAAAGAAAGGTCTTCAACATTTAATATTGAAAGAGAAATTTAAAATTGAATTTGCTGCAGTGGAAATTTTCTGAGTAGAGAAGCTATGGTGGGACAAAGGAAAGGTTAACATAAAGAAAGGATGTAAACGAAATATGTAGGCAAAAATAGCTGGGTCTTAAGAGTGGGAAAAGGAAGAAGAAAACATCTGTAATAAAAGATAACTAGTAAAACAGGAAAGAACCTATTTTTCTAAGAAGTCATAAAAAAGGGGGCCAGAACTCAGGCAACTGAACATGCGCAATTAATTGATTAATATTAACTGACACACCTTGCATAAATTATCTCCTGATTTTAATGTACATGTGATGTATGATTTACTATGTAGCAGGAAATATGTAGGAGGTGGTCGGAAAGAGTGTAACCTCATAGTACCTCAGCCAACGGGGAAAGAGGAGGGATGTGGCGGCCGGGACAAGGGATATATAAAGAAGGAAATATTTTGGGTTAAAACTTTGGAGAGAACCAAGCTTTGATAGCTTCTCTCCCCGCTTATTGCAATAAACAAAACAAAAGGCCTTCACTGTGTTTTGGCTGGTTATTGGTCAGGCGAGCTTGCCTCTGGTCACGAAGGAAAGTAGCCAGGAGCACATAACAAAGGTAAGGTTTTTAAAAGGGATAGAGATTGGGAAGCAGACACGGAGAGTTTAGTTTTAGCACCTAACTGGGGGGAGGGGGGGTAGATCAACAAGTCTGCCCCTCCCAACTGTTTTTGTTTGGTTTCTTGAAGAAATGTGGCTTTTGGAGCTGGGGCCAGCTTCCCAAAGCCTAGCAAGAGGCAGGAGAGCTTTGCAGCTTGTGGGTGGCCAGCAGAAAGCACTGGAAGGCTAGGGAACTAATTCATTTTTTGCCCCAGAAAGACAGGGCCAGAATTAGGAAAGACAGACAGGGTCAGCATTTCTCTTTCCCATTGTTTCTCGCTGGCAAGACAACTGTGCAGAGGGTGAGGCAGGAAGAGAAGCATAGGATATCTTTGGGTAGGGGAGGCCTTGAGAGGCCTGAAGCAGGTGGGCTTCTGCCTGCACTAGACCTCCCAGGATCTCTCCCACTCCTGTGTTCCACTTAATGAACTGTGAGGAGAGCAGGAATGGCTGGTCATCAATTGAGATTGTTCATTTAATGCTGTTCCAACCTCTGACCCTAATGGGCAGGCTTCATTACGGTCTTAACTTTAGGGTTAGCCGTATTTGTCTAAACCAGCGGTTCTCAACGTTTGTGTGACGGCGACCCCCGGCGGTGCGCATGCGCGGCGCGGCCCCCATGTGCGGTGGTGCCCCCGGAGGGGAGAAAATGGCGGATCGCCGCCTTTGGCAACCCCCGAAAAATGGTCGATCGACCCCAAATGAGGTCGCGACCCATAGGTTGAGAATCGCTGGTCTAAACTGATATTTCTGGATAGATAATCAGCATGTATGTTCCATTTTCAAATCATCTGAAGCTTGATTTATTTCCTTATATTCAGTTGTGTAAATGTATTTGTATTTATTTCTTATTGTAATTGCCCATATAAGTCTGTGTGATCATATTACAACTGTGTCACTTAGCAATGGAGTTCCCAGCCCAACTGCCATCAGTGAGGACTATCTGTATATCTAATAGTTAAATAATCTATAAAAATAATTTCTCTAATACTGAAAAAAAATACCATCTCTGTGCAACTTTAGCCTGTAGAACATATTACAAAATTGTAAACAGCTCGTGATTGGGGCATGAGATCAGACTCTCAAGATCAATTGCCAGATGAAACCTTATTGGACAGAATAAAATTATAGCCACCTAACACTTTATTCTCTGCCTTTATCCCATGTTTTATGAGGATGGAGTTGTAGCTAGGTGTATTAACTCTTGACTGCTACTACATTTTTTATTTCTCCGATTATAACCTGCCACATTTCTGCTAAGGCAGTTTCATTGAAAGAGCAGCTTGGGTGTCTAAACTTTAATATCCCGGGACAGAAGTTAAGTCCAGAAAGCTTTGAATATGAGATTGGGAAACCTGAACCCTCCGAAGATGTTGATCGGAATTTCCATGAGACTCCGGTCCCTAGTCTGAATTAAAAGGCAAGGCCAAAGAACTCCCTGCTCCAAGGAATACAGGTTATTAAGGTTCTATATCAATATGTACAAGATATAAATAGATTCCCTTGGCAGTTAAAAGCTTACTCAGAAATAGATTCTAGTTAATGCAAAGATTAAATTATTTTCAACTTCTTTCTGGCTGTGGATTTAGGGGCTCTAATTTAAACACATTCCGTATCCAAAAAATTCTGACCTCAGGAGGGATAGATGATTGGGCATTACTCTTGAATTTAAGTATGTTTATGAGATTATGAGAGAGTACCACTAGTCATAATTAAGCTGATGCATTTAAAAATCTTGCTGCAAGAAGATTATATTTCATATCTGCTGCAGCCATCACACAACCAGGATGGGAAAAGAGTGTTCCTGTCCTGTTATCTATTTCGAAGAGAAGGGTGAGAAAAACTCTTGGATTCTGAGAACACAAATAATGGGAGGGAAAGGGGCAACTGATCTTGCATGTTCAGTTTTCAGTTGCCCTTTTTCACATTTTGTAAATATCAAAGATCCAAGAAGAATTGTCATTCACAGGTATTTTGGCCTTTAATCAATTGCACCCTGTTTGCCTAATTTATAATATAAAATTACCTTTGTTAGAGGTCTTGATCTTGGTCCTCTTTTTAAAATCAGCTGGTCCAAATACTCAGCCTTTTCACGCCATGTTTTTAAGGTTCGATATTCTTTTTTCATTTTTTCCAATCTAAGGAGCAACATACATACATATCTACAAATAGGATTGACATATTTTTGCTATTAGATAGAGAAGGGCAAGGTTGAATTCTGATTCAGTCAAGGATAATATGAGGCTGCAATAGCATGGATCAACTCCAAATTCTGTCAGTCCAATCTGCAGTTGATATTTAGCTAAATCAGTTATTTTGAAGCAAACAATTAACAACTATCCAAGACCACCACATTTGGAAACTTCATATTAAAGCTGATTTCTAATTTCTAATTCCTCTATATTTTCTCTGTTCATTTACTAAATTGCTTAAATTACAGTTAATATTAGTAAGTGGTTCTGATGTCATTTATATGATGAGCAATAGAATATTCTTTATTGGAATAGGATATTATTTATTGGCCAAGGAATTTGCTTCCGGTGCATAAGCTGTCAGTGTACATACAAACAACAAAGTGATAAATCATATGATATAATCATAAATTATAAGATACAACCAAGAAAGTGATATGATAAAATACCAATAGGTAATAGGAAAGATGAGAAGGATAATAGCAATACACCCCTACTAGATGGTTAGATATCCTTAGGCACAAGACAGTGCTGTTGGAATTAGGTGTTTAGCAGAGTGATGGGATGGAGGAAAAACTGTCTTTCTGTCTAGTTGTTTTGACATGCAATGCCAAGGGGAGGAGTTGAAACAGTTTATGTCCAGGATGTGACACGACTTCACAACTAACAACAACAACAAAAATGTCCAGGATGTGAGAGGTCTATAGATATTTTCTCAGCCTTCTTTCTGAGCCATGCACTATACAGATCCTCAGTGAAAGGAAGCCTGTTGCAATAGTTCTTTCTGCAGTCCTAACTACTGGTATCAGTTGAAATCTGTACTTGTCCTGTTTAGTTGCTGTACCAAACCGGACGGTTATAGAAGTACAGATGACAGACTCAATAATTCCCCTGTAGAACTGTATCAGCAGCTCCTTAGACAGTCTGAGCTTTCTGATTTGGCACAGGAAGAGCATTCTTTGTTGCGCCTTTTTAATGATGGTTCTAATGTTAAGTGTCCATTTCAAGTCTTGCAAGATTATAGAACCCAGAAATTTGAAGATCTCTATTGTTAATACTGTGTATTTAATATTGTAAGAGGTGGTAGAAGAGCTCCTCCTAAAATCTACCATCATCTCTACAGTTTTAAGTGCGTTCAGTTCTAGATTGTTCAGGCTGCACCATGGAACCAGTTGTTCAATCTCCTGTCTGTATGCAGATTCATCACCATCTTGAATGAGATCAATGACTATTGTATCCTCTACAAACTTCAATACTTTAACAGAGAGATCTTCTGAGATGCAGTCATTGTTATAGAGAGAATCAGATAAAAATAATCAGATAAACAATCAGAAAAATGTAACAATCGGATAAAATACATAAAACCCCATGTACACTTCCAATTAGTATAGAGATATAACTTAATTGTAAGGAATTTTGCTATTTATTAGGACAATACCTATCTAGTCTAAAATGAAGTAGAATGGAGAGTTCATAGCACAATTTACTTTGCATGTAATGGCATAAAATCCTCTTTTTTCTTTTTTATAGAAATAGCAAATAGTTATGGTATTGGAATGTGCTTTTGATGCCTAAAAATAAATTAAGAACAGAGACTTAAAAATGAATGATGTTAAAATGATATAGTCAACCATTCCTTAGCATACTCTAATATTACAGAACAAGTTAAAGCCTTGGAAAGTTTTTAGGTTCCCATATTGTTCTAGGTTTGTTGATGGGTGGTTTAATTTACCAAATAATACTTGGAATCCAAACTTACCACGTAGGATCAAGCCTGGAATCCCTTCTGCAGGCTCTTCATCATCTGTACCCAACTATAGTATCAGATGTCCTAGCAACAGTTGTTTTCTTGCTATGTTTCCATGTCATAGCTTTCATCATCGCCAGCTCATAAAAGATAAGTTTAAGTCATCCTAAGCTATACCAGTATTAAAGTGGCATTTGTTCTCTCACTGCAACTCTAAGGGCAGCCTCAAAGTGTTAGGCTTTATCACCCATTAATTACTGCATTCAGGAGAAAAGTTGAAGTATTTTGATACAGAAGCAGACTAGGGAGTAATAATGGGACAGGGAATTTTATGCCAGTACAGTTTTCTGCTGATTCAAAGATAGATGGAAAGAAAAATATCAGATGGAGGGGATGTCTTTTAGTCTGAGCAAGAAAAGGCAGATACCTTGACTGGATATTTTTTAAATAAATATTTTATTAATTTTATAGTTTTACAATCAAATATTTAATAGACAACATGTTGTCTGGGTCCATTAGTAATTCAGTGGTATATATTAACTTCTTCAGTCTAGATCCAATATTACACTATCAATGTTTCCTCTCTTCTTCCGGTAGTACCTGTTTTCCCACACCAGGCAAATACAATTCTTTTTTTTTTTTAACCAACAAAACAAAACAAAGCAAAACATAACACACATACATACAATATATATACTCCTCTCCCTTTTTTTATAGCAATTACGTAACGGTAATCTATTATTTACATTTCCCCCCCTTATTCTTCTTTAGAATATTTGTCCTTATTGTCCCGTTATTTATTTACATTTTTCTTCCTTCATGTTCTACTTCTTACTAAGAATAATTCGTATTATTATTATTATACATTATTATACACATATTTTCATTTTTGACCTTTTCATATTTATTCTCCTCTATTATTTCTAGTCTCCAACCAGACATACCACTTGTTCCATGTTATATAATACTCCGTGTCTTCCTTTTCTTTTATCTCTTTTGTTAATTTGTCCATCTCAGCACAGTCCAGGATTTTTCTTATTACTTCTTCCTCTGATGGTATATTCTCATTTTTCTAGCACTATGCATATGCTATTCTTGCCGCCATTATTATATGTAAAATTAAGTACCTTATTTCTTTACTATATTTTCTGTTTAAAATACCCAACAAAAAGATCTCTGATTTCCAGTCTATGGGTTGGTCTATTATTTCTTCGATCTATTTTCTTATTGTAGACCAGTATTTTTTTGCAACTGGGCATGTCCACCATAAATGATAATATTGTTCCATGTACTTTTTTACATTTCCAGCATGTTGGCGAATTGTTCTGGAACATCTTGGCAAGCTTTGCTGATGGAAGATGCCATCTGTAAAACATCTTCAACTGGTTTTCCTTGAATGCCGCCGACATAGTCAATTTTATATTTATTTCCCATATCTGGCAAATACAATTCTTATTGTTGTTAATAAATATACAATTGAATATCAACATCTTTGTTACATTTTTCTCATAATATCAATAATGTCAGTTTTCTAACCAAAACATATCTTAATTACATTAGCACTTAATATCCATATGTTCAATCAGTATCCTTTCGCTTTTTTTAAAAAAAATTATTTTCCCATCAGTGTTCAAAATGTCTGTATTGTTTATAATTTCAAAGTAAGTTATATTTGGGTAACCAAAAGCTTCCCTTATTCAAACTTCTTAGCATTTTTCTGTTTCCTTTCTCATACCAAAATCTAATATTCTAATTACAAATCTTATCTTTCTAATTATAATAGTACTTCTATTTCTAGCAATTATCTATTCTCCACCATATTCAAGCATCTAGTTAATAATATTATATCCCATCTAATGGATCAAAACCTATTTTCTTCATTCTTATTCTAGCTTTTTTCCTTTGCCAACTAACTTTCCAAGTCAGTGCATTTGAATCATCAAGTAATTTTTTCTCTGTTTTTGTATATATTGTTTGGAATAAGAAAGACCATTTGGTTAAAGTATTTTTGGAAGAACGAACCTATTGATATTCATTAAACAATCTCCCTCCTTCTCCAATTCCCCACAGTTCTCCTAACAGCTCTATCTTCCATTCAATCAGTTCTTCTTCCTTTTCTTCAAATGTGTCCTGAATTCTTGATTGGTAAGATGTCTTTTCCATTTCCAATATTATCACTCCATCTTCTAGTTCTTCAGTTGTCTGAATCTGTCATTCAGTTTCTTCCTTTAGGTCCTCCATCTTTGGATCTACTTCCTCCAGTTTTTCTTCTATTTTCTGAGTTGTTAGTTCCTTCTTTATAGTCATATTCTGGGTTTGTAAGTTTAGATTAGAAAATTGTTCTTTTATCTCCTTTGTGTTATTTCTAGTCTTATCACGAGCTAAAGCAATAGTGTCTTGTATTGATTTCAGTATGGAGAGAATTTCTTTCTGATCTTCATATTTTCTTGGTGGTATATCAAGCTGAAGACTTTGGGGACAGATATTAAAGATGGTTTTTTATCATTTAAAGCTGAGTATGGGACACCCATTTCATTTTTTGTAGGTAATCTTTATAATAAAAATTGTTCATCAATCAAAGATTTGTAATCCAAAATATTCCATCATCTCAAGCAAAGAGGTATGTTTCTCCTGCAGGGAAATAGTTCCACAACACAGCTCTGAAAGTCAGTTAATATTTATATTTGTAGTTCAGGCTGGCCAGTTTCAAAATAGTACATCTCTACCACACCGATAAGAAGCCCAAAAGTTTTTTTTCCCTTTTCCCAGCTGCAGTCTTCAAAAGTGAAAGTTTCCAAGGACTAGCTTTTTAAATCCAAACTTATATTACAAGCTTTTCAAATCTCTTTTTTTTTTTAAAAAAAAAGTCTCAAAAACACTTTTAGTCCCCAAATTTCAAAGCCATGTATGTGTATTAATTCCAAATTAATCTTGTAATTTTCTCTGTTTCCCCCAAGTACTTAGTTTGCTGCTTTTCTTTCCTGAGGGAATGGGGTGGAAATTCCCCTTCCTTCTCTCATTGGGGAGGGTGCTTTGGGCAGATTTTTCCAGGAAGAAGTCTTAGAGCAATGGTGGCGAACCTATGGCACGTGTGCCAGAGGTGGCACTCGGAGCCCTATCTGTGGGCACATGTGCCACTGCCCCAGCCTCACCTCCCCCCCTGACCCCCTCCTCACAGCAGCCCCCTGGAGGAGAGTCACCCCCGAATGTGGCCCATGCGGAGCAGCACAGCGAAGGACATGGCAGCCAGGCAGCGTAGACAAGACTCTGCCCTCATGCCCCATCGCGCACAGTTGATGCTGCGGAGCGCAGGCAGAGGGTGTGGCTGCCATGGTGCTGCTGGGCTTCCTGGGTGATCTGCAGCAGGCCCTGGAAGTGGTGAGTGGCCCTGCGGGCAGGTGGGGCAGGGGACGGGGTGGGGATGGAGCGGGGGTGGGGCAAGGATGGAGCAGGGGTGGGACCAGTTTTTGGGCACTCGGTCTCTAAAAGATTCGCCATCACTGTCTTATAAATAGAGAATAGAGTCTCACCCAGTTTCATCCACGTTGCTGAAAGGTTGCTTGTTAGTGCTTATTGTCTTCCGTTGTCAGCAGCTTCTGACTGACTTCACGAATGTAGCCAGTCTTTCCCCTGCCGGTTTGGAGGGCTTCCTCAGATCAAATAGAAGGGCCACTGCCCTCCCTCAATCAATGAGGGTCCCCTCCTTGCTTGTTGCCTCTACAGCAGTGGTTCTCAACCTTTCTAATGCCACGACCCCTTAATACAGTTCCTCATGTTGTGGTGACCCCCAACCATAAAATTATTTTCGTTGCTATTTCATAACTGTAATTTTGCTACTGTTATGAATCGTAATGTAAATATCTGATATGCAGGATGTATTTTCATTGTTACGAACTGAACATAATTAAAGCATAGTGATTAATCACAAAAACATTATAGTAATGCTCGATGGAGCTTATTCTTCCCTTGCTCAAAAATGTTGGGAGGGAGGGAAGGGGAAGGAAGGAAGGAAGATTGAAGGGGAAAGGAAGGAGATGGAGAAGGAAGGAGATTGAAGGGGGAAGGAAGGAAGGAAGGAAGGAAGGAAGGAAGGAAGGAAGGAAGATTGAAGGGGAAAGGAAGGAGATGGAGGAGATTGAAGAAGGAAGGAAGGAAGGAAGGAAGGAAGGAAGGAAGGAAGGAAGGAAGGAAGGAAGATTGAAGGGGAAAGGAAGGAGATGGAGAAGGAAGGAGATTGAAGGGAAAGGAAGGAGATGGAGAAGGAAGGAGATTGAAGGAGGAAGGAAGGAAGGAAGGAAGGAGAGAGATTGAAGGGGAAGGGATGGAGATGGAGATGGAGATGGAAGGAAGGAAGGAAGATTGAAGGGGAAAGGAAGGAGATGGAGAAGGAAGGAAGATTGAAGGGGAAAGGAAGGAAGGAAGAAAGGAAAGAAGGAAGGAAGGAAGGAGAGAGATTGAAGGGGAAGGGATGGAGATGGAGATGGAAGGAAGGAAGGAAGGAAGGAAGGAAGGAAGGAAGGAAGGAAGGAAGGAAGGAAGGAAGGAAGGAAGGAGAGATTGAAGGGGAAGGGATGGAGATGGAGATGGAAGGAAGGAAGACTGAAGGGGAAAGGAAGGAGATGGAGAAGGAAGGAGATTGAAGGGGGAAGGAAGGAAGGAAGGAAGGAAGGAAGGAAGGAAGGAAGGAAGGAAGGAGAGAGAGATTGAAGGGGAAGGGATGGAGATGGAAGGAAGGAAGGAAGATTGAAGGGGAAAGGAAGGAGATGGAGAAGGAAGAAGATTGAGGGGGGAAGGGGGAAAAAAGGAAGGAAGGAAGGAAGGAAGGAAGGAGATTAAAGGGGAAGGGATGGAATTGGAGATGGAAGGAAGGAAGGAAGATTGAAAGGGAAAGGAAGGAGATGGAGAAGGAAGGAGATGGAGAAGGAAGGAGATTGAAGGGGGAGATGCTGCAAAGGGACGTAGGAAGGAGATGGAGAAGGAAGGAGATTAAGGGGAAGGAAGGAAGGAAGGAAGGAAGGAAGGAAGGAAGGAAGGAAGGAAGGAAGGAAGGAAGGAGAGAGAGAGAGAGAGATTGAAGGGGAAGGGATGGAGATGGAAGGAAGGAAGGAAGATTGAAGGGGAAAAGAAGGGGATGGAAAAGGAAGGAGATTGAAGGGGAAAGGAAGGAAGGAAGGAAGGAAGGAAGGAAGGAAGGAAGGAAGGAAGGAAGGAAGGAAGGAAGGAAGGAGAGAGATTGAAGGGGAAGGGATGGAGATGGAAGGAAGGAAGGAAGGAAGATTGAAGGGGAAAGGAAGGAGATGGAGAAGGAAGGCGATTGAAGGGGGAGGTGCTGCCAAGGACGCACAAGCAGCTCCGCACCATTGCCCGGGGAGGGGAGGAGGCTCTGGCAGAGAGCCTGGTAGACAGCCAAGCTTAGTGACTGTTCAAAGTTACAACGGCACTGAAAAAGTGACTTATGATCATTTTTCACACTTATGACCATTGCAGCATCCCCAGGGTCATGTGATTTACATTTCGATGCTTGGCAACTGATTCATATTTATGGTCACATTGTTCCAGGGTCATGTGATCCCCTTTTGCAACCTTCTGACAAGCAACGTTAATGGGGGAAACCAGATTCACTTAACAACCATGTTACTAATTTAATCTCTCTCCCTCTTTCTTTCTCTCTCCCTCTCTCTCTGTCTCCCTCTTTCTTTCTCTCTCCCTCTCTCTCTGTCTCCCTCTTTCTCTCCCATTTTTCTCTCCCTCTCCCTTTCTTTCTCTCTCCCTTTCTCTCTCCCTCCCTCTTCCTTTCTTTCTCTCCCTCCCTCTCTTCCTTTCTTTCTCCCTCTCTCTCCGTCTCCCTTTCTTTCTCTCTCTCCCTCTTTCTCTCTCTGTCTCCCTTTCTCCTTCTTTCTCCTTCTCTCTCTCCCTGTCACTCTCTCTCTCTCTCTCCCTCTCTCTATTTCTTTTTCCCTCTTTCTCTCTATTTCTCTCTCCCTCTCTTCCGCTCAAAGATCCTTAAAATCCTTAAAAGTTATGCTTGGGTGGAAGACTTTTTCTTTTACAGATGGGGTGGGTTGGCAGACAAGTACTCAAAAAAAAAAAAAGGAAAAAAAGTGCGAATAGGTATTCAGTAGCTAGCTTGAAGTTTGAACGACTTCTTTCTCTTGCCACCGGCTTCTCGGAGGAGCAAAAGATATCCAGCACTGCAACCAGGCGCCCTGGACTGGCCATTCCAGGGCTTCCTGCACCGGCTGACTTAGTTGTCTGCAACCTCCTGTTGATGTTTGAGGGGGGGAAAGGGACATCCGAGGAGGGAAGTTATGTTGGATCGTCGACTCTGTGTTGAGCCCCGTGGGCCTGACATTTGCGGGCAGGTGGAAACCCGCCCGCCGAGCCACCATCTCCCCATCGCCCTCCATGCTGGCCGGCTCCGTCGCCAGACCTCCCAGCTGACAAGCTCACATTCAGGGGGTAGCCAGCTGACGGGCGCCGAAGATTGGTGCCGCAGTGGCCTCCCAGCCACCCACTTCTTCGGCTGGAGCAATTGCCAGGGCTTGCATGGTCGCCGGCGGCAGGGAGCAGGTCAGTGGCCATTGGGGACGGCAGCGGCGCAGTGCCGTGGGAGGCGGCAGCACAGGGGGGAGTGGTTACCTGCATCCTGCTGGCCGAACTCTGGAAGCCTGCCTGAATGAAGAATTTTAGGGGGAGTTTAAAGTGAGACAGGTTCCTAAGAGTATGATGTGTGAGGCATGGGGGGCATCGGTGGCGGGCTGCCCCCCCAGAGCTGGAGCGGCTGGTGCAGCCACCCCCGCCCCCATACCCCAGCCTGCAGCCGCCCCGCCAGCCCTACCACCCACACCGCGCAGCCCCTCTGTGTAGAGCGGGCCCTGTAGCTCCCACAGCACCAGCTGCACACCACACTGATGGTGCAGAGCTTGCGGTTGCTGAGCCAGACGCCAATGCAGGGTGGCGGGAGGGCGAGGGCTGCAGGCAGGCTGAGGCAGCGGCAAGCATCGTGGGCCAGGCCCTCCAGGGCAGCCATGTAGGCACACAGGGTGAGGCAGTGGTGGCGCAGGTTCAGCACCAGCTAGGCCACCAGCTGGCCCAGCCCAAGGAAGGTCAGCCACCCGCCCCGCCAGCACCTCTGCCACCACCTTTCCCGCATAGCCGCGCTGTGTCAAGCGGGCCCCGCGGCTCCCACAGCAGCAGCTGCAAGTCACACCGATGGCGCACGAGGTGAGCACGAGGCAGGCGAACACATGTTTTCCATGCTTCAGTACCAGGCTCTCCATGTAGCAGCGTGACATGGAGAGCCTGGCTGACATGGGTGAGCATGAGGCAGGAGTGCACATGGACTCCGCTTTTTCGGCAGGCCGAATTAAGTGCTGCTCCCCATCTCCCACCCCTGGTCCTCTTTTACTTACAAGTAGGAGATGGCGTAGTTGCTCAGTGCAGAGACAGCCATTAATGACCAGGTCTGGACATTTCCTATTGGCTTTTGAAAGCCAATAGAATAGAGTCTATTCAATAGAGTCTATTCTATTGGCTTTCAAAAGCCAATAGAATAAGAGGGAATAGCACAGCTAAGGAAAAGGGGGGGAAATGGCGGACTACATTGTTTGGCGACCCCCGTGAAATGGTCGTTCAACCCCAAATGGGGTCGTGACCCACAGGCTGAGAACCGCTGCTCTACAGGGTGACTTTTGACTCTTTCCAGGGTCCCCTGCGGGGCAAAATTTAATACGAAATTCCTGTGCCTGTTCCACCGCGACGTCAAAACTGGAAGCACCTTTACTGGATATTGACACATACAGATTTTCAAAGCTCAGTCCCAGAGAAAAAGTAGGACATTTTTAAATTCAATCTGTTTCCTTGGTTAGTTGATTTTTTAATATAAATAAAGAAAAGAGGTCTATATTGAATGCATGACTGCATTTAGAGAGCATAAGAAGAGCTAACATATAAAAGAGAAATGCTTTTTCATCAGTTTTCTTACCTTTCTCGGGCTGGCTGTTTCAAAGCTTTCTGAAGAGTTTTGTAGTGTTCTGCACTTTCTTTAGGAATTTCCACTTCAGGGCTTCCAACTGTGACCTTTAGATCTGGAGATAAGAAAGCAGGGTAATCCATGTGCCGTGGTTTGATGACATTGCTGCAAAACAAATAAAAGCAGTGCCTTCAAAGTTTATTCCTGGTAGAAGTAATCACAAAAGAGCCCTTCTCTATTATCTTTCTCTATTGGATACCATTTTTTTTAATCAAGTCTATATATCTTCAATGAAAACATACTTTCAGAAGCAAATGTTCAAAATAAGATTAACTTAAGCACAAAGGACTCACTGATACTTAAACAAATAGTTTCTGTTTAAAAGATCAACCAACATGATCATGCTTTCTCAGCTAAAGTTAGTACTTTATAAAGATTACATTTAAATGTACGGAGAATTACAGTTAAATGTTCAGAAAACTAGAGAAATCAGTTATGATGAGTTTTGCAGGTATAAATATCCTGATAATCTAGCAGCCATGGCCTTGGGCCAAAGTTTACAAGAGCTTGCCTAAAAACTCTGTAATGTTTAGACATTCTAGATCCATGTTGTATAGATGCTACTTGTATTTCCATCAGCCAGATACATAAAGGCTTCTCACATATTTGTGTAAATGAGGTCATTACTCTCAAAAACATTTCATGTTAAATAGTCCAGACAATAAAATTTACTCTCCCACTATTCATTTCCCAATGAGTTTTAATTGGAAATAAGTGAAATTTTGTTGTGAAATTTGACATCTGAAACTAGCTATGTGATACTTGTTACTGTTTACTTCTTTACAAACTGAAACTGAGCAAGGACACAGGGAGCATTCCCGTGGACATTAATATATTAATATGGAGGATGGAGATCACACCAAAATTCTAGTTTGGCCATCTCTAATCTGCATCTTCTAATCTTCAACTAGTTCTAGAATTCTCCAGCCACTGTGACCATGAAATCACAATCCCACAATTTTGAACCCATCTAGTCTAAAAAAAATTCTGTATATATTCAGAACTCTTACATTGGATTACACAAGAACTATAAACAACCATTAATGAAAGATGAAATATAAACAGGTAAATTCACCTTGAAGAACAGAACATTTGCTGGTAAAAGGTTTTGACTTAATCTAATTTAGGAGATCCAATATCCACGCAGGCTACCATTAAATTAGAAACACAAGTTAAGATAGGCAAGGAAATGGTGATGGTTCAAATCACCAGGACCAGATGGACTACACCCCAAGGTTCTAAAGGAACTGGCAGATGTGATCTCAGAACCACTGAACTGTATATCTTTCAAAGATTCTGGAGCACTGGGGAACTATCAGAGGACTGGAAAAGAGCTGATATAGTTCCCATCTTCAAAAAAGGGGAAAAAATGAATCCAGGAAACTACAGACTTATCAGCCTGATCTCAGTACCTGGGAAAATTCTGGAAAAGATAATCAAGCAATGAATCAGCGAACAACTAAAGGCAAACAAAGTCATTACCAAAAGCCAACATGCGTTTGTCAAACACAGATCATGCCAGACAAATCTTATTGCATTCTTTGACCAAGTGACAAAATTAGTGGACCAGAGGAATGCTGTGGATATAATTTATTTGGATTTCAGTAAGGCATTTAATAAAGTAGACCACAACCTACTACTTGATAAGATAAAGAAATGTGGGTTAGACAGCATCAACACCAGATGGATTCCTAACTGGCTGACTGGCCGTACTCAGCGTGTGGTCCTCAATGGAACTGCATCTACATGGACGGAAGTATGTAATAGGGCTCTGTTTTGGGCCCAATGTTCTTCAACATCTTCATCAATGAGTTGGATGAGGGGATAGATGAGGAACTCATCAAATTTGCAGATGACATCAAGCTGGCAGAAATAGCCAGCACTCCAGAAGATAGGCTTAAGATACAGAAGGGTCTTGGCCAATTTGAACATTGGGCGCTGTCTAACAAAATGAAATTCAATGGTGAAAAAAGTAACGTTCTACATTTAGGCAAAAAAACCCAAATGCACAGGTATAGTATAGGTCAGTAATGGCGAACCTTTTAGAGATGGAGTGCCCAAAAACTGGCCCTGCCCCTGCCCCACCCCCTGCCCCACCCCACCTGCCTGCAGAGCCACTCACCGCCTCCAGGGCCCACCGCAGATTGCCCAGGCAGCCCAGCAGCACCATGGCCACGCCCTCTGCCCGCACCCCCGCAGTATCAACTGTGCGGGATTGGGCATGAGGGCAGAGTCTTGTCTATGCTGCTTGGCTGCCATGTCCTTGGCTGCCCTGCTCCGTATGGGCCACGCTCAGGGGCAACTGTCCTCCAGGGCGGCTGCTGGTGAGGAGGGGGTCATGGGGGGAAGGCAAGGCTGGGGCAACGGCACGTGTGCCCTCAGAGAGGGTTCCAAGTGCCGCCTCTGGCATGCGTGCCATAGGTTCGCCACCACTGGTATAGGTGGTACCCTGCTCAATAGTAGTAATGTGAAAGGGATCACGGAGTCCTAATGGACAGTCACTTAAATATGAGCCAACAGTGACTTCCGATGGCGACGGCCATGTCAATGGTGGCTTTTTTCAGCCGTCCGCCCTGGGATGTGTCAAAGCCAGCTGAGACAGCAAGCAACAGCTGTCTCGCGGCTTGGAACCTCTCTGCCCGGGCGAAGGGGAGGAGGTGAGCTTTCCTCAGATAGTGGTAGAGCTCCCCGAGACCCCAAAGCTTTCTTTTTTGGTGGTCAGAGGGTGAGAGCTCCCATGGAGACTGGGGTGTTCTCCACATTCCAGGATGCCTTTGCCCTGATCTTCTCCAGGGCAGCAGTTCTCAACCTGTGGGTCGCGACCCCATTTGGGGTCGAACGACCATTTCATGGGGGTCGGCAAACAACGCGATCCGCCATTTTTTTTCTGGGGCGGCGCATGGAGGCACCGCTGTACATGCGTGCCGCACAGCGGGCCGCCGCCACGCATGTGCGCTGCACAGGGGGTGCCGCCACGCATGCGTGGCGTGCGGGGGCGCTGCCACACATGGGGCGGCACGCGGGGCGGCGCATGGGATGCCGCCGTGCATGCGCACCGCGCAGGGGGCAGCACATGGGGTGGTACCGCGCATGCGCATGCGCGCCACCTGCTTAATACTGGGGTTGCCGTATAAAAAGGTTGAGAACCACTGCTCCAGGGCAAAGCTAGATGCTGCTTCCACATCTGCGCTTAAAATGAATTTGTGAGTAAAATTTAAAGCAGACAGAGTTCACCAGGAGAGACTAAAATGGGGTTTATTTTGAGACTTTAACTCTGGAAAAGAATTTATCTTCTCCTTCCTTCAATTAAGAGTGGTGAAAAATGGCGCTGAGATGTTGATTCTTTGAGTGAAAGGACCGGAACTTCTATTTGGAACGATGTAACAGATTTTGCATTTGTATAAATTGCAAGAATGTTCTTTTTTTCTTTTAAGGGAGCTTTTGTCTTTTTTCCCCTTCTCCTTTTTTCTTTTTTTGGGGGGGGGGTATTTGTTGATTTTATAAGATTTTAGCAGACTTTTTAACAAGTGGTCTTAAAAATAAAATGGCTTCAAAGCGTCTTGGAGCTTCTGTTGCTTCTAAAGCCTTGATCTTCCTGGTAATGCAGACAGCTCAGCAAGCTAAGTCTAAGTTTCCACCACCTTCTCCATTGTCATCAGCAAGTATACTTAAAGATTTACAGGATGCCTTGGGAAAATAGGCACGACAGATTAAAGAAGAGATGGAGGGATTTTTTGAAAATAAATTAATGAAACTGAGAGAGGACATAGCGTTCGCGTTTCAAGTTTGTTGGTCATATAGATCAACTGGATGATAGTATTGATGATGTTGTGGAAAATTTTGAAAAACTGGAAGATCGAATTGACAAAGTGGAAAATAACGTGGAAATAATACAGGATGAAATTACTATGTTACAATACAGAAACATGGAATTTGCTTTAAGAATAAGGGGAATGAAGAAAAATATGCAAGAGGATTTGAGACAAGTGGTGGTAAAAGATATAGCTTTCATTTTGGGGGCTGAGCCTGAAGAAATACTGAGAGAGACAGAAAAAGTTTTTAGAGTTAATTCTAGGGTTGTGAGGCAGATGAATTTGCCACGAGACGTGGTTATTTATTTTTCTAGGAGATCACTTCATAATGAAATTTTACAGGCTTTTTATAAGCAGAGATTTCAAATTGCAGCTCAAGATGTTATAATTTTAAAAGAAATATCTTCAAAAATTCTTAGAAAAAGAAAGGATTTTGCTTTTTTGGTTGATGAATTTAAAAAAACGACAGGTTCGATTCAGATGGGAGATACCAGTTGGAATAGTGGTGAATTATGCGGGGATATATTACAGACTTAATACAATTTCAAAAGCGAAAGATTTTTACATTTCGGTTTTGAATGCGGGCTCTCCATTATCTTTACGACCTGAGATAATAGAAGAAAAGTTGGAAGAGTAGCCGGTTGAAAGTGCTATGCTTTTGGATGTAGGTGACATACAGGTCGAACCTCTGCAGCAGTCTCTTGAGACAGAAGACTTTTTTAAGGAACCGAGAATGACTCGTGCAGCCTATAGACGTAAATTAAAAGAACAGCAGAAGACGGATGTTGGAAATAAGAAAAGGAAATGATGAACTTTTGTAGTAGTTTTTTGAGACAGAAGATGTTTTAAAGGAATAGTGAATGATTTGTGTTTAGTATGTTTTAAAGAAACAGTGAATGATTTGTGTAGTATGTAGATGTAAAGAAAAAGAATAATAGAAGGTGTTGATTTAGTGGAAAAGTTTAAATATTTGGGAGTATATATATTATAAATTCTTAATTTAAAGTGAAAAATAATTATGAGATATTATGGGTAAATGTGTAAAAGAATTTAAATTCTAATGATCTCTGTTGCTGAGAATTTTAGTGATTGAGATGAATGATTTGCTGAAACTTTTTAAGTAGGAGGGTATTAATAGATTTTCTTAGGGGTAAAAAGCAAAGAGCCAATTTTATCGAACGTAAGTTTGTTGCTTAGGTTATATTGGAGGGAAAATTTTGTGTTTATTATGGATGAATGATTGTTTAAAAGAAATATACACCTCAGCGAGGTGAAGATGGATAACTTATATGTAGAGTAGATATGGGTTATGATATGGGTTTAAAATGTATTATGCAGACTATGTTTTTTAGTTTTCAATTTGGAAATGCTTATATTGTTATTTTTTTTTCCTTTTTTTGTATTTGAGTTAAAGTATATTATTGATTTTACTATTTGTATAGTTGGATAAGTTTATTTAGAATTTGCTTGTTTATTTGTAACCCTGTAACCAGCTCTGGGAAGTGAGGGGGGGAGGAGGGAGGGAGGGGTTATTCTAGGGGGGGGGGATATTGTTAAAAACTTGTATAAAACTTTTCAATTAAAAAAAAAATGAGCCAACAGTGTGCTGCAGCTGCCAAAAAAGCCAAAACAGTGTAGACTGCATTAACAGAGGGATAGAATCATGATCACATTAATACCACTTTATAATGCCTTGGTTATATGCCTCAGGATGCTTATTAGTAGACCACATTAGCCCAACTGGAGGTCAACCTAGGCTTAACTGACATGCTGTCAGCTAATTAAGGCAAATAGACTCCAATATAGATGATTAAGAAATACACAGAGCTAACAGTGTGGTTTGCTTCTAAATAGAGTGACTTCACTTAAATACGAGCCAGCAGTGTGCTGCAGCTGCCAAAAATTCCAATGCAATTCTAGTCTGCATTAACAAAGGAATAGAATCAAGATCATGTGAGGTGTTAGTACCACTTTATAATGCCTTGGTAAAACCCACTTGGAATATTGCATCCGATTTTGGTCATCACGATGTAAAAAAGATGCTGAGACTCTAGAAAGAGTACAGAGAAGAGCAACAAAGATGATTAGGGGACTGGGGGCTAAAACATATAAAGAATAGTTGCTGGAATTGGGTATGTCTAGTTTAATGAAGAGAGGGTGACATGATAGCAGTGTTCTAATATCTCAGGGTTTGCCACAAAGAAGAGAGAGTCAAACTATTCTCCAAAGTGCCTGAAGGCAGGGCAAGAAACAATGGATGGAAACTAACCAAAGAGAGAAGCAACCTAGAACTAAGGAGAAATTTCCTGACAGTGAGAACAATTAATTCGTGGAACAACCTGCCTCCAGAAGCTATGAGTGCTCCAACACTGGAAGTTTTTAAGAAGAGACTGGACAACCATTTGTCTGAAATGGTATAAGGTTTCCTGCCTGAGCAGGGGGTTGGACTAGATGACCTCCAAGGTCCCTTCCAACTCTATTATTATTATTAAATTAGATAATGAAGAAATCAATCACAAACAGTGTATTCATATAAATTTGTCCAAGCAAAATTCAAGGGTAAGCTCTGTCTTTAATGCATTCTTTGAACAGAAGCAATGTATTTAAGTATCTACCTTTGAATATCAAGATGCTGCTGCTAATAGCCTCTGTGAAATGCTCTCTAGCTCTCTCTTGGTGTTCTTTTTTATTTTCTGTAACTTGCTGTGGATTACATTAAGTATCTACCTTTAATTATTTGTGTTCTTCTGTAACTGGCTGCATAGTTACAACTTATCGACATGGACTAAGAGCTGGACTGGCATTTTTATAGCAGAGCTAATAAAAATAGTTGAGGCATCTAATTTGTTAAATATGAGGGCATATGAGAATAATGCTTCATGTGAACACTACATTCTAAAATCACTATCTTCTGGGAAGATATAACAACAATATGATTCTGAGACAGGTTTTAATATTTGAGATGCTGACACTTTCTGAATTACACAACTACCATATAGAAAATGAAATCTGGACAACAGAAATGGATTGTTTGTACCTGTCTAGACACTAAAAAATTTGTTTTTCAACCAATGACATCTGCGGGATATAAGGAGGGTCAAAATGAGAAAAGCATCATGATCTCATAAGCTCTGGCCCTTTTTTATATTCATCCACTTAAAAAGGACAGAACTTCCAAAGACATGCCAATTTCACCATTCTGATAAATGTAGCAAGATTGCACAAATTGTGCTGTCTTTACTATTAGAAAAATTAATTTATGGGCCAATTACTCAATAGACTCAATGTTTGATGTTATTTACAACTTGTTTACATACATAGATATGTATGGGCAATTATAACAAAATATTGCAATATTTTCTTCATTTTTTTGTGTAAAATTCTTTGCACTTATATATATGCATGAGATGCCTTACTTTAATGTACTGTATGTGTTTGCCCATATCTATGTATCTCTCTTTTCTTTTTGTTCTATTTAATCAAATCAGAAATAGCAAAAGAGAAAGATGATAAACATTCATATTAAAAAGAAAATACAGTTCTGAATTTCAGTCTTGCATTGCTGACTATTTAATAACTAAAATAAAAACATATTTTAGGGAAGATTTTATATTGCCAAAAATTAGGATTTTTCTTCAATTTGGGGAAAGGTTTACATGTGTGCTAACATATAATTGAAGTTTATATAAAACAATGTTTGATATAATTATGCATCTATAAATATACAATTCCCTCCCCCCCCCAAGTATGTATGTATATATATATATATAAAGTCCAGTTGGGAGAAAAGCCTTTGTATAAATCAGGTTTTGTAGAATTTTTTAGTAAAAGTTAGAACCTATGTGCCTAAATCATAGTTCTCAAACTTAGAGTTGACAAATCCCAGGAGATTTGCAAAACCTGATTTAATGCCAATTTCTGATAATTTTTTTAAAAATTACTTTGAATTCTAGAAGACACTGAATATGCTAATACCAAGTTATCTAATACTGGAATGAGAGTCAAAAACAAGTCTTTCCCAATTCTTCATATATCTTTTCCCAGGGACAGGAAAAGACAGAGAATATATTTGGCAATATATATCTAGAATAGAACTTTATTTCCTAGGCAAGAGGCACTAAGGAAAAGAGTTAATTTATATTTTCAGATAAATGTTTTCATTTTAATCTCTACAGTTCTAATATAAAATAATTTAATTCTAAAACTACATGACATACTGTATGTATGCTATTAGTTAAGTTATCAGAACAATTTAATGTCTGGTATAAATGCCTTGAATAATCTTTTCTATCTTCTGGTGGTGGAACCCGTAGAAACATGGAATATGCCACAGCCTGGGCAGGATCTGCTCCTGGCAGTTTCAACTGCAAAAAAACCACCATGTTATAAAATGAATAACAAAATAATTTTAGTTCATTAATATACATTTTCTAAAATAAATAGCATAAAGAATAAAGCTTATACCAGTGGTGGTGAACCTATGGCACGCGTGCCAGAGGTGGCAATCAGAGCCCTTTCTGTGGGCACACATGCTGTCGCCCCAGCTCCACCTACCCCCGCGGCCCCTTCCTCCCTAGCAGCCCCCTCCGGAGAGTTACCCCTGGGCGCGGCTCGCACGGAGCAGCGTAGCCAAGGACATGGCAGCTGGGCAGCAGGGACAGGACTCCGCCCTTGCGCCCCAGTGTGCGCAGATGATGTTGCGGGGTGCGGGCAGAGGGCGTGGCTGCCATGACGCTGCAGGGCCGCCTGGGTGATTTGCAGTGGGCCATAGAGGCGGTGGGTGGCCCTGCGTGCGGATGGGGCAGGGGGCGGGTGGAAGCGGAGCAGGCAGGGTAGGAGGCGGAGCAGGGGCAGGTTTTGGGCACTCCGTCTCTAAAAGGTTCGCCATCACTGGCTTATACAGTATATCCTGAAGTTTTAGAGATTATGTACTACAATCTTGTTAGTCTCTTTTACTACAGCATCCTGTAAAAGAGCAAACAGAATTGTTTTTCTTACTCCAAAGACTATCTGAAATTCTATTTCTATTTCCAATCTGGAGTTGTATAGATAAGATTTGGCAACTTCTACTAAAATACTTGCCAGACCTATCATTACCCAATTGGAAGATATGAACTGTAGCTAAAAACAACTAAATTGTTGCAGTATTATGTACTTAGCTGACTCTTCTATTTTATTGATTGACTTATAAATCTATAGAATTTTCACGGATTCTTCATTTGGATATCTACATATGTCTTCATTAATACAATCGATTATAAAAATTTTTGCTCTGGTTTAGAACTTGATTTTTGATTTTGCTAATCCATTTTATGATATTTTCACTTTTCCTTCTCCTATCATAAATATTTTATCATAAATATTTTCACCTGTTTTTATTTTTTCTTGCGCATGACAGTAAATAATATTGATACGTGTGGTTTTCAGATGTCCCCTCTCTGAATATTTCTTAGGGGAAAGGGAGAACTGAGAAAAGAGTTTTGTCCTTTTCTGTTTTTCCTGCAAAATCATTTTAGATTTTACAAGGTTCTAAGTGGAAGTTCAGATATTATTCAAGAAGATATAAAATCAGATTGACATCTTGGGAGATGTTCATTTTCCCTGATCTCAATATTTTGACTGGAGGACCTGTCTCAGTGTAAGTTGCCTTTATTTCCTCTGACTCTGCTGAGGAAACCACATACTACAATGCAGCTAGCTGAGGACTACATACTGTAGGTCAGCACAAGCTTCAATCAATTATAATCTGTTCTGTTTGTTTATGTCTGTATATTTTATCTTTAGCCAAAGTCCACAGTTAGTAGGAAAAACTACTTTATTTCTTGCTTTGAGTTGTGGAAGGCTCTTCTATTATATATGTAGATGACAGTTTTAGTATAAGCTTAAAGCCCTGCCTTAAATTGCGTATCACATAATTCTTCTGGTCCTTTCCTCTTCTTTTAACAATTCATTACATGGTGAGTGTGAATCATCTCTCCTTTCAATATCTGATTAAAATTCAAGTAATCTAACGAGATAGCAACCTGATGTGAATATCCATATCCAAGACATCCATAACAGAACATAAATTGCACCTCTGCTGTGCAGAAAATCTGAAAAGTGTAAACATACAGCTTTTAGTTTGCAATGTATATTATACCGGTATATTTTAAAAAATCTAATAAAATCCTTTTAAGAATGAAATGCAACAATTTTTCTGGTTTTCCCACAAGTCTGTGTACAGTATATATGTATAAATAAATAAAAAAGACTACCTAAACAACAACCAAAAACTTCTGCATTTCATAATTTGCTTCCAGAGAAAACATTTACATGAGAGAAGAAAACATATTCATCATGTTTCTTACTGAAGGTAGGACAAGACTGGCCTACAACCAGATCCCAATGGAGTAGCAATCCTTTGCACACAGCTATTGGCCAGAGAAGAAAAGTATTTTTTGGCTACTATCTTTTTTGCAAGTTCCTAATCATGTTCTCATGATGTTGCGAGAGGTAAAAGGTGACTATTGGATATATTGCATGTGTGAGTGTTGCTGGCTAAATTCACCATTTTGTCTTTTTATTGTCTCTTTTTAGTCTTTTTTTATAGTGAACAGTTCAGGTGATGCTTAAAAGGAACAAATTAAATTGCACTGATGTCTCATTATCTGAATAAATCTGAACATGGTACGACACAGATGCCTGACTGACCCAGTGTAGCTTAGGGTTGTTTTTTTTCCCCAAAGCGCAGGCACATGGTTCAGCCAATGTCCTCATTGCAGTTTGGAATGAGCAGATGATGGGAGCACTGGAGCAAATTGCACCTGTGCAAACTCTCTGTGCATATGGAGCTCATAGAACAATATGGATTACCAAGCAGTTGTATGAGAGGAAATGAGACTAGACACCTTAAGCACTGCTGGAGTAAGACAAAGAATGAAGTCAACCAAACAGAGGTAAGAGTGTTTATTAAAATTTACCAAGGGGACTAGGGTGATATGATAGCACTTCTCCAATAATTGAGGGGCTGTAACAGATAGGAGGGAATCAACCTATTTTCCAAAGCACCTGAAGGCAAGCAAGAAGTAATGGATGGGAACTTAACAAAGAGAGATTTATCCTGGAATTAATGAGAAAATTCCTGTCAGTGAGATTAAACTGTGAGACGGCTTGCCTCCAGAAGTTGTAGGTGCTCCTTCACTGGACATTTTTAAGAAGAGATTGGACAACCATTTGTCTGGAATAGTATAGGATCTCCTTTTTGAGCAGAAGGTTGAATTAAAAGGCCTCCAGGTCCTTTCCAATTCTGTTATTCTATATACCTTGCCATGATAAGGGTGGTGAGCTGTACTTATTTATCTTTACTACATCAAAGATAACTGCCCAGCGGCCCTATTTTGGAAGACCAGAAGGAGCCAGGATTTCTCCTACAGGGTTGCTGTGAAAAATGTTGTTAGTATCTAATAAACAAAGTTGCTTGATTTTACTCGGAACTGGACTGGCAGGGCAACTCCATTGGAAGTGACTGAGATACATCTGAGCACTATTATTTGGGAGGAGTTTGAGTCGATTGGTCCAAGGAACTAGATAGGGTCTTCAGGGTTGTGATTTCAGCCACCTGTGTTCTGGACTCATGCCCCTCTTTGTTGGTTAAGGACTCCTTAGAGGAGGCATTTTAAGGAGGTGACAGTCTTGGGAGGTGACAGTTCAAGCTGTGGTTAATGCATTTTTGAAGGAACGAGTGTATACCATATGCCTTGAAGGATACAGTGGTGTGCCTCCTTCTTAGAGGGCATTCGACCTAACAATTCTTGACAACTTTTGTACAGGCTCCAATCTGGCCTTCTTAGGAAAGGTTGTTGAGAGGGTGGTTGATGCTCAGCTATAGGGGGCCTTAATCTTCGGCAGGCCCTCTATCTGTCTATCCACCTGGACAGCACTTAAATCAGGGGTCCCCAACCTATGGGCCACGGCCCGGTAGTGGGCTGTGGCCTGCTGGTCATTGGGCTGTGGGACAGGCTGGCCAGTGTGCGTGCACACCCCCACACTTGCGCTAGCACCGTGACCACAAAAACAGGATGCCACTCCTCCAGGTGCAAAAAAGGGATGCCGCAGCAACACCTTGGGGTGTGAAAACGGGATGTTGCCACGTGGTGGGGCACAAAAACGGTGTGCCACCATACCGCGCAAAAATGGGCCACCACCGCACTGCAGGGCACAATGGGCTGCCGCTGCGGGGTGCAAAAATGGGCCACCACCACACTGCAAGGCCTAAAAACGGATTCTGCCATGCCGCGGGGTGCCCCCATGCCACGGAGTACACAAAATGGGCCGCCACTGTGCTGCAAGGCCCAAAAATGGATGCTGTCATGCTACGGGGTGACCCCACACCACGGGGTGCAAAAAATGGGCCGCCACCATGCTGCAAGGAGCAAAAATGGACACTGCTGCGCCATGGGACACAAAAATGGGCCACCGCTGCTCTGCAAGACACAAAAACGGATGCGCCACAGGGTGCAGAAACAAGGCGCTGCACCACACAAGCACAGGGCAGGGCTAGTGAGTATCACGCAGGTGCTAGCCCCGTCCTGTTTTCAACGTATGTGTTCGCGGCCTCTTGCGCACGCACGCATGTAAAATGCTTCCCCCTCCCTTTTCCTCCGGTCCGCCAACCGACAAAGGTTGGAGACTTCTAACTTAAATCCTGAGTCTTCCCCCAGCATTGAGATAGGGTGAGGTCAGGGTGGGATGAGATTGTTGGGTGCATTAGAGCGGTGTGGCTATGGCACCAGTTTTTCTATTTTTAGTTTTATTGCTGTTGATTTTTTATTGGTTGTAAGGTGTCCAGGGTTGTTTAAGATGGGGGACTATATAAATATTTTAAATTAATCAGTCAGTCAGACTGATTAATCTTAGATATGTTTTACACTATAATCAAAAGGTTTGAGAGGGGCAAGGTGGTCATTTGGTAGTGCTCTAACTCCCCCCAAAAGGAAACCACTATATGGTTGAACATTATATATGAACACGAAATATATATATATATATATATATATATATATATATATATATATATATATATATATATATGGTTGTGAGAGCAGTCTTTATTTATTTCTTAAAAAATCTCTTGTTCTATTGGATCCTACACATCTGTATTAAAAGAAAGCATAAGAATTCATACTAAGCTTTTAAATCTGCTATTTTATACCAATTTCATTTGCAGACAAAAGGAAGACAAAAGTGAATATTTCCTTATATTGAAATAAACTAGATTTCTTGAAAAGAATACGCTAATTTTTATCTTCTGTTGATATAGGCCTGAATTTATTATGTGAATTTATATACTATAGTTCATAAACTATACTTTGTCATGTCAACAACACAAATGGAGCTTACAAAATGTAGATGTATGTGGTAACAATAAAAAGAGAACTGTTTACATATAAATTCAATGTTCTTTTAAAATTATTTTTTTGAAAAAAGTCTCACCATGTTTCTAATCCTCATAGGGCATGTTTCAGTGAAGGACTGCTTCTAAATATGGGGGCAGAAACAAAAATTTAAATTATTTTTCTGTGTTTACATATTGTTTATTTTATAAAAGCAACAAAAACGTTAATTCAGCTTTAAGATTTCCAAGAAGAGTTTAGAAAATGCATGAAATTACAACAGTAAATTGGATTCATCCACCATATTAAATCAAAATCAAACCATCTTGCAGCTTAATGGGAAATGTTAACCCAACTGGTATAAGTAAACACTAGATTTGATTTTGATCCTTAGCGTTTTGTTGATTATGAATTAGTATTAATTACACAAAGGCTTTAAGCTCTTGAGGATGGAATGGCTACTTTCTCTAGTAGAATGTTAATTTAGTTTACTATTATTATTATTTCAGGAGTAAGTTGTTTTTTCTTATCATTATAGAATCATTTAAAAAATCTTATTACAGGATGAGCAGCCCAGTAAAAATAAATAACATTGGAAAAAAACCTCAAGAGAACATAGCAAAGTTCCTTCGCTATCTTATCCCATGTGACACAGGTCCTTAATTATCTTCCAGCCATATAACTTCCAAATCTGAAAGAGTGTCACTTGCCGGGAATAAAGTAGTAAAAATATAAGACTCTGCCCAAGCTTCTTTAGCAATTAATGGTTGGCCTTAAAAGGGGCTTCCAGTTACCCATACTACAAAAGCTCAGCCCAACATCAGTGAATAGTGGAGGAAGATAGCCAATTAGGCACGGAGGAGGTGAAATCAAAGCAGTTTGCTGGAGTGAGCAACAAGACTCTGAAGCTGCTGAAGGTAAATAAGAAGTAGCAGAGCTTTACAGCGTCACAAGTCTTCCAAAAACACAGGCCAGGTCTTTAATATTTACTATATCTTCGTTTATTTACAGATGGATTGAATCACTTTCATAGATAATTTTCTGAACATTTGTAGTAATAGAGTTATTACAGCCCATTAACCTTAAGCCTGTAAAAAACAAAAAAGGAACTTTGGATCCATGAAAGACAGCTGAATTTATGAGAGTATAATAGTGCACTTAAGCAAACACTAGAGAGTTATGTTCTCCTACAATATACATACTGTAAATTTTTAATTAGAACCACTAGAAAGGTTAAATAATTGGAGATAATTTTGTGGAAAATTTCTATGGGCATATAACTCAATTTACAGAAAGATACAGAATTTGAATGGAACTAGAAGAAGGATATAGTTAATCTAATACTAGGAGATTAATAGTTATTCTTCACTGATATGAGTAAAGCTGAACCTTGGCAGAAGCTTTCTGGTAATATGATCACAATTTAGGCGCTTGGTAACTGGCTCACATTTAAGATTGGATGAAATGTCATGTAGTCATGTGATTGTGATTTGTTATGATTTTTTTGCCAATTTCCAGTAAAATATGTCCATTGAGGAAAGTGAATTTGCTTAACAACCATGTGATTTTTTTACTGACCATCTGAGTCACCCAACAACCACAGTGACTCATGACAATTATAAAAATGGTCATAAAATTGGGTCCAGTCACATGGTGACCCAACTTATCATTACCATGGTCCATGACTAATGATCAGTGTTCCTATTGGGGTTGTAAGTTGAGGTTACCTGTACTGTATACAATAATCTCTGACTATAGCCTTGGCTTAGTTGTAACTCTGTGAACCTGACTTGGTTAGTAGATTATGGTCTGTTGCCTGCATCACCTTGTTCAGGAAACAGAAAACTCCTGAGAATACCATTGATAGCCAAGAAAACGAATAGATCATAGTACAAATCAATCCAGAGTTTGCACTTCAAGTACAAATGACCAGGCTCAAATTATTATATGAAGATTTAAGTTTCTTAAGAAATCTATCAGGAAGATAGAAGGAAAGAGAATAAGAATTTTTTACTCAGTTAAAACAGATGATAGCACACCACTGGAAGACCTAAAAGGCCAGATTGGAGGCAGATTGTCCCAGAGAAAATCTATTTAGCTGCTGTGAGTCAACATTGACTTAAGGATACATAATCAAATAAAAATCAAAGATTCAGATCTAGACCTTTATTTCAGTCATTGGGTAGCATAGCAGTATACAATCAACCCAACAGACTGTTATTAGAACAGTCAAAATCAGAAATACTGAACTGAAATATGAGCTATCAGGTAGCCAAATAAGAAAAAAAAAAGTATTTCCTCCAATACTATCAAGATTAAAATAACGGCTATTGTTATTCTAATTCCCTTTAAATCTATATGCCTATAAATTGGTGTTTAGACCCAAGTCCTAAGAGATGTAAACAGAGAAGAAAGGCTTAAATCTAAAATTTCCATATTTATGAAGCTGCAGGAGCAATCACTTTAGTAGCAATATAAAGAATTTTGGCAATCTCAAAAAGGATAGGCTCTAATAGATAAGAGGAGATATGTTTAAAGAAAATCAGTATGGTTTGGGTATTTTATCAAACGAGAAAATAAAACACATTCTAATATCCTTATAAAATTAGCAATGTAAAAGCACAGCAGATTCTCCATTGTCTATATCACATGGACATAATCAAAGGGTATTCAAAGAGTTAGAACTCTGAACCAAACTGAAGGAAAAAAGAATAATAATCTTGTGCTTCAAAACTTGACAGAAAAAATATCATGAGATTTGTAGAAAATTGTTTAAAAAATGACATGCAATTAAAAGCAGTATATAGTACTTGTATCAACTGTCATTATGAAAAAACAACTGCAAATTAATTTCTCCAAAGCCACTTAACAGGATATATGCTTTATAACGCTTTGTCTTGGAGCATAATTATGTAGAACAGCTTTTATATTAAACCTACCTGAATAACTTCATATAGGTGCATAGTTACATTCCCAAACAGCCTTGGAAAGTCTTTTGGACCTTCAAAGCCCACCAACTCTAAAACAATCCTATTCCTAGGATCACTTTTCTGCTTTGGAACCTGAAAATCAATATATGTAGCAAACATATTTACTATGAAAAAACAAAGAGAAAACATGCATCAATATTGCCAACTGGCAGCAGTTGAATGCAATAGATATCAGTTCATTAATTAGAGCTTTCTTTGGGCTTCTGTTTAAAAATATTGTTAAGAACCTCTGTCTTTTCTCTAGTTATAGGTTGTTGGTTTTTGATCAAAAAAGCAATGTGCAGTGACACTTCAGGGAACTGTTTTCTCCATAATCCAGTCTCCCTAAAAAGGGGGAAGAAGTAAGGATGTGCAGCATTTGGGAGAATTTCTGTTGTCCACAACTCAAGTAAGTTCTGATTTATCAGGTGTAAAGAACTATTGATGACTGTTCTCAAGTAGTTAGTTCAACTTTGTCTAGGCAGGAGCTAAAGAATTAGGTAGAGCTGTGCTTCTGAACTCCAAAACTTCAGGTATGTCTCTAAATGTGAAGAATGGATAAAAATCTGCAAATCAAGATTCCTGCAAAAGCCAGTGCCTACCATAAAGGAAAAAAATGGGGGATTCAATTGTGGAAGACTTAAATAGTCATAAATACCCACAGTCAAAATGGCAATACCACTGCAAAGTTATATCCCACTTGTTAAGTCCTCCGTTCGATGGCGAATGATGAGGAGTCATGACGAAGTTAACAGCTCTTTATTTACAATCACCAACACTCGAACGAACAGACAGGCTCGCAGGCCTCTCTCTTAAAAGCGACCAGAGACCCAGACAGAAACATAACAAAGTATCTGGCATTTCGCACCTTGCGCATGCACACAAGGCTGGCGCCACTCAGTCTGGTCCCGAGCAGCTTCTGGAATGCCCGGGACCATTGCAATGTCCCGAGACTGCTTTTGCTCAGGACACAACATCCCTCCCCCCTAGATGGAACATACCTGTACACCCACACGCATTATCTCTTGGGGAGAGTGTTATAAAGTTCCAACAATCAAATGCACTGAATGTGGAATACCCGAGGTTGCCTTCAAACACAACCCTTCAACATGTTCCGGAATAAATGTATCCGAATTAAATTAAAAGAAAAGTAAACAAAATAATCTCTTAACCATGGTCCTTGTGATCAGGCCCCCTGGAACTTGACAGCAACCTCACAAATTCCCTAAAATATTTGGGTGGGCACTTGGCCCGCTGCGACCTCCTAGGGCCAGGAGAGATTTCTTGGCCCCCTTGTTCCCCTACCCGGCGAGACAGGCCACTTTGTGGCTGCCTTAAATTGTCCGAGGACCCCGATGAGATTGCCTGCCCCCCCTGCTCGCCTACCAGGCTAGGTAGGCCAGGGCTTTTCTGCCCCAAAGACCTGGTTGACCTGCCCATCTGCTGGCTGGCTGGACCTTCTAAGCCCAAGCCAGCATACCTTGGAGGAGTGGTAGTCCCCGGTTCCACAATGGACCCTTCTTGGGAGCACTGTCCCTCAAACCCAAGGCCAGCAGATGAAAAGTGCTGGGTAGCGGGATTACCCCAGTGCTCTGTAGCCCCCAAGCATGTGCCTGAGGTGCCGGAATCAGGAGTCGCCTCCCTGGCTACCCCCTTCCCTGTTGACCTCCTTCTGGAAGCAATTGCAGAATTGAGCCATCCCCCCTGCTGTATTTCTTGTTCTCTTGCAGTTTGTGAGTTGTGTGGATACCCCCAGTCAGTCTCCCTGTCTGGAGCACTATCTGTCGTGTGTGAATAATGTGGATACCCCTGGTGTGACTCCCTGTCTGGAGTAACTGTGGATGTGTGGGATGACCCCCTATCCATTGAATTCCTGTTCTGAGCACTTGCGGAACCTTGTGATGAAACATCCATGGCCTCAGAGCAGCTAGTGAAGACCTGTGAAACTGATCCCCAGAATGCATATTATGATCCTCCTCCCCCCCCCCCCGAGCAGAGCCAGGAGTGGAAGAGTGAGAGTCCAGTCTCTAACGCAGCTGGTCTATGTGCCTGCGAAGAATGTGGCCGTCTCCCAAGGTCACTTCATATGACAACGGCCCTGAGATCTTGCAGACCACAGCTGTTACCCAGAGATGACCAAGCCCATAGTTTCGTGCCCAGACCAGATCATCCACTTGAAGTCTCCTCGATGCCCATGGTTGTGACACCTGTGACTGCACCCGGTCAGGGTGCAGCCTGTCCAGCTTAGTGATGAGGCGGCGACCCCAGTGGAGTTCAGCAGGGCTCTTCCCAGTGGCAGTGCATGGTGTGGTGCGGTGTGCAAGAAGAAAGTCTGCTAACCTGTGATGCCAGTAACCGTAAGTCAGTTTCTTGAGGGCATCCTTGGTATTTCGCACCATTCTCTCTGCCAGTCAGTTGGACGATGGGTGGAAAGGAGCCGATGTTGCCTGCCGGATCAGATTGACCTGAAGAAAAGCCTGGAACTCAGAAGAGGTAAATTGAGGGCCATTATCCAAAACCAGAACATCTGGAAGACCGTGTGATGCAAAGATTCCTCTCAACACTTGAATGGTCTTAGCAGTAGTAATGGAGGAAACAGGAACAACCTCTAGCCACTTGGAATAGCTATCAATAACAACCAGGAAGAATTGCCCCTGAAAGGGCCCAGCGTAATCTATATGCACCTTAGACAATGGGGTATGAGTTTCCTCCCACCTATGTACTGGTGCCTGAGGCATGTCAGGCCGAGACTGTTGGCACACTTGGCACCCGTGCACCTGGGCCTCGATGGCTTTATCGAGTCCAGGCCACCAAAGATGGCTGCGCGCAAGCGCTTTCATCCTGACTATACCAGGATGACCCTCATGCAGAGGTCAAGACTCTAGACCTCAATGAGGCTGGGATCACTACCCTGCTACCCCATAACAGGGCACATGTCAGGCCATCCTGACAACACCCATGTCAGCACACGTGTAAGCGTGTGATCAGTGGCAGTTTCTGCAGCCACATCCCTAGCATTGAGGGGAGACTCAGGCAACTCTTGAATAGAGAGAATATTAATAGCTGGAGCAGGATCAGGCTCCAATTGGTTCAGGGGTAGTCTGCTCAGGCCATATGCATGACCCATTTCCTTTCCTGGTTTGTGGACTAATGTGTAGTCATATGCTGACAGAAAAATGGACCATCTCAGCATACGAGGAGAAATTATATGTGGGGTCTGTTTGTTATTAGTAAACAAACCCAGCAGAGGCTTGTGATCAGTATATGAAATGGTGGCCATATAAGAAATCATGAAATTTCTTAATACCAGCCACTATGGCCAAAGCTTCTCTGTCAATTTGAGCGTAATTCAGCTCTGCAGAAGACAGAGTCCTTGAATAATAAGCCACAGGGACCTGTGTCTCATCAGCCTTCAGATGGTTAAGTACAGCTCCCACCCCATACAGAGATGCATCGCAGGCGATGCAAACAGGTAGTTGCTCATTGAAATGAGCTAGAACAGAATTAGACGGGAGCAAGGCCTTAACCTCATTGAAACTCTGGTCATGGACTTTCATCCACTGCCAAGGAGCTTGCTTGTCTAAGAGCCTATATAATGGCTCTGCCACAGCAGCCTTATGAGGGAGAAAATAGGCCTAAGAAGGCTTGCAGTTCACTCTTGGATTTAGGGCTTGGGGCCTGCTGTATGGCTTGCAATTTTGTTTCAGCAGGGTGAATGCCTTGAGCATCTATCCTGAATCCTAAGAAGTCAGTAGAATTGACTCCTATCTTACATTTCTCCTTCTTGAGTTTAAGGCCTGCTCTTCGAAAACGAAGCAAAACAGCCCTTAATCTTTCAGCTAAATTTTGAGATGACTCCCCTGCAATGAGGACATCATCGAAATAGGGACAGACCCCAGGAATACCTCGAAATGTGCTTTCCATGACACTTTGGAATATGCCAGGGGCTACATTTACCCCAAATTGCAGTCTCTTAACCTTGAAAGCCCCGTGAGTTACAATAGTTGGGCCTCTACAGCTGCCTCATCAACAGGTAACTGTTGATAGACCTATGCCAGGTCAAGCTTAGCAAAGATGCGGCCTCCCTTGAGGGAGGCCAGAATGTGGCTTACCACAGGTACTGGATAAGCGTGCTGTTGCAGCACCTTATTCAGTGTGCACTTGTAGTCTGCACAAATACGTATGTCCCCCTTAGCCTTTAGAGGCATTACTATGGGGGTTTCCCATGACTTGAATCCATAGGTTCTAAAATGCCCTGCTGGAGCAATTTTTCCAGCTCAGCATCAATTTTACCCTTGAGGGCAAAAGGTACCCTCCTAGGCTTAACTCTGATGGGTGTGACGGATGGGTCTAGCCGTAGCGAGACTTCTGCATGGCCTGACGTTTGCAAATTGTGCAGCCCAGTAACCTGGACTCCCAGGGCCTCGAACCAATCAAGTCCAATAAGGCTTGTTCGTTCACCCCCAACAACTACCACATCTAGGGGACCTTCAAAATCCTTATACTGCACTCTAAGGGTGGCCTCCCCCTTAACACACACCATAGAATTTTGAAAATCTATAAGTATTAGGTTCGAAGGCCTGAGTTTAACTCGAAGGCCACCGCTACTGCATATCTTTTTTAAGGTGTTACTGGAAATAATGAAAAGAGCAGACCCGGTGTCCAACTCCATTGATAAGGGAACCCCTTGCAGCCTTACATTAAGAGAAAGCTTCTTCTTAAGGGGCTTGCGTGTTCCTGTCCTCAAAATATTCCTGCGCAACGCGCAGAAACCCAACCTATGTTAGTTGGGGACCCTGGTACCTTTCAGATGCAATTCTTCATGAGGTTGAACCTTCTGGCGACCCAGACAGCTGCGATGTGGCCTTGTTTGCCACACGCTCTGCAAATGGCGGAACGGAACCTGCATTCAGTTCGCTTGTGGCGTCTTCCACACCCGAAGCATTGAAGGGATTCTTTGTCCTTGTCCAGACGCTCCTTCTGCCTCCTTCCAGCTGGCTGGTAAAGTCTATTCACCTCTTCTTCAGGATCCGCGTCTAACCCTTCTTGGATGTCCTCTTGGTGGACGGTAGCAGTCACTGGAGGGCTTCTGGTGGGCCGTAGGGTTTTCACAGCCCCGCCTGCTGCTTCCTCAGCTGCCACCTCTCTCAGTGCATCTTGGAAAGAGACATCCTCTCTAGCAAAAATCTTCTGCTGCAAGTCTCTGTTCCTCAAACCGCATACAAAGCGATCTCGCAGCCTCTCCTCCAGATCCTTGAACTCACAAGGTCTGGCTGCTTGCCTTAAGGCCGCAATAAAATCCATAGCAGATTCACCCGGCCTCTGGTCTCTCTGTTCAAATGTGTGCCTCCAAGCAATAACAAATAACTTTGGCTGGAAGTGTTCCTTTAGCATTTTCTTCAAGTCAGTATAGGTTACTGACTCTAGAGATGCAGGGGCCAGCAGATTCTCTGCAATTTCAAATACTTCCTGTCCACAGACACACAAGAGAGTTGCAGCCTTCAAGCCATCTTCTCTAACTTGATTTACTCTAAAGTAATTCTCAACCCTTGCAACATAGGAATTCCATCTTTCAGGATGTGAGACATCAAAATCAGACAAACGCCCAATCTTCGCTATCATACTTCTACTACCTTCACCACTCGCTCCTCTGCAAACTTCTGGGAAAGGGTCTTTTAGCCGAGCTCACCTTCCAGCGACGCTATACTGGCAGGCTGGGACACTGATTCAGACGCCGTCTTCCCTCTGCAGGACTTTCTGGGTGAGTCCTTAAACTGTTTCTTTTAGTTTGAAAGGCATCCCACCTTCGTCGCCAGTGTTAAGTCCTCTGTTCGATGGCGAATGATGAGGAGTCATGACAAAGTTAACAGCTCTTTATTTACAATCACCAACACTCGAACGAACAGACAGGCTCGCAGGCCTCTCTCTTAAAAACGACCAGAGACCCAGACAGAAACATAACAAAGTATCTGGCGTTTCGCACCTTGCACATGCGCACAAGGCCAGTGCCACTCAGTCTGATCCTGGGCAGCTTCTGGAATGCCCAGGACCATTGCAACATCCCGAGCCTGCTTTTGCAGGCTCAGGACACAACACCAGTCATATATTTTTCTAGCATGTTATAGTATTACAGTATTATTCAAATATTACTTCTTTACTACCTTCCCTGAAAGTAAGGCCTACCCCGAAAATAAACCCTAGCTTGATTTTTTGTGGTGAGCCTAATATAAGCCCTAACCCAAAAATAAGCCCTGGTTTTGGGATGAGGCACACACTTAAAAATCAAGCTAGGGTGGGGGATGTGTGGATCTGCCCTGTGTGCCCTGCACCCACCTATCTTGCAGCCAAGCCTCTCCTCACTGGCCCACTTCTTCTGAGGTGTCTTTCTGCAGCCAGGCCTGCATTTCTCAGTCACAGGCCTTTCCTGAAGGCCTGTGCAGCCGAGAACCAAACTATAGATTCAATCCATAGCTCGGTTCTGCAAGACATCTGCAACCGAGGACTGAGCTATAGATTGAATCAGTATTCGGCTGCATAGGCCTTCCAGAAAGACCTGACTGCAAAATGCAGGCCGGAATGCAGCTGCAGAATGAAGCTGCTCCTTCGACTCCAAAAGAAGTGGACAGGTTGGGCTGGGATATCGGTGCTGGAGGTAAGACATCCCCAAAAGTAAGACCTGGTGCCTCTTTTGGAGGAAAAAAAAAAAGACCCGGTCTTATTTTTGGGGAAACACGGTATTAGCTAAAGGCAAAGTTATTTTTTTCATATAGGCATTTAATAGAGCACTATACTAGTCACCAAGATCATCCTGTAATTATTCAATAGAAATCCTATTTAGTAAACTGCCTAGCAACATTAATTATTCCTCCCTGCGGTTGAGGGTATTTGATTCATAAGTATGGATTCATAGAAGAAGAATTAAATGAACGGAATATCTGGACCAACTGAATAGACTCACAGTTGCCCACCATCTGATTTCTTCTTTATTTATATAATGAAATATCACTATATCACTGGGCAGTCTCATATCCACTAGATATTTCTGCAATACTTCCCAGGTTTTTACCATTAGCCAAACTGGCCAAAGCTAGTTTAAATTAAAATACAGTGTATAAGGGGGGGGGAGATAAAAAGTGACAAATACTGTAGATCAGTGGTTCTTAACCTTTTTGAACAAATGACCCCCTTGAGCCAATGAGGAAGTTGTCATCGCCCCTCTCCCCCAACATAACCTCTCAATCATAACATAGGAAATAATTCTTCAATTTATGCAAACACTTATTTTGTTTTCTTTAAAATTGTCATCAGGACATATGATGCAAATAATTTATTTCCAGTCTTTTCCCCATATCTCAACTGTGTGAAAAATTTTGGTGCCACCATCTATTCCCAAACTTCATGATACATGTATTTCATTATTATCTTATTTATTCAAGACACTTAAATGTAATGACCACTGAAAACAAAACATTGGGAGCCGCACAACCCTTTTGACATCTAAAATGAAGATAACACTGCATGTATCCTTTTTTACCTTTATTATATATATATATATCTTCAGTGTTATCTTCATTTTAGATGTCAAAAGGGTCTCTCTCTCTCTCTCTCTCTCCCTCTTTCTGCCCTTGGTCTGCCAGTCCTTTCCCCCACTCAGTGTGTGTGTGTGTGAGAGAGAGAGAGGGGGGGAGGGAGAGAGAGGCACTTGCACTTCCTCTCTCTCTCTTTTCTCTCTCTTTCTCTTTCTTTTTCTCTTTCTCCTCTCCCTCGCTCTTTCTCTCTTTCCTCTCCCTCCCTCCCCCTTCTTTCTCCAAGTGAGGAGAGAGAGAGAGAGAGAACGAAAGGCAGAGGGTGCCAAAGGGGCGGGGGGGGGCAGGAGGCAGCAGAAGACCCCCTGTTGCTCCTGTTGCCTCTGGAGGCACCCAGCTCCGCTACCCGCCGGGCCTGCGGGGACACCCTGGCTCATGGTCATGTTGGCAGGCCATCCCATGTGTCGCTGGCGTCCCCGGGCTCAAGTCGGGCCACGGGGCATCTGCAGAATGCCCTGGCCGTCGACTGTATCGCCAAGCCTCCCCTCGCTCCATCGCCCCCATATCGTCCCCCTTTTCATTCCTTCACCCCCATGTCGCCCCTTTTCATTCCATCGCCCCCCTGAAAAATGAAATTGCCCCCTGGGGGGCGATATCGCCCAGGTTAAGAACCACTGCTGTAGATGTTATGATGCCACAAAGTACAATCTATGACTGATGAACTTGTATATGAAACTGGAATGCAAATATGAAAGGGTCAAATTGGCATCTTGTCATCACACTGCAATTTCCATATTATTGTCGTTGTTATTATTATTGCAATTAGTAATGCCCATATTCAGGGCATGAGGGTGTCTATTCTTATTATAGTAACATTTAAAAGAAGAAGAAAATAAAAGAAAATAACACCTTCCACTTACAGGAACATAAATTTGTAGTGGAGCAATTGAAAAAAATCTGTTCAAATAATAATTAAAGGGTTAATTAATTATTTTCATTTACTATGAAAAAAATGCATGTCACCAGATTTGCTACCAAGCTATATGTAGAACTATGTAGATTTTCATATAACGTATTTTATGGGTGATAGAAAAGATAATTGTATAAAAAAGAATAAACATACAAACATACCTTTACAGAAAAATATCTCACATCTCCGAAATAGATTGTATTCATCTTCCTGGTTCTGAGGTGTGCTCTGTACATTTGGGGGTTTGTGCATTTCATGATTTTATCAATACTAATACGAATCAATAAATACGTGTCACGTTTAACATTGACTGTGAGAGCTCTATGTTAAGGAAACATAAATCTTTCTGATCAGAAAATTACAGTAAAGCAAGATGACTACACAAAAGTCTTAGAAGATTTCAGAGCATGCTATAAAACATAATTAGATTTTTATATATTCAACTCTGACTTACAGGAATGTAGAATACAGTCTAAAAAGAAAACAAATAAGAGATGTTTTAATCTGATTTCTAGTGTTATGTGGCGCAGCATGTAAGGAGTATTTCCAAATTTGGTTTAAACAATAGCTGTATTCACAGATCATACTAAGTACTAAGCCATGATTTATTTAGCAAGTCAGAAACCTAGGATTGTTGTAATGTATCTGGGCTGTGAAAATCCAGACAAAAAAAATCTACCTTGGCAGAGAAGAGAAATAGAAAACTTTAATACTTTGCTGCTATCTAATGATTGTCTGCAGTGATTGTCTGTTGCCTTAAAAAACCATTGTCAGTCTTCTCAAATAAGAAAGCTGAATGAAGTAAATTCCTGGTTTGTTGCTCTGCACATTTTGGATTAACAAGTTTTGACAAGATGCTAAATAATCCAGGAAACTACAAAAAACACAATCGGAATCAGCCATGGTTGTGATTAATGACCAGCAAACCTAGTTTAAAACTAAAACATGGATTACTTAATGTATATTAAGGAATTAAATTACTGATGTTTGAAAGGAAGAAACAGGACTACTACTATTTTTAAGTACTGTCAGAAGAATAATTTGGGGTTCCAACTTGAGCTGGAGTTGGGCAAGAATAAATAAAAATTAGATCCAGATAGCTGTGAGGAAAGAAGAAATATTTATTCCTAAAAACAAAAAGTTTGCCTCTGGGGCAGCTGCAGAAAAATGGGGTACAGCGATGCAGTTTAAATAGGGGAGCTTGCCCTGGGTGTGGAAGTATCTACATGTTGATTCTTAGGGTGACACCTGAGGTGCATGGATGTGTGTAAGTATGTGTCATCTATGATGTTTATTCTTGTGAAAATGCAGTTCCGCTGGGAGATCTGATTTAATTAACTCTGTGTTTACAGAACTTCTCCTTGGATATGTGGATTAGGTCTGGGTAACTTATTTTGGGGTTTGAGGAAGTCTGAGTAAAAGATTTTTCCCCATTTGCTATTTTTATTTGATTAATTTAGTTTCAGCTTGACTGTCAATTATCTAGTGGAGATGCTGATTCTTAGCTCATTATGTTTTAAGAGAATATAGAAACAGTATAAAGAATAAAATATATTTTGATATAAAATTTCGCACAGTACGTTAAACAATAGCCTATGTAGTCTATTTTGAAGACAGGAAAAAACTTGAATTTTGCAGGAAAATACAGCATCCACATGTCTATTTATCAAAGCTGTTTTTTAAAAAATGCCTCAAATGTATTCTAAATTCACTACAATGTTGTGAATTTGTCAACAATGATATGCATAATTTATAGTCTAATCTTGATTACCTTTCAGGTAGATATATCCTGCTGCTTCTATTGCACCATATGTGTCTAGAACTACAGCAACATTGATACCATATTCATGAACGTCTCACATCATGTCTAGTTCTAAGAAAGTGTAGTTGTTAATCAGCTACTATACAAGCAACTGCAAAAAAGATACATTTGGCGGTGAAATCTTTGCACTGTTTCACATTAATTGCCAGCAAACCTGCCTGTTGAAATAGTAAACATCTAATTACCATTATATTCATTTCATTATAAAATCACATACAAACCTGAAAAGTGTATTTAACTGTCAGCACTTTGAGTTGAGAAACTGCTACTGTAGTTAGTACTGTACTAACAAAGTATCAGCATATGTTCTGAGCCTATTTAGCATACATTAGGATATTTTGACTTAGAATCATAGGGTTGGAAGTCTCCTTGTCCAACTCTCTGTGAGAGCAGGAATCCTCATACTATCCCAAATAGCTGTCCAATTTTTTCCCCGAAAACCTCACAGCTTCAAGAGCCCAGCTATTCACTGCTTAAAAGTTCTTATGGCCAGAAAACCCTTCCTTATTTCAAGACATGCTGTACCAGAACATACAGATCATAAGGGAATACTAAGACTGCAGTACATTATATCTCCATCATAGGCAGATATGCTAAGCTAATATATGGAACAATACAACCTTGTTTGGGTTGACTCAACTCCTGGGGCTTTGGACTCACTGTGCAGTTTTCTTGGCAACTTTGCAGAAGTGGTTTGCCACTGCCACCTTCAGGGCTATGTTTTAGACTTCACACATCGGTTTCTAATTGTGATATTCCCATATGCAGGTATTGGGAGGCCTGACTCTGCAGAACCTTTTATAGAACTCATAGGAAAGCTAAGGCTCAAAATGAACTAAGGCTTGCAACCAAAGTCAAAAGTAACAAAAAAAAGCTTCTTTCAACATGTAAAGAACAAGAAAAAAGTGAAGGAAATGATTGGTCCATTAGTGGGTGAAAGTGGCAAGAAGGTGACAAGCAACAGGGAGAAAGCAGAACTATTTAACTCCTTTTTTGCATCTGTCTTTACGCAAAGGGAAAAAACAGACCAACTTATCAAAAATAGTGCCATAAAAAACAAAATAGAAATACAAGTTAAGAGAGGCAAGAAAATGGTAAGTGAACACCTGTCCAGCCTAGACGAGTTCAAATCACCAGGACCAGATGGATTACACCCCAAGGTTCTCAAGGAACTGGCAGATGTGATCTCAGAACCATTGAACTATAATTTTCAAAGATCCTGGAGCACTGGAGAACTACCAGAGGACTGGAAAAGAGCTGATATAGTTCCCATCTTCAAAAAAGAAAAAAAAAAGGACCCAGGAAATTACAGACCTATCAGCCTGACCTCAATACTTGGGAAGATTCTGGAAAAGATAATCAAACAACGAATCAGCGAACACCTACAGGCAAACAAAGTCATTACTAAAAGCCAACACGTGTTTGTCAAAAACAGACCATGCCAGACAAATCTTATTGCATTCTTTGACCAAGTGACAAAATTAGTGGACCAGAAGAATGCTGTGGATATAATTTACTTAGACTTCAGTAAGGCATTTGACAAAGTAGACCACAACCTACTACTTGATAAGGTAGAAAAATGCAGGTTAGACAGCATCACCACCAGATGGATCCGTAGCTGGCTGACCGTACTCAGCGTGTGGTCCTCAATGGAACTGCATCTATATGGGGAGAAGTATGTAGTGAGGTGCCCCAGGGCTCTGTTCTGGGCCCAGTGCTCTTCAACATCTTCATCAATGATCTGGATGAGGGGATAGATGGGGAACTCATCAAATTTGCAGACGACACCAAGCTGGCAGGAATAGCCAACACTCCAGAAGACAGGGTTAGGATACAGGAGGATCTGGACAGACTTGAACACTGGGCGCTATCTAACAAAATGAAATTCAATGGTGAAAAAAGTAAGGTTCTACATTTAGGCAAGAAAAACCAAATGCACAGGTATACTATAGGGGGTACCTTGCTCTATAGTAGTAACTGTGAGAGGGATCTCGGAGTCCTAGTGGACAATCATTTAAATATGAGCCAGCAGTGTGCTGCAGCTGCCAAAAAAGCCAACACAGTGCTAAGCTGCATTAACAGAGGGATAGAATCAAGATCACGTGAAGTATTAATACCACTTTACAATGCCTTGGTAAGGCCACACTTGTAATACTGCATCCAGTTTTGGTCACCACGATGTAAAAAAAGATGTTGAGACTCTAGAAAGAGTACAGAGAAGAGCAACAAAGATGATTAGGCTAAAACATATAAGGAACGGTTGCTGGAATTGGGTATGTCTAGTTTAACGAAGAGAAGGACGAGGGAGGACATGATAGCTGTGTTCCAATATCTCAGGGGCTACCACAAAGAAGAGGGAGTCAAGCTATTTTCCAAAGCGCCTGAAGGCAGGACAAGAAGCAATGGGTGGAAACTAACCAAAGACAGAAGCAACCTAGAACTAAGGAGAAACTTCCTGACAGTTAGAACAATTAACCAGTGGAACAACCTGCCTCCAGAAGCGGTGAATGCTCCAACTCTAGAAGTTTTTAAGAAGAAACTGGACAGCCATTTGTCCAAAATGGTATAGGGTTTCCTGCCTGAGCAGGAGGTTGGACTAGATGACCTCCAAGGTCCCTTCCAACTTTATCATTACTATTATTATTATTATTAGTCTCCTGGCTTCTAGCCTGGTGCCCTAACCACTAAACCAAACTGGTTTTTTGAACCCAAACAAAATTAGCTGAGTGCTGCCAGTTGTGAGATCCAATGCACAGGCCACCAATGTTTGTAATTGATTTTAGCATAAATTAAGTTTTAAAATTTTAGATCAAGAATAGGTTTATACAACAGATGTGATGTTTCACAATGACATCTCCCACCATTAGTCGTCAAAATATATTTTGCAATCTTAAAGCAGCTGATTAGCACTAAAATGCAATGCATGACAATGAAACAAAGCTTTAATTACATACCACATCACCACAAGGAATTAAATTATGGATGTCAGTAGACATGTGAATTGCTGAATCTTCATTTATCTTCTGATTTTTCATCAACATCTATGAAAAAGGGTAAATTAGACTCTGTAAGCTGGAAAAATCATAGTTACTAGAACCTGAAAACAAAACGTAACAAGGAAAAGTGCTAAAAATTGGGCTGAAAAGCCATGACTTGTAAGGAAACTCCATTTCAACTCTGAAAGAGTTTGCATTGATGAAACATTTTATCACATGTGCAGTGATTTGGCCTTCCTGCCACCAAGTTGTGAAAGCTACAGTACATGCTGTTGCAGGAACAGCACATTATTAATTATTAAAAGATTCCTTAATAATTCCTCTAAAACAGTGGTTCTCAACCTTTTTAATGCTGCAACCCCCAATTGGTCGTAAGTCGAGGACTACTCAACCCATCGTAAGTTGAGGACTACTCAACTGGTGCAGCACCGTTTACAGAATGGGACTTTTGGCGGGCTCAGCAGGGCAGAGACAGCCTGGACAATTCCTATTGGCTTTTGAAAGCCAATAGAATTAGACTCTATTCAAGAGAGTCTATTCTATTGGCTTTCAAAAGCCAATAGAATAAAAGGGAGTAGCACAGCTAAGGAAAAGGGGAAAAAATGGCGGACTGCGTTGTTTGGCGACCCCCGTGAAATGGTCGTTCGACCCCAAATGGGGTCCCGACCCACAGGTTGAGAACCACTGCTCTAAAAGCATAAAGAATCTTCATTGCCTTCCAAGCAGAACAAAATTCAGAGGTGCTTTGAATAACACTTCTGGAGTTTGTTCTGCTGGGAATAACCTGCTTCATAGAGGCCAATCACATTGCCCCTTTGCTTCCACAAAAAGAAATCGGATGAGATCCATGGTGCATAGCTCTTATTTGAGGTGAATCAAAGTCATCTTAGATAGGCCTGGTAAATAATTCAATAAAAATATCAGCCAAGTATACTGCAGGAAAAAAGATCAATTTCATGTTAGGTCCACAAGGCCGTCCCCCAAAAGTACTAATTCATAATTCTCTATACAAATATATGGAATAATCACAGTTCTAATACTGGAAACCTTTTAATTATTGCACTTTAAAAAGGATAAAAAGGATGTGCAACCAGAATATGGAACGTGAGAAGTATGAACTAAGGAAAACTTCAATTTATCAAACTGCATTAGGAAAATAGGAAAAGAAGTCCATTAAATTGAATGTTTTAGGAATAAACAAATTAAGGCTGGATGATCTAGCTATATGCTTAAATTGGAATATGGTTGGCTATAATTCAGGCATGAGACCATACAAAGGAAAGAAATATCAGTGAAATCTCAAAGAACATGGCTAAATATATTTTGGCTAAACCCAGTAAACCAGGGGTCCCCAACCTCCGATCCATGGACTGGTACCGCCCGCGGCATGCCAGCAACCAACCTGCACCAAAAGCAAAGCCCCATCCATGAGATGCAGGTAGCACACAAAACCACGACCCCTCTGGTCTGTGGAAAAACCTCTCTCCACATAACCAATCCCTGGTGCCCAAAAGGTGGGGGACCTCTGCAGTAAATAACAGAATGAGTGAATATCCAGTGAATATTCTCTGTATAATCTAGTTTTCCTTAGATGACTCATCTTCTAATATATTGACAGAGAGAGAGAGAGATTAATAGTTTTTCAAATACCTATTCCAGATTTAATGCTTTCTGAAATGGTGAAAAACTAGAATCAACCGTTGCCATACTTTTCACTTAGCTGAGTTTTAAATGGGAGCCATAAGGAACATAGCTTATTTCCAGATTGTAAATTGCCCAAACGCAGTAGTTTATTTTTCTGTTTTCATCCATAATTTCTCAAACATCCAAACTAAAGTGCATTTTAAGAAGGAATGCAGCCAGGCTTTTGTTGGCAATTTGCACTTGCAATATATTATAAAAATTATTTAATAATGGTTCTAAAGAAATAAATTACATAGGTCAATCAGATGAATTAAATGTTTTCAGGAAGTGCTCTAAAAATGAATAAAGATTAATGTAAAGGAATCAAATAAGGGACACTTTCCTCCCCACTAAATCATAACCACACATAAAAAAGAATAAATTCTCATAGATGCTCATAACCTTCAAGCTAACTCTATAGAAATTAGTGACTTTAATATAAATCAAATTGAATTAGAGTTCCCAATTCTAGGGATGAATACATCTAAGGCAACAGATCCACACAAGAATATCACTTACAAATAAAAAAAAACAGAACATAATCTGACGATGATTAAGAAATGCTCTTTCAATAGCACATAATCAGTTCTGGCATTTATCCTGAGAACAGAACATTAAATGTAGCCTCAGAAAAACAACATTTTTGTACTCACTAAGCATACAGAGTTAGATAAAAACAGTTCAAATAAATAAATAAAAAGGTACTTCTGGGTCATCCCAGAATTTGGCACATTTGTAATCCAAGGTACAGGTATAATTAGAAAAGCTGCGAATTAGACATTTTGTGCCTTCAAATCCTAGAAAGGAAAGTTTACCTCATAATAGAAGCCAGCATTCTAGCGCGGGGAAAACCAAGTCTCAGCTAGAATGGAATGCTGGACTGTGGAAATTCTGCTTCCATTCAACACAGCCCTATTCTCACCTTCTCAAGCAGGTTGGCTGAATGCAAGAAGGGAGCAGGTTTGTGCCCTTTAGTTAGTCCTTAACTGGAGTGTGGGAAATGACAACTGTAGAATGGGAATGCTGTACATCAGCAGCCCTTGCTGTACATTGGTAGTCCCTCCCCTTGAATAGGGACTGTTTCTCTTTTGATATATATATCTTGATGGTGCAATTAGAATAGGGTCATACCTGCTCAGTTTTTACTTATTTTATCTTATAAAAAGTAGGTGAGCAGTAACCCAGAATTCACTGAACTTACCTACCGAAGGCAAAAGCATGTTGCTGTACACTTAAATCGTATTAGAATCTGAGAAAGGGGATTCTCTTTGTTTTCCAACAGTACTCGTCTATGCTTCTAGAGTCTACATTTTAGGTACAAGAAAAAATTAATCCAGAATAGAATTACTGGAGCTGGTTTTGCATGGAATCTAAAATTTTGGGAAGATCATAATTAGAAATTCACTTTGTCCTCCACTTACTGAATCGTCACTAGAGTGCACTTGCTCTAAAGGCATGAGGGAACAATGCATAGCCAAGCATCTCACAGAAAACTATGAAACAATGCTTATTTTATTTTGATTAAGAAACCACATAGAATTGTCCTTTCCAGTAACCCAGGCTTCTCCACTATGGTGCTCTGCAGTTTGACAAGACCACAGCTCCCAGAATTCCAGTATCTCTCAGCCTGGAATTCTGGGAGTTGTATTCTCATCCATTCATCAGCCCTCCAGTGGGGGAATGTTCAATTACAGATAGTCCTCAGCTTACAATCATTCAGTGACCGTTCAAGGTTACAATGGCATTGAAAAAAGTTATGACTGTTTTTCATACTTACAGCTGTTACAGCATCCCCATGTGATGAAAATTTGGATGCTTGGCAACTGGCATGTATTTATGACGGTTGCAGTATCCCAGGATCATATGATCCCTTTTTGCGACCTTTTGACAAGCAAAGTCAATGGGGTAGCCAGATTCATTTAATAATCATGTTACTAACTTAACAGCTGTAAGAAAAAAGTCTTAAAATGGGGTAAAACTCACTTAAGAACTATCTTGCTTAGCAATGGAAAGTTTGGGCTCAGTTGTGATTGTAAGTCAAGGGCTACCTATATTCCTTGATGTGCATGTACTTAAACCATCCAGTGTCTTTCAGAAGATTGACACGTACAGGCTTGTTGGCCTTTAAGGTGTCATGATCTGACTTATTTGTTCTGCTGTGTCCAGTTCCCAAGGCAAGCCTGGCTATTAAAGCCCTTGTTGTGTTCTAGAGAAATGGTCTAGAACAGGAGTTCCAACCTATGGTCCTCGGCCCGGTACTGGGCTTTGGCCACTGGGCCCCAGGGATAGCTGGTGAGACCCCCCCCACTCGTGGTAGCACTGCCGTGCGGGTGCTAGTAGCCCCATTTGCGCATGTGTGGGGATACTAGCACTGCTGCCAGCGTCATGTGGGCACCAGTGGTCCATTTGCAAACATGTGCGGGCATCAGCGGCCTGCTTGCGCATGCGTGCGGGCACTAGTGCTACCATTGTGCATGCACCCATTTTTGGCCACCAAGCCAGAAAGGTTGGGGAACTCTGGTCTAGAATGTATAAAGGCAATTCAAATTCATACTGTAAAGAAGGGGCATTTTATCATGCTTGGTGGACATGTAAAAAAGCTAGAAAATTTTGGACAAATACATACATAGACTGTAAAGATTAATATACAATTGGGACCAGAGTTCTTTCTTTTGGGATTGATGGACAAACATTTGAAAAACAGTACTGGAACTTTTATTTCTCTGGTTAGAGAAAAGACAATATCTATGTTTATAAGTTTCCTGGAAGTCCCTCATGGACGTTTTGGGAAAAAAGAAAAAAATGAACTTATGATTTTGATGATTGGACAGGATAGATTACCATTCAAAGCTACAACAGCACTGAAAAAAGTGACTTATGACTGCTTTTCACCACTTAACAACTGTCATAGCATCCCCAAGGTCATGTAATCAAAATTTGGATGTGTGGTAACCGACTCATATTTATGACAATTGAAGTGTCCCAGGGTCATGTGATCTCTTTTTGCAAACTTCTTAAAAGCAAAGCCAATGGGGAAGTCAGATTCACTTAACAACCATGTTACTAATTTAATAACTACAGTGATTCACTTAACAACTGTGGCAAGAAAAGTTGTAAAATGGGGCAAAATTCACTTAACAAATGTTTCACTTAGCAACAGAAATTTTGGGCTCAATTGTGGTCGTAAGTTGATGACTACCTGTAGAATGAAATTGCAAACTTAGAGAAAAAGATTAACTTATAATTGTAGTTATAACTGTTATAAAGAAGAGGTCGGAGACCTTTTCACCCCCTTTTCTCTTTTTTTTTCTTTGTTGCTCTTTCAATTTCTTTTCCTGTTTCTTACTTGATAGTAGTTTGTATTAGTTTTTAATCTTCCTTTAAAAAACTTTTAATAAAATTATTTTTAAAAGGTAAACTGCGTTCAGAAGTGAGCGGATAAACCCGGTGCCAAAAAGAGCCAGGTCCTCGGCCTCGCACGTCAGTCCCGACCCGGGAAGCCCCGCACGCAGTACTGCACCTTGAGGAGGGAGCGAGCCTTCTCCCCTTTGAGGTTGTCCGTGGGGGGGACGGCGGCATGGACGGAGGAGCTGATGTCGCGCAGGCCGAGGATGGTCGACACCGAGAACTGCGAGATGCCCGACTCTCCTTCCGTCGAGCCTCGGGTGGTGCTGCTGGTGGTGCTGCGGACGCGTGAGGAACTGGTGGAAGCGGGCCCCTCGTCCGTCGAGTCCCGTCGCGGCGACCACGGGACATTGGGATGCAGCGGCGGCAGCTCCACAGTAGTGTTCATCTTGCGATGCCCAGGCGCCGCCATGGCGAGGGCGGCTGGAGCTGCGACTGGGCCTCGGGCTCAGGCGTCGGCTGCTCGGGAGGCTGCCGACCGCGTCTTTTTCGCATCTCCAGCTTCACTGGGAGAGCCTTCCTGCGAGAGGCGGAGAATTTCTGGCGAGCCGCCTGCTCCTTGCTCCCGGCTTGCTTGCCCTCCCCTTTCCCGCTCAGGCGTCGTCACAATTTGGATCGCTGGCGGCGGCGGCAGCGACGGCTGCCTGGAGTTATTAAAACCCACATCCCTGCCCTGCCTGAAGACGTTGATCTTTCTCTTCTGTTGGTGTTGGAAAATAACATAGCCACAACCTGGTAAGATTTTACTGAAACTAGATTTGGTGTTGCACTCAGAAGAACGCCATAGTGGTTAACCAGATAATGAAGAAACTCAAATCGGGACCTTCCTTAAGTTGCCCTTTTGCAAGTAAGTAGACTGGACACTCATTTGAAGTTCATGGCTAATAAAAGGTATTTTCTGATAGATTGATCATTCTGTCAAATGCCTTTTAAAGTTTTTTGAGTTCATGCCCTCAGTCTATACCGTTGGCCTCATTCTTATGGTATACTAAATCACAATCAAACTAACCACATTAAGGCTCAAGCAGAACAGGTTAAGACCAGCTTATCATAGTGAAGCATGGTGTCATGAAGCATTTCCTTACCTGTCATGTATATTGTTGTACATTGCAAGAATTGCATTATGATCCCATGGATAATGTACGATTCCCTATATTAACAATATTTTTATAGTTGTTATTTTGGATTGATATAGTTACCCTGTATTCAAGTGCTTCTTTCCCTAATAAAAAAATAGGTTCCAATGCAAGCCTGTCTATCCAAGCGGGTCTATTCCAATTGTTTATACAATACAGAATATTGACTTACCCAAATCTGATAGGTTCAGGTCAGAACTAGTCCTAGCAGCAAATTACTCTTAGGAGAAGTCATTCCATCTTTTGGGGATAGGTGCACAAACTTTTGTAATTTAGAACATCTGTGGAAGTATTTTTCAGAGGTTTCTATATGGAGATCATGTGTAATGAATGGAATGCCCTTAAATTAGTGGAATAAGCAAAATTTATTTCTTAAATCTTCAACCTGTGGCTTCTGAAATTTCTTTTTGTGATACTTGAAGCTAATTATACCTGCCAAAAATCGATAGTGATTTCCTACTATTCCAAGGTGGAAATTAAAGGGAAACGGTAATGTAAATCCTACAAGATGCTTCAAATATTTTTAAAAACCCATAGCCCAACCAAAAACGTAAAATCCTAGCCTAAGCTGTTACATGGCACAATCCAGGCTGTTTTGAATTATGTTCCTTATTCCATTTTTTCCAATAGATTGTTTATTCCTATTTTAGAATGTAAAATGAGCTATCTTTTAGTATGCTCTCTGAATAGTTGGTTTCAATATTTAAAGTTAATATTATCTGTCCATAATTGAAGAAAAGCAATCTAACTTGACAAAAATCCTAAAATTAATATCGTATATGCAGTTCACACATATCTTTCAAAAAATGGGGAAATTATGGAAAATTGCTTTTTAAAAATCCTGAAAATCCTAAAGAATGCCTTTTAAAATTCATAGTATCACTTTTAAATGAATTTGAACTTTTAAAATGATTTGACAGTCTAACCTGCATAATATTGAACGGATAAGACTTTTTATAAAATGCCCATAATGTTTTTATGCTTCTGCTGTAATCTAGTCTTCATGTATGTACTACTAAAACTCTTGTTGTGGTAATCTTTAACTGGGTGAAAGTTGCATAAAATCCATAGAAAATAACTTGATTGAGAAAAATGCTTTTGTATTGTATTATTGTATAACATGTAATTAGCATAATTACAAAATTCATTTAACTTAAATGTTTAAAAAGTGTAAAAAAATATTACATGCAAGTATAAATGACTGAAGCATCTTATGAAATCGAAGAAGTTGCCTGTGCTAAGAAGACATTTTAGCTTCTTTGTCTGGGAGGGGATATTCTTCCACTTCACCATTAAACATCAGCTCTACAAGAAAAAACAAAGTGTCATAGGATATCAAAATACAATGAAAAATATATGTACAATAAAATCCATTAAAAATAATTCCCCCATTTTCTCCTTCCACCTGGAAACATGCTCTTCTGAAAATATTACAGCTGGGGAATAGGTTGCAAGTTTGTGGGAAACAGGAAAGAAAACCTTAGCATCAGGACTCCCTATTTGCCTATGTAGACTCCTTCAGATTATTGTACATCTAAAGCTCTCCTTTCCAAGCTGAAAAATATGTCACTCGGCGTTCTAAGATTCCCTAAAATTATTAACGCTTTATTCTCAATATATTTACCAGTATTGTTAACAAGGAAATAACACTTGTTAAATGTTATAAATATCAGAAACATCACAATTAAAATAAGGCAAACAAATAAAATATAAAATACAAATTAAAATATGTACTTGTTCAATGCATTTATAGCAATAGTGAAGCTGAGATACTGAATTCTATTTATTGCTGGACAATCCCTCAATTTAATTTCTCTAATCATTCTGCAGTACTACTGTCACTTCAAATATATTCCCATATTCTCAGTTTTCTAACAGAAAACAGTTTTCTGCTGTTTCTTTTCTTGTGGCTGATGACTGAAATTACTGCCATACTATCTCCTCCCTTTCCCTAGTAATTTCCTTGATCTAAAATTATTTAGGAAAGAACCAGCAATTTGCCATTCAGATAATCTATTAAGGAGATTTCCATATTTTAATGGATTACAATCTTATCTTTTTCTGTACCTTCACTGTGATCCAGCTGTGGCCGATATGACAAAAAGAACCAGGAGATCCCAACAAGAATAGCTATCACAAGATTAACTACAATCCAAGGCTGAAGAATCTGTTTTTCTTCGTCTGAAATCCTGGGTGGAGTTGCGGAGTGGGAGAGAGGAGAATCATACGTATTTATTAGTTATAAAAGCTTCAGTTATATCTGTATAATCATACATATATAGTAAAGATATCCTTAAATTAACTGTCTTTTAAGAAGGAAAAAAGTCCATAATTCTTACCAAAGGCTACCATTTTCTAAAGATGGTGTGTACAAGTTGATCCTGTCACTTGTCATTTGTTGGCTCAGGGACAAGATAAGAGCAGCAAAATACACTGGAAGAAATGAATAATGTTTATTATTGAGATATTCCAGATTTTGGAAGAGTTAACAACACATTGACATGTTTGATTCTTATGTTTCTTCCATGAATCTGATTCACCAGTGTGCAGATAGTCCTCGACCTTATGACCAAAATTGAGCCCAATATTTATGTTGTTAAATGAGACATTTGTTAAATGAGTTTTGCCTCATTTTAAGATCTTTGTCACAGTTGTTAAGTGAATCACTGCAGTTGATAAGTTAGTAACACAGTTGTTAAGTGAATCTGGCTTCCCCATCGATTTTGCTTATCAAAAGGTTGCAAAGGTGACCTTTTTGATGGTGTAATATTGGATATAGACTGAGGAAATTAATATAGACCACTGAATTACTAATGGACCCAGACAACATGTTATTTATTAAGTATTTGACTGTAAAACTAGAAAATTAATATTTATTAAAAAAACTGTGAAAATGATTATACTATTGCCACAACCTCCCAAATTGTTTGATCACTGCCTAGATTTTTCCTTTCAGGAATTCCAAAAGAACAAAACACTTTGATAGCATTCAGACTGCTCTTTTCTGTCCTATATCAGAAAATAAACTTGCTGCATTTTAGTCTATTCAGAGGACAGATACAGAAGAGAATTGTGAGATACAAACCTGCAAAATTAGTTTATGAGTTATCAAATTATTACTTGATAAATATATAACCAGGTTAGCACTACTTTTATTTAACAAAATATACTGGTAGTCTTTATGGAAATGGTTGCTTTTTTACAATACACAATAATGTGAAAACAGAAGAATAAAGCTGTAAGATCAGAATGAAAATATAATTAAAACATAAACTGGAGTAACTAGCTAATGCTTATTGGTCAGCTAATACTGTTTACTCACTGAAAGAAGCAATTGCTGTTGGATCCAATGTAAGAAAACTGCGTAGTGCCACTGCTGCTTTAGCCAAATTGATTCTGAAAAATGAGTATGAAATTGATTTAATTAAAAGGAGCCACTAACTGATTGACTTTGTTCTGCTATATCTCATAAGAAATTATCCACTGATGTTAAGGAAATATGATGTTCTCTAAAACCTTGATCTAGGGGCCAATTATTTCATCAGAATAATTAACCTGTGTTGGTATCATTGGTTAAAACTAGATGTCTCCAATTCAGAAATATTGATAATAAAAGTTTTTTAGTAAAAGAATAAAGAGTTTCAAACGTAGGAAGTATAAGAAACTAACAGAACACAATGCAAATCTTTCTGGCCTGAGAATAGTTTCCATACTGAACATCTTAAACATCATCAGAGAAACATCTGCACTGCTACAATTATATATCAAGAGTTTAAGCTATTAATCATTGTTTCAATTAATAAGATAGCTTCACAATGAATCATAGGCATTGTCACCAAGACAGAAGAATGCACAAATACCTGTCAAAAGCTGAAACGGTACTAATTGTAAGTAAAAAATAAAGGAGGCATTGAGCAGGATATGCCAAAGTCTTGTACTGCTGTAGCAAATTTGAAAGGGTTGAAAACTGATTTCCTGCCAGAATATAAATCACTACGATGTTCCACACAGCATAGCCAGCGAGAAAGCCGTGAGTAAAAAATCCAATTACTCTAGTAAAAGAAAGCATATTAATAAAAAATTAAACTTTGACAAATCTTACAGAGTTAAATGTTCAGAATGTCAGATTTACAAGAACCTTTATGTCCACCATCTTAAATTCAATTTCTAGTGAATTAGAAAGTCAGAATTCCCTAAATTCATGATTTAGTGAATTAAATTCAAATTCTAGCCTCTGAATTTGCCTTGTTAGTAGTTTTCACTTATGCAATAGGGACTTTTGTATTCAAGTTTCAAGTTATTAACCTGTATTCAAGTTATTCAAGTCACAGAGAGTAATGCTCAAAATCAAAAAAATTTAATTAATAACCTCTATTCAAATATTTTTGTAGGTGGCAAATAATATTTATAAGAAATAATTACAAGTGGAGGCCAATCATCCTATCAATTACTATCATTTTCTGAAGGAATTACCAGGATGTTAATTGTTGTGGAAGACTATTTATTTGATGTGACTGAACTCAAGTGTGCAGAATATTACAGTGATTATGCAAGCGCCATACATTAAAACTTTCAGACAAACATCTTAAGATGGACAAATGGGAAGAATTAAGATGCAGTGGAAATGTGCTTCTTATGACGAGTTTCTGTTAATATATCCTGAAACAGAACTTCTTGTAAATAGTCTTAAATTTATTAGATATTCCAGCTCAGAAAAAGTTATTTTGGCCAAGAGTCAGCAGGCACATTCACAGTATATGGATAGAAAAAGCTTTGTGGTAAAGGGCTGAGTTGCAAATTTCACATACATCTCTGTGTTTTAAGCCTTAAAACCAAGTTTTGTTACCAAGCCAAAACTATAACGTTAAATTAAAAACTGTCTGCAGCAACTTAGCTTGGGCTATAATGATAGAGTGGGACCTGCAGGGGAACATATTTTCTCCACAGCTCTAAAGCAAGGTTAATTGATTGTTAAGTAGATGCTCACCTGCATTGTGAAGTGAAATCTCAGGGAGCTTGGTAAACAATTGCATCTTGGTGAATCAACATTTTAAGTGTACATGAGATCATGACAAAGAGAGATGGTGGAAAGGAAGAGAATCTGATTCCAAAGTCAGGAGAAGGCGTCATTGGACATTTTATTTGTTTTAATCACTTGTTCATTTTTAATGATGTCAATAGTGGGAATAATTTCATACCTAAAACCACGATGAACTGAAAGTGCCACATCCTTAGTAGTCCAAGAAGCCTTTACATCCATAAACACTTGAACATGTTCAGTAGTTTTAATCAAATCCTTGCGATCTGTGGCCTGAAAACGCCCTGGGGGGGGGGGGAAATGTTAAGTGCTTGTAAGAAAAATATTGTTAAAGCTTCCTATTACTATACTTGTTCATAAAAATTCAGGTTAATTTTTTGGTGAGTGTAAACTGAGACTACATACATATGCATACATTTTTATTACAAACTCATTGCTGATCTTACTGTATATCAAGAATGTCATCTGAAAGCAAACCCTATCGACTTCAGTGAAACACGACTATTTGGAAGATGACTATTTGGTGGTACTTTATTTGCTATAGTCATCAGAAGCCCCCTTTTCAGCCTAATAGCCAAATTCATAACACTTTGGTTCTACTAATCTCAGCCATAATCAAAGAAGGAAAAAATGGATCTGAATGAAGTATTAAAATTATTATATCAACTTATTGCGTCCGCAGAATCTCGCCCGGCCGCCTTGTTTAGGGTGACCCGCTCCCTTCTTAAAGTGGAGGAGGCGGAGGAACCCTTGCAGGGGAGAGCTGAGGAGTTTGTTCAGTTTCTGTCGGACAAAATCGCTCAGATTCAGAGAGACCTGGACTCCGACTGGGCAGTGCCAGCCGAGTTGCCAGGGGCTGGTCTTAGTCATGTTATCTGGAGCGAGTTTGAGCCTGTGACCCCTGATGAAGTGGACAAGGCCGTGAGGGCAATGAATGCCGCCACCTGTTTATTGGACCCGTGCCCCTCCTGGCTGGTTTCTGCCAGTAGGGAGGTGACACGAGGCTGGCTCCAGGCGATAATCAACGCCTCCTTGATGGAGGGGTCTTTCCCACAACCTTTAAAGGAAGCGGTGGTGAGGCCCCTCCTCAAGAAGCCTTCCCTGGACCCAGCTGTTTTGAAGAACTTTCGTCCCGACTCCAAACTCCCCTTTGTGGGGAAGGTTGTAGAGAAGGTGGTGGCGTCTCAACTCTTGCGATCCTTGGAGGAAACCAATTATCTGGACCCTTTTCAATCTGGTTTCAGGCCCAGCTACAGCACTGAGACTGCTTTGGTTGCACTGACCGATGACCTCTGGCGAGCCCGGGATAGGGGTTATTCCTCTATCCTGGTGCTTCTTGACCTCTCAGCGGCTTTCGATACCATCAACCATGGTATCCTTCTGTGTCGTCTTGGAGGTGGGGGTGGGTGGCACCGTATTGCGGTGGTTCTCCTCCTACCTCTCTGACAGGTCGCAGTCGGTGTTGGCGGGCAGACAGAGATCGACCCCTAGGCGCCTCGATTATGGGGTGCCTCAGGGCTTGGGCCTGTCCCCCCTCCTTTTTAACATCTACATGAAACCGCTGGGTGAGATCATTCGGTGACACGGGGTGAGGTATCATCAGTACGCGGATGATACCCAATTGTATATCTCCACCCCGTGTCCTTTCAGTGAAGCAGTCAACGTGATGTGCCGGTGCCTGGAAGATGTGAGGGTCTGGATGGGGGTGAACAGGCTTAGACTCAACCCTGACAAGACCGAGTGGCTCTGGGTCTTGCCTCCCAAAGGCCAACTGGACGGTCCATCTTTAGTCCTGGGGGGGGCAAATTTACCTCCCTCAGTGCAGGCACGCAACTTGGGTGTCCTCCTGGACTCACAGCTAAATTTGGAACAACATCTATCGGCTGTGGCCAGGGGGACCTTTGCACAGGTTCGCCTAGTGCACCAGTTGCGGCCTTATTTGGACCGGGAGGCTTTACTCACAGTCACTCATGCCCTTGTCACCTCAAGACTGGATTACTGTAACGCGCTCTACATGGGGCTACCCTTGAAGGGCGTTCGGAGGCTGCAGTTGGTTCAGAACGCAGCCGCGAGAGCGATTGTGGGCGCGCCAAGGTACGCCCATGTGTCACCTATCCTCCGCGAGCTGCACTGGCTTCCTGTGGGTCTCCGGACGCAATTCATGGTGTTGGTTATCACCTTTAAAGCCCTTCATGGCATAGGGCCAGGTTACCTACAGGACCGCATTCTGCCGCACAGCTCCCAGAGACCGGTGAGGTCCCATAGATTGGGCCTCCTTCGGGTCCCATCGGCCAGACAATGTCGGCCGGTGGGCCCTCTGGGAAGGGCCTTTTCTGTGGTGGCTCCGACCTGGTGGAATCAACTTCCCCCCGAGGTGCGAACTGCTCCCACCCTGCCGGCCTTTAAGAAAGCCGTTAAAACTCTCCTGTTCCGGCAGGCCTGGGGCTGATGTCCCCGGGCGGCCGGGATATGATCGGACTTGCGGTATGATTGGATTATTTTATTGTTTTACGACTGTTTTTAATTTTGTACGCCGCCCTGAGTCCTTTGGGATTGGGCGGCATATAAATATTTGTAAATAAATAAATAAATAAATAAACCTCTGGGACAAATGGAAATTCAGGCACTTTCCCCCCATTTGAGAAAGTTAAGATTCGTTGGTTAAGGCACAAAATAGTATCAAGAAATGTAACAAAGCTTTTAATTAGCAGCTCTAAATGATTATTTTTATTTACTTATTATTACATTTCTACACCACCCATCTCATCTATGAGAGAATCCTAAATATGAGATATTATTTCTCTATATGAATAAAAATAAATAGCTCTGGGTGGTTTACAAAAACAATATATTCAAATTTTCTTAGAGCTTCATGATGTCAGACAATACTATTTCTAACAGCAGGAACAGTATAATGCATTAGGTGGAGAAGGATATCCCTCAAAAAGTCTGCAAATTTTTTCAAAAGAAAATGAAATGGCACAAAGGCAAATTCTCTAAATCAAATTTTTAAACTTTCTTTCAACAATAACTTTTAGGATAAGTTCCTGCACTTTTTTAAATCAAGTGACGGTGAGGGTTGTCTGATGGCACAGATACTTCATGTAAGCTTTGTATTAATTTTAATATGAATATATTTATTGATCAGTCAATTGACCGTATCAAAGTATGAGCATCAGCCAGAACAAAATACAATGAGATAAGATACAGTGGAGTGAGTTTCAAAAGAGTCATACTTAAGTAAGGATGTGCTTGCACATTTTGAAGTACTATAAATTCAACTTAAAGGATATTTATTAATGTACCCCCCCCATACTTGATATTCTAGAAATTACTAAATATGATGTTCTAGAAAATACCGAAAATCTGGTTGTTCTCTCAGGCCTTGAGATAAGGTAGCATAAACCCCTTTTGGTTTTGTTTAGTTTTCTTTTTATGGTCCACCATGCTCTCTTTTATGTTTGTTTTTTTTTAAATTATAAGTTGCCACAGTTACTAAGTGGCCCTGAAATTGATTAATTGAATGAATGACTGAACAGACAGACATAATCTGGATAAAGAAAGTAATTCCTTCAAGATATAAGATGAGAGTTATCATCATCATCATCTTTTACCATATTTGTTCAAATATACTAACATTTTGTTGTTATAAAACAAATTACTTACGATTTTTTTCAACGAACACTTTACTAACAGGTTGGCTAACCCCAGTAGGAGCAGAAAACATAGAACGTTGTTCTGTGCCTTTTACTTGCTCATCCTCAATTATATCTTCATCCTCCACACACAATTCACTGGAACTTTCTGCAGGCCGGGTTTTCCTAACATTATAATAGCAAAGAAAAAAGTCATTCTCTTCTTTAATGCTAGTGACTCAGGGTATACCTGTATCATATATTTGCTAGGATTGTGCCATAATCTGCATTCAAACAGAAAAACATTAAATATGAGGTGAGTACAAAATATCATCTGGCACCTGCTTAAATCAAATGCATTTTTTCCTAAATTTGCAAACTGTAGATTCAGAAAAAGATGCAGTAGTTTTAAGGAACTGCTGAAGTCTCCAAATCTTCTTTCTCCCTTCAAATCCACAGAGCTTTTATGTTCCTCAAAGGATGATCAATGCTCTTCTACTATGATGAAATACAGTAAGAAGGTGGATTCATAGAACAGAAGGGGATACATTCCAGAGGAGTAAAAAGCAACCCAGCCCAGATTGGTGTGAAAGGAAGAGGGTGAAGATAGTCCCTCCCTAATAGTTCACATTTTAGATGCAGATTAAATACAATGCTTAGTCTGGCAAGATTTTGTCTATAGGTGTAAAACAATAAAGAACTCAGCTTGGAAGAATCATGTGATATTTTTGGTTTTGGGCCTGGCAACTATAGTGAACTAGACTAGAAGATGATCCAAAGTATATGCTCCCACATCAGAAATTTATAGGAATCAAATATGATACACAATGTTAAGTAAGACATATTGCATTTAACCCTGTCACTGTAAAAGAAAGAAGGAAAGAATGAAAAATTCTGGTTAACGATAGAGATAGGGCTTTGTTGCTTGATGTCATGGCATCTGTCTGGCCAATTTCATCTTGCAGAGTTGGCATGCTTTGAATAAATCTGTAAGGACCCTCCAAGGATGCTTTCTCTGGAGCAGTGCCTGCTTTTAGGAAGGAGGTCCTTCCCAAGAACTGAATGTCCCTCTTTTTTGTCTAAAATAATGAAGGGGTGTGTGTGTGTGTGTGTGTGTGTGTGAGAGAGAGAGAGAGAGAGAGAGAGAGAGAGAAAGACAGACAGACTGACTGAGAGAGACCTTTGCTACATTGTGCTTGCTATCTGTTGCATATTATATTTATATTTCATTAACTTTATTGTGATTTCTTTGTTGGGAGCTGCCCAGGGTCACTGAGTCTCAAGCTGCATACAAGTTAATAAATCATGATTATTATTTCCTATTTTTCTGGAGTACTATTGAGTAAGAGGAAGTTTTGTCTTTTAAGTGATGTAAATAAACAATTCCAATAGGCTTCCTGTAATCTGGAATATATTTAGGGTTGCATTGATACATGCATTTTTGGCTCTACATTTTGGTTCTACATCATATACTTTCAACTTTCATTCCAAGAGTCAACATGAAAGAAATGTGTTTCAACAAAGTATACATGCTATTAACTTTACAGACATCACACAATGGTTTGTGAATGAGCAGAGTAATGACTATCCATTTAGTGATACTGGCATACATAGAATAACTTGACTTAATCTAGGAGCATAATAGAAAACAACTCATACATGGAAAAGTCCCTCTTGCCTCTGAATGAGGATACTGTTTCTTAATAGGATATTTTTTTTCTTGAAATATGTTCCATGCAGCAACATTATTTTAAGATAGACAGGTAAACATGACATTAAAAAAGAGAATCTTTACCTGCAGTACAATCAGATACATGTGCGCAAAATTATCTTAAATGTGTTTCTTGGTTTGGAATTATTTATTTGTTCCCTGAAAAGAGTTAAACATTTACTAAAATGTTTACCAAATCGCCAAGCTTGGAGATCAACCCAACAGCCCAACTACCAACCCGAGCTACTAATACTGAAACACATCTCATTTACTAAAATCTTTGGGCAGGCATACTTGGCAATTAATACTAAGCTGTGAATAAAATATTCAAATCTAGTCTCAGTTATACATTCATTTCATAAATCTAAATAAAAACCTTTCTTAAACCTCAGTTTTCATTGCAATATCGGTGTATCAATCAAATGTTATAGCACTGCATGAGAATAACAGATAAATGACATGAAGAGCTTAAGCATTCCGAAATTGTATACACAAATATCTCTCTCTCTCTCTCTCTCTCTCTCTCTCTCTCTCTCACACACACACACACACACACACACACACACACACGTAGATAACTGGGATAAAAGATCATCAGCTTTTACTGTCAAACAACATAAACTGTAAAGCTTGTTACTTCAGAAAGAATATGGAAGTCAAAATGGAATATCTCACTTTACTCTTTTCAATTGTTTACGAGTTATGGTTTCTTCCACTGGTGAAGTATCCATGTCATTTCCATTCTGTTCAGTAAATGATGTTTCAGATTCTAAAAATGGAAAACAAGAAAATTTGTGCTGTGTAAAAACATTATTTGTACCCTTAGTTCCAGAAGAGATGGGTAAGAGAGCAAGGACATCCTTTGGCAATAAGGTTTTATATAAATGAAGTTCCTTTTCTTCTTCACAAGAATAATTGTGTGAAGAAGATATAGATGTAGGGTCCTTAGATAAAAGGAAATAAATACACTAAAATGTGTCTCGAATTCCAGAAACCACACAGAGAAAGTATTCAGTACATTTATTTCCTACCTTTCCAATAAGGAGCAGTACATGCATCTCCTCAAGAAGTTTTTCTCATGAGTAAATCAGGCAGGAACCCCATATTTATCGCCTTGGGTTCCAAATGAAAGGTGAGATATAATATAAATAACTTTGTAAGATAGATTGTGCTAAGAGGTAATGATTTACACAAACAGTATGTTTTACGAGTGATTTTGGATTGGAGATGTATCTTCCTAGTCATATCTCAATTGGAAAATGTTATCTTGCTGTATTAAAAATTAATTCCAAAACATTACAGCTGTTGTACATCTCATAATAAAAATCATAAAACACTTTTGCTATAAACCAGTATCTTTATTTTCTTTATCCTAAGATTAGACTGCCCAAACAACTAAAAATGCATTACCACTGATTTTGTTATTTTTTTTTTATTATGAGATACAGTATTGTAAGACATTATGAGGAACTGTATAGTATTTTGAATACTTCTATAACCATGTCATGCAAAAAAGTGGTAAGGAAGCAATATAGTTGTACCTCTTGCTGGTTGCCTTTTCTTTTCTTTTTAACATTTCATGGAAACTAATAACAACACTGGTTATGTAAGCATGGGCATCTCATCAGAAATGAGCTGCAATCAGCATCACCTGTTTTTCTTCTAATAGTCAGAACATAAATATGTCTGAGCAGAGAAGCGATTGTCACATTAAATCTGTTCTTCTAATAACTGCATTCTAATGAAATGGAAATGACCAATTATAGGCTGGTTTGTATCTCATACCATTCCGAAAGATGATGAACAGAACAGTAGCTTCTCAACTGCTGCAAGCAGTTGAAGCAGATAATTTTGACTCTGGTTTCACAGGAAGGGTTAAGCCTGCCTTGGTAGACAAAATGATCTTTGGTTGGGGAAGAGAAAGAATTTGACTTCTTTATTCTTCTTGACTTCTCATCAATTTTCACTACCATCAACCACGACTTCCTTCTAAATTTTAGAAGGTATTATTGAAATATTTTATATGCTTCCATTCCTATCTGTCAGGCATGCGCTTAAAATAGTGTTGCTTGGACACAGTTGCTCTATGAAACTGGAATTCATGGTGTCCCTCGGGTTTCATACTATCTCCAATGCTTTCAGTGTCGATACAAAGCATCTCAATGAGATCATTAGGCATTTTAGATCACTATATCCAATTTGTTTCTTTGCAACATCTCCAGGTATCACATCTGGGACACATCTGAATGATTGCAGTCAATAATGGGCTGTATATGGGATAACAAACTGAAACAGGATAACCGGAATTGCTCATTAAAAATGAATCACAGTTTAAGATTTTAAATGTGCTTCACATTTCTAGGAGATCATCTTTTGTCTCAGAGTGCTTCTGAATCTGAAGTGTATTTGGGTTGATACTTTCAACTTTTAATTTTACTTAGGGAAAATTGACATAAGAAGGTACTGCAGACACTGGTATCGCTCAGCCTTAACTATGGGCAAGCTCTGGAAACTTAATACAGAAGTCAAGGACATAAAACTTAGATCATATTGTTATCTATCTATACTGAAGGTTTTATACTGGCTGCTGTTTCATTTCCAAATGTGATACAAAGTGCTGATGGTTACGTTTCAAGCCTTCTATGACTTTTAGCTTTCTAAATCTAAAAACATCTCTTTCAACAGACCATGATTTAATATTCTTAGATTGAAATTTCATTTTTATTATAAACCATTTTAAATCATTCTAACTAGCAGAATAACCATTCTAATAAATAGCAATGATGCACTGCATTGGCTTGTATTCTCTGCTGAAATTGTTTTCAAAATTCTATACATACCTAGAGGCACCTTCTTTTTCCTGCGCTTCTTCTGAGGTGGAACGTCCTGCGTTTCAGAGGTCAGAGGCTCACTGCTTTCAGATACAGCAACTTGACCAAAGCCATCTAAAATGGATTATGTGTCATTAAGTCAGTATTGACTGTTAGTAATCATAGACTGATGTTATCTAAAAAGCACTCATGTGCATTACAAGATGCTTCCAAGACTTTGAAGATCTGTACAAAAAAATCTTTGAGCCTAGTTAACTCTTGCTGAATTATTCAAAGACTTTATTGGAATATTTTACACAGTATTTACCAGCAAGTACAAACTGTAATTCCAAGTTAGGGTATTGTTTATTACAGATTATTCCTCAGGTTATGATGGCATGGGGACTGATATTGCTATTGCTAAGTGACATGATTGTAAAGTACTTTGCTAAATCATTAAGCAAGGAACATGCAGGTTGTTAAAAGATCGCAACTTGTGACTTCTTGCCAATCTATCCATTGACTTTGCTTGTGGGTAGCTTGCAGGGAATGTCAGAAATTACAAACGTAATCCAGCAGCCATTAGGATTTACCTTTGTACTACCTTTAGCTGCTTGTGTGTATATTGCTGATGGCACAATGATTAGAAGGCAGTATTGCAGATTAACTCTGCCCACAGCCTGGAGTTCGATCCTGATGGAGCCTAAGGTTGACTCAGCTTTCCATCCTTCTAAGGTCGGTAAAATAAGGACCTAGATTGTTGGGGGCAATATGCAAATAATGCTTGTACACTGTAAATAGCCCAGAGAGTGCCATAAAGCACTGAGGGTGGTATATAAGTCTAAATGCTATTGCTGTATTATAAACTGTTTCAGTAAACATAAAACTACTGTTATTTATGAAACTAATTGAAGATGTGAAATAACCTTCATAAACTATATGGAGCTCAAGTTATAACTATAATCCAGCATTAAGTAGCCATTCATAAATTGCACCTTTAAATCCTCTAACCCTTTTCATACTAACTTGCCTTAACTGAACCATCCGCTTACCTAAAGAGTTTTTCTTGACTTTTTTCTTTTTGGGACGACTAAGAGGAATTTCATCTGCAAAATCAGAAGCCAAGAATTAGTGCCATAATAGCAAACATACATTATTATATGTATAATGTTTTAGGTACTTTATTCAAACTATTTCACGTGCATTATCTAATTGAGTATTTACAATTGTCCAATCATCTTAATGCTCACTCTCAGTTTGGAGACATGATTTTGGAGCTTCATGTGCCTCTTTTCATTTCAACCACCTAAATATTTTAGAATCTTGGCTAACTCACTATCTTAAACTTCAGGTTATTTATGAATGATTAAAAGCATTCATTTTAGTTATCTTACTCTTATTTTTTTTTAACCTTATCTTCATTCCTATGCAGCTTCCAGACTAATTGTTCCTAATGCTACCACAACATATGCTGTGCACTTCCTCTCATTTTTCCTTATATTAAAAAAAGAAAAACTACAGTAGGAAAACACAAATTACAAACTGAAGACCACATATGGATTCCATATAAAATTCCATGACTGAAGCAGGTAGTGACTGGTTTGCCAAGAAGAATTTTCTGTAACCAGTTTAGAGTCCATAAGAGGACCAGAATTTCTTCTAAGCCAATTTGAGAACTGATGTGACCTTTTAAAAAATATTCTATCCATTATTATTTGTTCAACCTCAATATAAAAAAGAATTCTTAAAGTGCAATTAATTTACTATAACTACCATAATTTAGACTGAAGCTTCCACTTACCTGGGAATATCACTAACATAATGAAGTTTATTATTTATTTTTTAATTTTCCTTATACATAGGACTGTATGATTTCAACTTTAGGGAATATTTTAATGAGAAATTCTTTTTTATTAAAAACAAAGACACCATTTAAAAAACTATGCAACTTTTTGCAAAATCTAATTCACTTTCTTCTATGACAGCCATTATTTCTCTTCTAAAAGTATGCTTTAATTAAATATTTTAAAGAGAAAACAAGTAAACAAAAAAGGGACAACAGGGATAAAAAGTGAAGCATGTTGTACCTAGATAGGGGTTTTAAAAGTTATAATTTTATTTTAAATATTTTATTGGTTATAAATGGGTATTATATAGTTTGAAAAAAATATTTATAGCCCTAAAGCTCTAAAAAGAATGTAAATATAGCAATAGTAGTCAACACAGTATAGATCAGGGGTCCCCAACCTCCGGTGTCAGGGTACAATACTGGTCCATGGCCTGTTAAGAACCAGGCTGCACTACCTATTGCTGGAGGTGAGCGGGCGATGAGCAAAATTGAAACCATCCCCTCCCGGTCTATGGAAAAATTGTCTTCCACGATGCCAAAAAGGTTGGGACCTGCTGGTATAGAGAATATATATAGCTCAGGGCTGAACTGTGGAATCCTTGGTACTATCTGTGCTTGGTCGTTTGCTTGCAGATGCTTCATTACCTGATTAGATAACATCATTATAGGTAGCCCTCAACTTACAGTTGGGACCAGGACGTCCATTGCTAAGCAAAGCAGTTGTTCAGTGAATGATATCCAATTTTATTGGTCATTAAATGAATTATGCAATCATTAAGCAAATCTGGCTTTTGACTTTGCTAAGAAGATGCGGTGGAATGTAGTCTGGAGTTGTAGGAGCGCAAGCCTCTTTCTCAGAAGGTAATTGTCAAGGTTGAATTGCTAAGATGCCTGCTAATCTCTATTGCTACTCAACTTGCCATAGAAACGGGGGAGGGGGAGGACGCAGGAGTCTAAGAAGCTGTCCATGGACCGTGAGAGCCTACAAGGATGCCAAGGTCACTAACGCAGGTGTCTGACAGAGAAGTGGACCATTCTCATAACAAACCAAAGACATATGGTTGGGCAACTGGAACACTCGGTGGGTGGGGGTTATGGAAAGCTATTGTTAATTAGGCAGATTTTCGCCCAGGAAAACCAGAGCTGGTTTTGCTTCTTCAGTTCCGAGATGTGTATTCAATAAAGTTTATCTTTTATGGTACTTCAAAGCCTTGAAGATTCCTTAATTTTGAGTTCGCTAGTTGGATGGTTGATAATAATGAGACAGTGGAGCTTGGAATGTCTGGTGGGCAGGGAAAGAGCAAGGTTGGACCTTCCCTAGGAATTCACACAGTATATTACAGATAAATGCTTGATCTGGCAAGATTCTGTTTGTAGGCAAATAACAATAAAGGAATTACAGATGGTTCTCGACTTACGATCACAATTGAGCCCAAAATTTGTGTTGCTAAATGAGCCAGTTGTTAAGTGAGATTTGCCCCACTTTATGACCTTTCTTGTCACAGTTGTTAAGTGAATCATTGCAGTTGTTAAGTTAGTAACACAGTTAAGTGAATCTGGCTTCCCCATTGACTTTGCTTGTCAGACGGTCACAAAAGGGGATCACATGTCCCTAGGACACTGCAACTGTCATAAATATTAGTCAGCTGCCAAGTGTTTGAATTCTGATCATGTGACCGTCCGGATGCTGCAATAGTCTTAAGTGTGAAAAACTCTCATAACTCATTTTTTCAGCGATGTAACTTTGAACAGTCACTAAATAAACTGTTGTAAGTTGAGGACTAACTGTACTGATAAGTAACTTACTGTATAGTTCTTGGTTGTTTGGGTCTGACAGAAGGAAATAAAAAGACCAGAACACCTCCTCTTCAGCAGCCAACATCCAGATAAGTAGGGATTAACCCCAGACAAACAATCAAGCAGAAAACAATACACTAATCAAAGCACTACCAAGGAGAAAATAATTCTCCTGCTAACACTGCCAGGGCAAGCCACTGTGTATAATCAAGGAGCATATCTCACACTCATTACCACTGATGATACATTACCTAGTTAGGTAATGAAATATCTGCAAATAAAGAGCCCTAAAAGACTCTACAAACAAACATTCTACAATAATAATAAATTACAATGAATTCTGTCCATACATCTAAAAGACTGTTCTAAAAATACGATCTTGTTGTAATAATAAAGACAACCATTATTGTTTTTGAAAACTATACTGCTGTTAGCCACTGAAAACTAACTATATTTGTTAAATTAAATATTGGATGACTTAATTTGATTACATTCTTAGAGCTGCCCATCTCATGTGACTTTGGACCACTCACAAGTTACAACATGAGCTGAGGTGGCGCAGCAGTTAGAGTGCAGTACTGCAGGCCACTTTAGCTGTGTTCAGCAGGTCAGCGGTTCAAATCTCACCGGCTCAAGGTTGACTCAGCCTTCCATCCTTCCGAGGTAGGTAAAATGAGGACCCAGATTGTTGGGGGCAATGTAAATATATATATATACATTGCTTACTGGTGTACACCGCTTAGAGAGTGCTTGCACTTAAAGCGGTATATAAGTCTCATAAATAAATAAATAAACAAACAGCAAACTAATCAATGAATACATTTTTTAAAAATGGGGAAAATGAATGGTACTCACCTTGTTCTCCACTTTGGATTAATATTTTCCAAATCAAAGTTACATGAAATTGGAAATACAAAATAAAATGTTAATATTAAAATATATAATCCAATATGTAATGCTAAATTTGGAAAACATAATAAAATTCACCTACATAAAAGTAATAGCTACAAAAAAAAAGTTAAGGACTAATAGCTTCCTTGAAATTTCTTAATCTGCCCATTGTATTTTTGGAGTAAATTGTAATTTTACCTTGGTACTGGAGGAAGAATCCGGGGTGGACGCTGCAATATATAAAAGTATACAACTCAATATATATTTTTTAAAAACTTATTTTAGATATCAGCAACTGTATTATAAGACCTTGTTTAAAGTGGGCTACTATTTATTTAATTAAACAGATTTATTTAAACAGATATACTTTAGCAAAGTATATAAGATAATGCATAATAACCAAAACCAGCAAAGGTTTTTTTTTAAAAAAAACACATCAATTTTAGAGCAGTAGCACTATTCATAACATAGTTTTAGAAAAGCCTGCCTAATCACAATGACTTTCTTTGCTCCACTGAAATAAGCAATGGAATTGAATCAATGTGTAACCAGGTATCTCACAAGATGTACACATTTTAAAAAGCAGTCAAAATTCATTCCTTTTATTGTTCAATGAACTGTATTCTCTACCCCTGAAAACAATGAGACAGTTCTGAAATCAGATCTTTCATGGTGCAATGAAACCAAAGATGAATGAACCAAAAATGAAGCTAGACGCAGGCATAGTTTTTATCTTAATTTAAAAAAAATGTATAACAATTCAAAACATAACTCACCACTTGCTTCTTCCCCATATCCCCTTAGTGAGGTTACATATGAACTAAGGCAACTGGACATAAATCTACAATGACTCTTGTTAATCCTGTACTGTACTAAAAATAAATCTCCAGTACCCAGGATTAGCTGGAAATGAATTTTTGCCCCACCTACTTTGGGGCTGGAGGTTATTTTATTATGAATTGCCTTACAGAAATTGTTCTCAATGGCACCTGCTACACAAACCTCAAGTGTCTCAAGAGTAAAGGGTTTGTTATACTACTCTTAGTGAAAGATAGGGAATAAGTATGTACAAATTGAGTTTAACATATCTCTTCCAATGTCTTTTGGTAAAAAAAATATTAAATGGAATTCTGTACACTTCACCGAACTTGCTATCAGTTATACATGATCTGTTGAATTATCTAATAGCCAAAGGTACTTAGCAATTCCAGCTAAACGGTAATTCCTAAAAGACAGGGAGAGAAATTAAGGCCTAAAGCAGATGAGCAGTATTAAAACTCCTATGAGACAACCAAGGGAAACAAGAAAGGAGAAAGCACAAGAATAAGCTCTGCCACTGGTCTTAGAGTCATCATCTCTTCAGAACAGCAATTTCAAGGATGCCTTCCGAAGCAAGCAGCCTTCCCACTGCCTTCGGTAAGATTTGGAATCCTAAAAACTCAGGATTCCAAATTTCTTGAGGTAGTCTATCACACCCCAGGTCTAAATACTTCTCCCGCTTCTGGGGAGTGATGGAGGTGATATTACACGGTAATATAACACTGACGGAAATTGCAGCGATGTGAAGTGCGCCCTGAATTCGGGGGAGTTTCTTCTGATTAAAGAAGGCACAGAGTCGGGCTGCCAGAGAACGAAAGGAGCAGCTCAACACGGGGTGACTAAACAAACTGATGGAGAACAGAGGATGTTTTAAGATGTGCGTAATCCCCCCCCCGGGCTCTATTTTAACAAATCCAAAGTATTTTAAAAATACCGTAAAATGGGCTATTGGGGGGGGGATTACAAGTATGAACCTTTACAGCCACGTGCGGATTATCCAGGGTGGATTTCTTCGTCTAGCAACGAGCGTTTCCAAGCGAGTCCTGCTGTACGTGCGGAAAATAACTCCCAGTCGAGGAAAACAAGCGGCCAGTTTTGCAAACAAAGCACAGGGTAACGTTTCCAAATAATACCCATAGCTTTACGATGCAAATACCGCTGTGCGTTTATTTCGAAAAGGTCATGAACCGGAGCTATTGTGAGCACAAACAACCCTCCTCAACAACTGCCAGTTGGAGAAAAACCGCAAATCTGAGAGATGCTAAAATTACACTTTCGGCCAAGGCCAATTTTAACAGGGGATGCATCCTCAGGAGCCACAATAACGAATAGCACGATCGCCAAAGCGTGGGGGCTCCGACAGCAATCAATCGCCCTTCCGTCCCTCACCGGGCGCACCCCTTCCATCCTCTCGCGCAGTTTAGGCGTCCGAGGCAACCTCCTCACAGCAACCGAAAGCGCGCCCTTCTCCCACACGCTCCTGCCGCAGACGCCCAGGGAAGAGGAGGGGAGCCAGCGGCGCCGTTTCCGGGCGGGAGGCTGCGCTTGGCTTGTCGTTGCCGCTGCTGCGCTCTGCAAATTCTCAGTTTTCCGATACTCTTCAGAGCGTTGCGGTGGTTGATGAGCTGCCTAGTAGGCTACGAGATAAAAACATTGCTCTCCTTTTCACTAGGATTTATATATACTGTATCGAATTGATGATCCCAGTCCTGCCTTTTCATCTTGGGAGATCGTCTGATTTTGTGCAAACTATCTCCTCTGACAAAATTAAGCTGCTGAGGACCACACGGTGCACATGTCTATCTTTGGCTTTACGTGCAATAATATAATTATATCGAACTTCAACAAGTTTAGACGTAATAAGCTTTTTTTTAAAAAAAGTGTTTTAGCTAATCTGACAACTTTGGATTTGCTGATGACATTTAGAATGTCAATCACCTGAAGACCATTGAGTAAACTTTATTAAGGAAAATACAAATATTTTGTTAGGTGAAATATTGGCAAACTGGATGGGAGTCACTCTCCTGGTAGAATGTGCTCTGGACAAAGTAATTTGAAGTTATATATTTCTTTGTCTTTTACTACACATCTGTACAAAAATGGAATGTTAAATCAATTTTATATTTATATTTATTGCTTATGTTCCTTTCTCATCGACCTAATTGCAGCTTATGCACAAGCTTATTTTTAAAAATAAAGCAATAATTGTAAGCAATAATTTCCCAAAAAAAATCAACTTCAGTGATTAATGCAGATATATTTTCATGTGAGTTCAGGACACTTCTGAATATGGAGACCACAATCCTTTGTACAGCTGAAGAAAAAACTCACTGAATTACTGAAATGGCATTCTAGATGGGGGTAGAATTGCACTATAAATTCTAAGAATAAATCTATCTAGCAATTATCCCATTTTAAGAGAATCCTAAATATTCTGAATTGTGTTTCAAACCACCCTCCCCCAATATAATACCACAGTTGTACTGAATTACCAATCTCTCAATTTTATGACTTTGTTTGCCAGGAATTGTAAAATTTGTAATGAAAAAAATAATGGTACTTATATATGTTTATGAAAATATTTGATAACCTGACTTTCAAAACAACTCTACTTCCAAGGTGGCTAGTAAGCAATATGATATAAACCAGGGGTTCCCAACCGGGGTGCTCGCATCCCCTGGGGGTGCAAGGCAATATTCCAGAGGGTGCGAAAACTTGGATTTTCAAAATTATAGTGTATATGCATAATTATTCCAAACTTTTGTAAGAGGTGCGAGAATGTATCAGAAACGTTCTAGGGGAGCGAGTATAGAAAAGGTTAGGAGCCGCTGATATAAAACATTGTAATTAAATTGTAATTTTTTCTGAAAAGAAAAATTCTAAAAACCTTATAGCCTGGGTGGAAGAAAGGATGTACAACTGAGCAGACTAAAGCACTTGTTTATTTTTCATTTATTTTCCATTACTAGTGTATTATCAGGATTGACATTTCTAGGCAGTTCCTAAACCTACAAAAATAAAAGCAATAAAGCCACATCATAATACTCATTAAAAAACATATAAAATCTAAGATGGCAGGCAGAGTTGATATTGATCCCCAAGACTTGTTGAACAGCCATCTTTTAAGAGTTTTCAAGATGTTTTAAATCTTCTGATTGACATTATTTACGTTTTCTTTATATGTTGCTTTTAGGTTTGGGGGTTTACTTAAAACTAATACAACAAAATGAAGCAAATTACCAAAACGATATTAACAGTCCATTAAAAATGTATAAGAAATTAAATATAGCTAATATTTTAGTGTTTTGTCACTAAGGGTCAATGGTTTACTGACAATCACTATATGTCTTAAACAATGTGGTGTAATAAATCAAGTTTGAAGCCCTAATTATAGATTGAATTTGAGAAGTTACATGTTCCCAAAACTTCACCCTTCATAATATAAAGTTAATTATAATTATATTAATTTTAAACACAGATCTCCTACTTGAATTAACACACTTTTCCTGACATTTAAAGGACAAGGTGCAGTAATCTGCACTTCAAATCTTTTTAAAAATGGTGCCTTTTGCTATCAAAGGTAGAGGGAGAAAATTTAAAGAATATCACAGTAATTATGATACTACTTTGCTGCTAGAAATATGCTGTTCAGTGAAAGCTAAAAAGAACCCAGATTTCATTCTTGTTGGAGGAATGTGCTATAAATAAAAAATAGGTCAAAAACTGCTGCAATTCTCTCCTATGCTTAAGAAGGAAAAAATATCAAAAATTACATATTTTTAAACAATTATATAATCTCTGATTATGTCATTAGAATGGTATTTCTGTTTCAGAATTACTTAATATATAATGCTGAAAATTGCCCATAAGTGTGGCTGCATTTATGACACAGTAAATCGTGTATTATGACAATATTAACCAAGAATTAATGCTGGTTTATAAATCTTGGCTCCTTGGGGGCATAATGAATCATAATCCTGGTTTGGAATATATGAATCTCTTTATTTGCCTGCCTCGATGAATTGGGAAGGAATTAAGCTATGTTGCTCTGTTCATAGTTTAATCAGGGGAGATCTAGTTCTTAGCTTTTTAAGGTTTTCTGCAGGCAGGCTTGCATTAACGTTCCCTGGAGTGTCTGTCCTGGATGGAAAGGAAGGAAGGAAATGATCCTACCATTTTAATATCTGGCCTATTCCCACAAATGGGTTCCTCCATAAAGTTATTCTTTTAAAAAATTAATATAGCCTAGCTTAAGTGACAGGCAAATGCAGCCAATAGACTTGTACCTTGTAATATCTTTTGTTTATGTTCTCCAAATTCCCTGAAATGAAATATGTTTATATCTCCTGAAACCCCAGCCTTAAAACCCAATGAAAGTTCCAAAACATTTATTGCCAGAAAAGTAGTGTTCCTCCCCACAATGGCTGGGCTGATCTTCCCCAGAATGCTGGATTTTGCACACACTATCATCCCATGAAACAGGCTAGTCCTGAGAGCTTGGGCATATCCATGTGGCTGGAACCCACTGTGGTTCATTCTGGGCTTGGTGCACGGCAGAGACTAGCTGCAGACAAGTTTCCTGTAAATTGTCATTCACAATCACTTGATCAAAGAATTGGCCAAACTGAGTTTCCATTTTTTTAGCTGACTCTTCCATTTCCTGCAGGTCTTCTTCCTGGAGGGAGATCACAATAAATAATGAGCTGGCATAGTTGTACCTACTGCTTCATTTCTTCATCTTGTATTTTCTTGCTAGCAGGCATGAATATAGGAAGGAATGAGATGACTGACTAACTAACAACAGCACTTAACTCAATAAATGCCAGATATTCTAACATACTAATACATGCTCTCTAGTTAGGGTTACATAGAGCTACAGCCACTGTTTACACATCATGAAAGAAATCCAGTTTGCTTCTTTTTTTTTTTGATGCCATCATAGACTAACTTATTATTGAGCACCGCCTAGAAAACAGTTCCTGATTTTGATTCCCATAAAAGAGAACAAAGGACTTGAAAGCTATCAATGGAATTGGAATCAAAGTACTCTCAAGTGGATAAAGAAAAGAAATATTTGTATTTAATAACAATCCAGATCTGTTGTTCTTTGACTTTAGAGATGAACTCTCAAATGCATACTCAAAGGGATGCAAAGAGATATAGGCCTCCTCCTCATGGTTAGTTAAAGGCCTACTGCAAGATCTTGAGGGAACCGAAAAATATCTCATTGATAATACCAATTCTGTTATATAGGCTCAACATTGGTAATAATGCTGTCATTTATTTGTTTGGAATGCATATACAGGAAACAGTTCATATTAAGAGTAGGGATTGGTGGATCCTATACATTTTCCCCTCCCCTTCCATTGAAAGTTACCAGCTAGTGAAAAACGTCTATCAATCATCCCTCTAAACCTGGACTGGTGTTGGGGCAAGAGGCAAGCAGTGACCAGATGCTTCTACCGGCAGGCTGCTAAAAGTCACTCTGATTTTGTGCAAGTGTCAATATGTTCAAAGAGAGCCTAATTATCAACTGATAGTTGAGTTTCTTTCAGATCTGGATTTTATGCTATTATGGGGGACTGCTAAGCCTGTGTTGAATAGCAGCCTTGACAACTGATGGATATGAGGAAAGTTAAGCTGGGAAGCCGTGTAGTAGGAGCTAACCCTATGTAGCCCCTATCCTAGAATCCCTAATTGGACACTGTTCAGGCTAATCCAGGTTTCAAGCTGCAGATTGGCCCAGAGACATGGCATGTGCAAGAAGTAGTAAACGTAGACTATTTTGCTGCCTGAAACTGAATAGCCCTGGATGGTGCTCAGAGGCTGGAGGGAAGGTAGTATGGCTGCACCAGCCTAAAATGGCCAGTTTAGGTAGTCCTCATTGAACAGCCATTCTGTCAGCAACTGTTCAAAGTTACAACATTGCTGAATAAGGGAGATCTTCAGCAGATCTTTACTGTTGGCAGCCATTGCAATGTCCCTGTTATCATGGATCACAGTTCAGGTGCTTGGCAACTGGCTTGCTATCACAACAGTCACAGCATCCTGTGGTAATATGATTGTCATTTGTCACCTTCACTGTTGGCTTCCAACGAGTGAAGTCTATGGGGAAGCTGGCAGCAGTCAAGTGAACACATGACTGTGGGATGCTATGACTGTGGGATTCGCCTACCAATGGCAACTGGGATTGCTGTAGCTACCTCTGTAAATTGGCCCAGTCATATATCACCCTTTATGACCACATTCTTTAGTGAAGGATTTGCTGGTCTTAATTACCAGTGTAAAGCAAGGACTACCTATAAATATTGCGATAATCTCATTTCCTAAAGGTCACCTTACTGAACCAATGGTTGGCGAAGCATGTCAGATTGATACAAAACTGTCAATAAGAGAAAACATGATTTCACTTTGGAGCATTAGGAGGACATAGCAGAGAAAATAGTTACCGGTACTTAGGGTTAGGCAAATGAGAAAGGCTCGTATGCTGATTTTGATATGTTATACAACAAAATCAAGTCAAAATTTCTTAAAATCAGTGCATTATTCTGAATTCATGCTTACTTGTTAAAGTAATAATTCAATGTTGCAATTACTTTCCCTTTATAATGGTGAAATGACAGTATTTTCACCCAGAAATCAAAGCAGTGGGTATAGCTAAGCTAAAGCCTTGTAAATCTCATTGCTAATTTCCTTCCTCTCAAATCTTACCTTAAATTTCATGTTCACATAATAGTCAGTGATTATCCTAGCATTTTTCCGAGTGTGCTTCATGCAGCTCACACTTGGTGGTTTAATAAATATAATGTAGGGTTTCAGTTCAAGAGTACGAACAAACTGAATATTCTGCAAAATAAAAAAAAATAAAAACAATCATGCAAATTATATTTATTCTGCCCAATTTTTGTATTAACATTTTTAAAAATGATTAAAAGATAACACCTATAATTCAGAAGTAATGTAATGTGTCAACTTAATAGGACTGGTTTTATAATTTATAATAATTCCAGAATATCTGTGGCAAAAATGGTATCACTAATAATTTCTAGCCCGTATTTTGTTCATAAACTATTAATTCTAATTATGTTACAATCAATGTTTATTTTCTTAATATATTTAAACATTATTATTTCTATTCTGTTCCTGACATTGATAGTATATATTTATTTACCCAATTAATGTCTGCACAAAATGTATTTAGAAAAACTATCCAACAAATCAAGCAATTGCCAGAGTCAACGCTGACTTGAAGGCACCCCCCAAAAATGTTTCAGGGCAGACTCAAGATTGATTGCTTAAATCTTCAACATTATGGGTTTTCTATGACTCACGTAAGGTTCTAAATCCATTATGCAGATCTTCCCTTCATCAAGCACCGCATGTACTGCATCCATACTTGTCCCATAGAGGTGTCCCTTGTACTCTCCATACTCCAACATTCTGCAAATGTGGTAAGTTAGGAGGAAGATGAGCATGTTTCAAAGCAAGAACTGTAAAAGAGGCTAAGTACTGAATATCTTTTTAATAATGCCAGGAGAAAGCATGCAAGCAGAATATGAAGGGGCAGCAGTCTGGGGTTATGTATTTAGGGAGATAAGAAGAGTCCTCCAATGCTCTTACTTGGAGTCAATGCTGTCATTTTTTTTCTACCTCACTTATTGCAGCATCCCCTGTTATATGTGCATATATGTATTTCAGAGAGATGTAAGATAACAGCCCTCTTCTTTCTACTGCAAACTACACTACTTTTGCTTGCTTTTTTAAAAAAAAACAAGCTCCACATTTAATGCAGATTGGAGGTTTATTTAATGATTGATTGAAGAAGAGAAGTATGGAAATCATTGTGTTTTCAACAAGGTGAGATAAAGAGTCCTTTCCAATGAACCCTGTAGCAAATTCCTGGTGAGACACTAAAACATATAAGGGGAGGTGATTTATTTGTTTAGGGAAGAAACAGACAATCCCTGGATTATTTAAAGGTTCCCTTCCAGCAATGCATTTCCCAATATTTGAAGGGCTCCTGCAAAGATGAGGGGATGAAACTATTTTCTAAAGCACCAAAAGGCAAGACAAGAAACAATGGTTGGAAACTAACCAAGGAGAGAAGCAACCTAGAACCAAGGAGAAATGTCTTAATGGTGAAAGCAATCAACCAACGGAATAGCTTGCCTTTCTTACTACATGTTTACCACAGTGAATGCTAGTACAACATTAATTAATTAAATAATATTTTGTGTATAAAATGACATTTTTATTTGTCAAATAGGAAAACTGGCAGAAATAGATTTTTAACTCTGCTGCCCACCTATCCTGGTATCTGGGCACAGAATTTTCAAATTTGATGAAAGAAAAACAAAAAACGTCAATCTAAAAATAAATTACCTGTAATTGTACACCATATTTTCAAATGTTTCTTTTGGTACATAATGATATTCTCGACCATTCTCTTCATAGCTCTTTTGAGCACGGGTTGTATCTATTTTTAAAAAGTACAAATTATGGCTATTGCAATACTTTTAAATAGTTACTGGAACAGACTTTAATGAAAAGCTAAGTACTTCATATTATATTGGGCTGCTTATTTGGGATCTTCTCTTAATTTGGGGAAAAGTCAGTGGTAACTATAAATAATGAAAGGCTAATACGCACACCACAATTAGTGAAATTCTAATGTTTCATTTCCTTCCATTAGTATGTTTTAAGAGTTAAAATATCACATACGTGGCACTGCATTTCGAAACAGGTGAGGATTTATACCAATAAGTTGTCTCCGTAGTTCATTCACTCCAACACCTGAAGGACCTAAGTATTTAATGAAAGACATGATTGAATAAAAATCCTATGCCACCTAATTACATATAATAAAATAATGACATTTTCCATAGAAGAAACAGACTAAGGAATACAAATCAAAGTTTTCTCACTGAATCATGAGGACCCAGTCCTACAAAGATGCAATATACTTGCATTTTTTTTAAAAAAATGTGTACTATGATGAAATTATTTTTCCTTGAACTAATGCAAGTTTTCTCTCTTTTATGCATTCTTTTTTTTTGGCCACAATAATCACTTTTTAAACAAGGAATAGTTTAATTGTTGCAATTTACCTATTAGTACAATTAATCTGTTTCGATCACCAGGTTGTCTTTGGTATCTCATCACTTCTTCATAAGGTGCTGCCAGAGCACCGTAGCAACTGTTGCTGTTGAGACAATGTGCCTGACATGTCAGGTGACTGTAGTTGCATTTCCTACGGCATAGACGCATACTTCTCCGGAACCCAGCTGGAAAATGGAAATAGATATGGAGATCTTTAGAAACTGATCATTGAACCACAGGGCTAGCCTGCAATATTTGAGGCATTTCAGATGTTCCCTTCCAGAATTCATTCCAAAGTTTTGAATTTCTTATCCTCCCTAAGATCCCACAATTTTCCTTATGCCCTCCATTTGGTTAATGGCAAAGAAACAGATTCTCTGGAAGAGACAAGGAACACAGTATCATGTTTGCTACTTTGGTGTATTAAGTAGAATAATTGTGGCAGATTCAGGCAGCAGATTTTTGGTACTATGAAATGGGTTGCAAAATGTTAGATGTTAAATATTTTTATTGTTGGAAAGAAGCCACATATACTTGAGAGTTATATTTTGCCAACGACTGGGTTTTTCTATACTAATAAACCTTTCTGCAGGGGAAGATTTACACATGATCATTCAATCATGGAAGTTTCCATTTGCTATGTTGTAAGTGGATGTTGTTGGATTTTGTTGCTTATTTCAACAAGTGTAATGGAATTAAACTTCTATCAAAACACAGACTCCCAACATCATAAAAATTGCATATTGTTAACAAAGTAGCTTTGAGTAAGCACTGGTTGATCCAGATTAAAAAAAACTTATGTGCAAAAGCCTAATTGTAGTTCTGTGTTAGCACCAAGTGACTTAGCTTAGGAGAGCCCCTATGGGAAAGGGCAGCAGAAGATTACCATTTCAGTGAGGTCAAGGCAATTCTCTATAAGTCTGTCTAAACTCCTTTGTTTAGCAAATCTATCCCTCATCCTCAATCATTCATTTGAATAGTCTGTCTATTACCTGATTTTTTTTTCTGCTAAAGCTATCCTTCCTTTCTTCCTTTGGTTTTGAAACAACAGAAATATGCAACACAAGCAAGCCATCTGTTTATGGCTATTACCAACCTCACAAGGAATGCTTATTTTAGGACCATTTGATGCTAACTAAAAGACTGAAATTCTAATACTGCATTTGTCTGCTTCTTTTGGTTTTTCAGAGTCCCCAGCCTCCATTATGTTTATCTAACTACAATCAAGCAATGCAACTAATGTATTTTTCAATGGTTCTAACTTGACAGTTTTCCCATTTCCATTGTATTTATTTTAGAAACCAACCAGTAATAAAATTCTCTTGATTTATCAGTGGCTCCCCTTGAAGTCATATGTCTTTCTAACTAAACTGTTAATCACAAACTTTTTATTCATAGAAAGGAGCTGTGACAATTAGAGGTGAAGTCAGAGGTGGATATGCAGCACTTCAAAACAGTACTTCATTTGGCTTGTTTGAAGCCTCTATAGCAATAGCAAAGTAAAGGAATACATTACTGTAGTAAAGAAGAAAGCACCAATGCAATGCATCAGATACAAACTATTTAGTAGCCCAGTGACCCTGAACACAATTCTCCAGTCACAGAACCAGCTACGTACTAATGAACACTGGCTGACCAGATCCAATGAATTCTTCCTCTTCTGAAATGAGAGATAGAGATACAAAATAAAGAATAAGAAATGTAGCAATATCCTTAAGACTTTCATATACAAGAAATATAATTTTAATTTGTAATATTACAAGGAAAAGGAAAAAACTCAGCATTCAAAACAGGCCTTTTAAAAAAAGGTGAAAGCAACAGAGGTCCTTCAACTATAAAACTTAAGTATTTGATTTTTAAAATATTGTCAAATTATTCTGTGATATCAAATTAAGATAACACTCTCTTTGGATTCTTGTTTAGGTTTATTATTCATGGTGAATAATAGTTTTTTAAAGTATATATTGGATCAACCTATATGAAACACACTATGTAGGATCCATTTGCAGTAAGCATGTTTATAAAATTAGTTTAATAAATGTGGATTCAAAGACTAAAGGCAGCAGTTGAATTTGGAAAGGAAGTGGGAAAAAAGGCAGTAAAGTATGATTTTTCTTAGCTGATTTCCAAAGCCATAACGGTACCAGTTCTATAACGATTAAAACTGCCTGTTGGTTTATTAGCTTTCAACCTGTATAATTTGCTGTTATAGAGCTTTGTTTATTAATATTCTTTCTCTATAGAGACTCAATCTCCATAAATTGCCCTGAATGAAAACTAGAAATGACTTGGAGGTGAGCAGGCATGGCCAGAAAGTTGAATAATTATATGATTTCTGCCTTTTCTGGGTAGTGGAGAGATTTATCTATTACATGTAGTCCCTGTTTAGTGACCACAATTGGAACCGCAACTGTGCCTATGATCTTACTTCAGCTTTCCTTTGTTTTACAGACCTGCAAAGGTAATCAATGCAAGGATTGGTCACGAAGTTATGATTTCATTATAATTGTGAACAGTCACTGTTCAAGGCAGTCGCTAAGTGAGGACTGTCTATATTTGATTTCTTTGCACAGCATATAGCAAGTAAAACTAGCTGGGAAGGCTGTTCTAACTTCATATCAAATATGCCAAGATGGAAAGAGTTTAGCATATTCTAAGGGTTTCCATTCTAATGACTTCACTCTCTAATGGACATAGCAAGAAATCTTCTTGATATATTAAAAGAATTATTCAGAATTATTATGACGAATTCTACATTCAGGATAATTGCTTACTTCATAAATGATCAAATAGGGTTTCATTGTCAAGCATATCTTAATGTCCATCCAATAGAGTAAGTTAACTGCATATATTCATTTGTCTTTGCTTGGAGGAGCACATTAACTAATCAACGTACATAAGCCCCAAATATTTTTAGCAGGATGTGTTGATTGACCTTTTTCATGGAGTGATCAGTTGCCCATAATATAATGTCTATAAAATAAAAAGATAAGTTACCTTCTTTAAGTTCCTCTGTTACGTTGCATAAAATGGAAGGATAAGAAAGCTCAGATTAAAAGAGTTCAAGCCACTCATGATATAAGCATACAGATTATTTGGCATGATCAGACCAGCATAAAGTCGGCAATTTGTACAAAGAGCAAAGACAAAATCTAGTAGCAGCAATAGCCAGGAGAATATAAAATCTATACAGATTAAAACTTTATTGGCAGAATTGCACAAAATCAGTATCAGGTTTGAGTTGGAAGAATTCAGTTTGCCTAAATTCAGTAGCAGATGAAAAGAGAGAGCCCAAGAGAGGAAAGTTTTGATTATACAGCCGTGTCTATTATACTATAGAGTTACATGTTAGTTCTAAGAATAGAATATCTTCAGATATGCAACCAGGGGACTTTGCCCTTGCCAAGACCCCCATTTACATGTTTAAAGGTCTCTGTCTAATCACAAAAACCTGGTGCAGACCTGGCTCTACAATCAATCACTCCAAAACTCTTCCCTATTTCTTTTTTGAATCGGTTTGATGAAGGGTTTCTGAAACTCAAAAGCTTGCAATATTGCATCCACCTTTGTTTTCCCCATGACTTCAGACACAGCTTCAACATCAGCCCAAGCAGACATTCTCAATCTACATCTGTCAGATGCATTTCCAGATTTCACCTCGTTCTTTACCCTTGGTCTGCTTGTTTAAAAAATAACTCCATTACTGTCAGTCTTTTTATCTTAACTTTCACCACGAGTCTGTTAAAATTGGATCCATTTAATAATTTCTTAGCCCAACTAAAGCAATTTGAACCTTCTGGCATTTCAAAGGTTGTAAGAAATTTAGATTTGCCTTCATGTATAGCATTCTATGTATATGTATACCACTCTAATGGCAGAAAGTAAAGAGGAACTAAAGAGCCTCTTGATGCGGGTGAAGAAGGAGAATGCAAAAGTTGACTTGAAACTCAACATTAAGAAAACCAAGATCATGGCATCCGGCCCTCTCAATTCCTGGCAATAGATGGGGAAGAAATGGAGGTAGTGACAGATTTTATCTTCCTGGGCTCCAGGATCACCTCAGATAGGGACTGCAGCCAAGAAATTAAAAGACGCTTGCTCCTGAGGAGGAAAGCTATGGCAAATCTAGACAGCATATTGAAAAGCAGAGACATCACCCTGCCAACAAAAGTACGTAAAGTCAAGGCCATGGTTTTCCCAGTTGCAATATATGGCTGTGAAAGTTGGACCATAAGAAAGGCTGAGTGCAAAAGAATTGAGGCCTTTGAACTATGGTGCTGGAGAAGACTCCTGCGAGTCCCCTGGACTGCAAGGCATTCAAACCGGTCAGTCCTAGAGGAGATCAACCCTGACTGCTCTTTAGAAGGCCAAATCCTGAAGTTGAAACTCAAGTACTTTGGCCACCTAATGAGAAGGAAGGACTCACTAGAGAAGAGCCTAATGCTGGGAAAGATTGAGGGCAATAGAAGAAGGGGACGACAGAGAATGAGATGGCTGGATGGAGTCACTGAAGCAGTAAGTGTGAACTTAAATGGACTCCAGAAAATGGTAGAGGACAGGAAGGCCTGGAGGAACATTGTCCATGGGGTTGCGATGGGTCGGACATGACTTCGCAACTAATAACAACAATAGCATTCTGGAGGGTTTTGTACTCAAACTCTGGAAATCCACAAGAATGACTGAAATACATCACTTCAATTTATCTGCACAATCTGAAGGAAAAAACCTTCAAGAGAGGATTCACAGCAGAAAAGCAGTTGCTTTTTAAAGAATTTCTTTAAAAAGGTAACATAATATTACTAATATTTCCAATTATTTTAAGTAAGTTCTTAGTGAGCAGAAAGATATACCTCTGATCTGTACTATTTCTGATTTTAACATACAAAAATACCCTGATAGGGAAGCATCAACATGAATACTCCATCATTAAGAATAATAGATTAGCCACTCAGTTACGCTTATGCAGTGTAATCTCATTAGCTTCCAGCTGTCTTCTCTGTCTCTTGCATAGCATTACAATTTTTACTGTAATTCAAGTTTGGATGATTATTTGGACAAAGAAGCCAATTTGTTTCACATTTGCTAGACTTGGTTATAAAAATACTCAGACAGGTTCAGAAAATGTCTATTATAAACATGCACATATTATACATATACAAAAATGGAGCATTTATGTTACATAATTCTGAGATTCTTATCATTAGCAAAGGACATTGGAGGAACTTACCAGATTCAAAAATCTCCTCATCTTTTAAAATCATCCAGGGAGCAGAAATAGCAAAATAATTTTACTTTAGAGCTGTCTTTGTCAAACATAATCACAAACCAACACATCAGAAAGGATTTCCCATTGCAGCAGCAATAGGAAGATACAATGAGATGCTTATACAGTATCCTCTTGTAATCTTCTTTTGTAACACCAAATTACACATCTATGGGGCAAATCCATGACTGATTCTGGTGTTTATTGAAAAGCATTTGTGCTGTGGAATGGGTTCCAAACTGGATGATGGCAAAGGCATCTGGGAGGAGGGGTGACGTAATTCACTTCCTCCACATTTCTTATTTCAGATTGAATTGCATTCTGCAGACAGTGTAAATCTTGTTGGGGTTAACAATATGGCATAGGCTTTGGTTATTATTTTTGTATTGCAACATGAAAAACAGGGCTGTGTTTACCAAAATGGCTTTATTATTAGCTCAAGAGAATTCTTTGTGCAACTATTACAAAAGTAATTCAAAATCACAATACTAGATTTTAACTTTTTTTATTTAGATCTTATTTTAGCCTTTCCGTTAAAAAAAATCAAGCAATAAAATTGTTCAAAATTACAAAAGTTAAAACCATAAACTGGGTTCATGGTTTAAAAAAAAAAGCCAGAAAAAAAGCTGCAGAACATGGCTCCATGAATTAGGTCAAAATGTGGCAAATAGTGACCTCTCTAAATTCAACATCAAGTATGTCTAAAGAAGGAACTGCATTACCAGGCTACACAATAATGATTCTCTCTAGCTTAAGCAACAGTTGATATGACTGCACCTATGCCTCTAATTATAGCTCTCTCAACATACACATAATTTTAACATTTTGCATTGTTGCTAGAGGTCATTTTGTTAAATTTCTTCTACAAATGGGTTCTTTTTTTGGCCTCTGGGTTACACACATTGGGATTTTGACTAATTTAAACTGCAATAATGAAAGACATAATTTCCATGCATCGAAACTAAAAGTGATTACCTGTTTCTACACACTTCTCATCAATCTGCATGTCATCTTCTCACATGTTGTAGACAAGAGAAAGAAAATATATGAGTTCATATGTGAGTTCAGAGAACTCATATAAAGATAGAAACAATATCTACCCTATGGCTGTTTTTATCCTATTTTATCTACTATTTCATATAGTACAATGACGTACAACATTCTACAATGCTTTTCTTTTGACTAAAGCAAAGATTACTGTATTCTGATAGCCATCAGTTGGAATATAAGTGGAAAAGATAAAAAACAAAATGAGGCTCATCAGAGTACCTATTTGAAATCTCCAACACTGAAACGAGCAGAATACATTGACTACTCAGCCCTCATTGCTTTTTTTTTTTTTTTTTGCACTTTCACCTAGATGTTGAAAGAAAAACCAGAATAGTTATTGACTACATGAGCCTGGATGGGATTATAGTAGCCCCAATGGTTAAAGAAGATGATTGATGCCTCCTTGCAGTGGGGTTTGTTTTTCTGAGGTAGTTATACAATCTCTTTCAATCTCTACAATCATAAGTCAATCTCAGCTTCTCCATTTCTAGAACAGGTGAGCTATCTTGCCCTCTGTTCCCTTGATCTCTTTCAGTGGAAGCATCAGAGCAGATGGGTGGACAGAATGGTGCAAGAGGAAGACAGCAACTTTATTCAACCCTATGGCTGAATAAAGAAGCTACTGAAGGAAGAACCATAAGGATGACTTGGCCCGCTTGATTGCTTCATTTCACAGACAATATTTGTCCAAGAGTGCTGGTAAAAAGACAATTTCACACAGTTTGTGTGGGTATGTGTGATTGTGTATTACACACTCAGGTAGTCCTGGCTTAACCACATTTGGGACCAGCAACTCCATTGCTAAGCAACACAGTTGTTAAGTGATCATACAACCTCACTTCCACTATGGTTAAGTGAGTCATTTTGCAATTATTAAGTGAGGTACTACATGATGGCACCAGGCAACTTTACCGCTGGCTTCTTCGTTCACTCTGCTTGTTGGAAGCTGGCTATGAGGTGTGCAAATGGTGACCTCAGACCACAGGATGCTGTGACGGTCATAAGTGTATAAACCAGTTATAAAGTTATTTTTTCAGCTCCATCATAACCTCACAAAACAGGGCAATCATTAAGCAAGGACTACCTGTATACAGAGGACAGATCTATTTGCTCTCAAAAAGGCTAGAGAAGATAATACATCCCTACATTTTGTTTTTTGTAAATAGTATTTCTAAAGCTGCTTGAGTCAGCATTTAATTTCATGCTTGATATGTGTTTCTGAACTGTTACAAAATTATGTTATGTGTCTTTAAAATTATTATTAAAATCAACATTTTGGATTTGAATATGCATTCTTATCAGTTTCAGAAATGTTAAGACACCATGAAACAGTTAATGCACAGAGAGCAAGATTACTTATTTTGTTCATGTATTAATAAAATACAGGTTCAGGAATACAGATGCATGTATACACACACTCACACACAGAGGGAGAGAGATCCCATACATTAAAATGGATTATAGACAGGGAGAAGATGACTAAGATATAGTACACAGGGGTTTAGCAGAAAATAGATTGGGATCAAGTGGTAAATTCAGGACACTGCAAAAGAGAGCTTGGTTAATGTAAGGTTACAAAAAAAATCAAGAGTCTGGCAGCGTCTTTTCTGACTAACATAATTTATTAAAAGGCATAAGCATTACATTCTAAGTTAATGTATTTTAAATCTCTATTGAAAGTTAGAGTGGAAGCTGTTAGTCTGAAATCTCTCCATACTGACTGTAGAAAGTTTTTTAAGAATATAGTTTTTAAAAATATCTGTCATAGAAGTCATGGAAATGATACGAAAAGAATTTTTTTTCTCTTTTTGAATTGTGCTTCATTCTTTTGAAATCATATGGTTGCCACTGTATATATACCATTTAGATAGCAAAGAATGAACTTCTGATAAAACATAGAATATTCCTCCAAGTGGTATACAGATAGCCTTTGACTTACAACAGTTTATTTAGTTCATTTAGGGATTGTGTAATCACCTTTCGTGCCCTAATGACATGCAAGCTCAATGGGAAAGCTAGATTCACTTAACAACCGTGTTGCTAACTTAACAACAGCAATGGTTCACTTAACAATTGTGGTACGAAAGGTTCTAAAATGGGGCAAAACTCACATAACAACTATCTTGCTTAGCAACTGAAATTTTGGGCTGAATTGTGATCATAAGTTGAAGACTACCTGTATTTGAACAGAGACCATTCAATTATGTGACAAATTATATCCCAACATTGTTATAGAATTCTGAGTAGTATATCTCAGAGAGAGATTAAAAATATTAGATAGGACTAGTTTGAAGATCTTAGCTAATGTGACATATATACATATATATATATACACACTCATTACATACAGACATATATACATACAGATTTATGGAATCCAATTAGCATTACTGACCTTCCACAAAATTCACTATTCATGGGAAATTCATAAAAAAAGAATATATACACATCATCAGAGACATGAATGAATAATTCAATGCCTAAGTCAATGACACAGAGATTATTCTGATAACATTTATACCTTTGTAAACTAAAGCATAGTAAATGATTTCCCAAAAGTTCTCCCCTATATTTAAGACTAAATATTCTTAGGAATCCTGTTTCTAGACTGACAAGATTATTAACAGGTTTGGAATTCAAACTATAGCATTTTTGCTCCTAAATCTAAGTAGTCTAATTGTACTCTATAGAAATAATTGAGTAAGGAAATAATATTAATTACAGAAACAGTTCATGCACACCTCATCGTCAGAAATTTATTATACTCACAGATTGATTTGACGCAAGTGTGGAGATGGAAGGGCTGAGTCCACCAGAATTCTCGCTGTTTCCTAGACAGAAGAAGGGAACATTTTCTAAAATTGCAGAATTAGAAAAAGATTTCAACAGAATTTGGGATTTCTATAGTCTTATGATGAATTTCATGGAATTCAAAACCGTATTTCCACTACATCTACGCTCTTAACCAGGGCACAAACCTTAGAAGAGAAATTCTTTCCTGGAGAAAAGAAGACTGTCTCTTCTAAAACATTTGGCTGACAGATCCAGATATTATACATTCCCCCCCTTTTTACATCATCATCACCACCACCACCACCATCATCATCCCAAATTTGTTAGAGTTCATGAAGAGAGGATTATAATCCTTCTTTGAGTAATGCTCTCTTTTGCTGGTTTCTCCCTGGTTTTCCTCAGCATCCTAACCAGTGCTGGCTCAAAGGTACATGACACCCCTAGGACACATTGATTGATGGTGCCACCTCTCACTGATGCAAAGTTTAGCATTTTTACATTGATTTGGAAAGAAATATGGTATTGGTGCCCCCTAACAGTTGGCACCTAAGCCTGTGCCACTTGGTCTTACCCTAAATTTAGCCCTGATCCTTTCTTAGTGGCAGCCTGGCCCTCTGAACCAACACCCACCTGGAGATTTGGATGATTCAACCCTGTTGGCTTTTCATTAGACATTGAAGACATGACTATTTTCCTAGGTTATTGGATCAGATAGTAGATGCACTCTGCTACTATTGATGGTGAATAGGATTAATTGTTTTATCGTTGGGTTACGTTTGATGGGCTCATTTGTTTTAATCCTTAAGCTGTCCAGAGTCACTAGTGTGAGATAAGCAACTACATAAATCATACATGCATAAATATCTCTCTCTCACTCACTCACTCACGCACTCACTCACTGGCTCAATGAAGAGAACAAGAGAAAAAGACTATCTTAGGAGAATTTGACCTCTGTGGTACAAGTCTAATTCTGTCCAGCCTATTAAAACCAGGTCTTTTTTTCTCATAGAACGCCCAGAACGGAGTTCCGACACCTTTTTGGGATGGAACCTTGTAGGGTAGGCAAGGCAGGTTGTATGATATGTGTGACTTCCAGCACCTTTTTTTTTAAGAAAAAAAGCACTGATTAAAATCTTCCAGTGGGCAAAGGTCATAAAGCATTCTCTACACAGGAGCTAGTTGCCTGAAGGTCAGGAAGCCAAGTCCATATGATGATGTCACATCAAATTTTATTTGCACATTATCAACCACTATAGGGTGTTATTCCAAAGCAGAGATGTACAGGATCCACCTTTACGTAGCTGCTACCTTTCTTGCATGGCAGGTTGGGAAGTCTGAGGGAGTTATAGATAGGAAGAAGAGGACCACTGTTGCAAAGGGGTTTTAGATTTTGCCCATAGCCATGGAAGAGGAATTCACCATTATTCAGTTAATTCACCAGGATTGCTTATTTTTACCCTTTTCTGCCATGGGAAAATAGATACATTTTCTATTTTTATTCAGCAATGTATTATGTACAAAACTTGCCTGGAATTTTGATCTATTTTAACTGCATCAGGTGCTAACACTGATTTTCTCTATGTTAATAGAAGCATCTTATATAAGTTGGTTCTCCACATGTTACCCATTAGCAAAAATAAATACACCCCCATTTTCTATACCTCTTCAGAAGATGATTGGAAGGGATGAGTCCAGCACAGGCTTTGAGGTTGGAGACTTTCCTTGCCTGCCACCACAGGATGTCCTTTTGGTCTACAATCTGAAGAATCTCTCCTTTTTTAAATGGCAATCCTGCATCAACACATGGAATGAGAGGATCCTGACGAGGGCAGTAATCCCGCATTGCACGCACATAGAGCTGGAAGGATAACACGCAAGGTTTCTTTTTAATCATAGAAGTTACACTCCAAAGACAAGGACATACATTTGTAAAAGTTTAATAACTGCAAACAATAAAAGGTCAGCTTTAAAAAGCCAAGATGTAAGTGCAGTCAAAACATGGCAATAGATATTAATTCATAATCAATAATAAGAACATAAAATGATCTTGGAGGTCAGTAGGCTAGGTAAGCAAGAAGCTGCACAGGAAAAGGAAATGATCAGTCTGCAGGCAAGGTGATTTGTTTTTGAGGACAGTTTTGATTAGGCAATGATGGAAGACTATTTTTTTCTGTTCTTATTCCTGTCTGACATATCTCAACGATTTGGTGGAGTGTTTCATATTGGCCCTAGCACTAGCACCAATAATGCTACCTACTTTGGGTAATAAAACATGTGCCAAAAACAAACAAACAAACCATGCTCAGAGAACACCAAGGAACTCTCATTTCAACCCTGAGTTTCAAATATTCACCTCTATTGGTATCACATTAGTCCTTCAAGGTACTTGTCAATTGTTACTAGCTGTTGTGGAATAGGGGCCTTAACATCTCACTTGTAGCATCTTACTGATCACTATGGAAATAAACTGGATCTTTGATCTGATCCAACAAATCAATAAACATGATTATTGAGAATAATTAAAGCCAAAACCTCCTCATGAAGAAACTTAATGCTAACTAAATGCTAACTCTGAGGGATTCATGTATTAACCATTTGAAGGAAAGGAAAGGAATCTATGCATTGCATCTTACTGTTGTTTGATTACTGATGATTCGATCAGAACCTGGAATCAGCTTGAACATGATGGTGCTTTGGGACAGAGTCTGCAAGAATTCAGAAAAAGGCATCTAATGCGCTTGGCCTACTTTTGTTGCAAACTTAATTTGATCATCAATACATTTATAATTCTATGAGAAGATATCCCTTTTGACAGGAAGGATAAAATCCACCATGATATTGGTATACAGATAGTCCTTGACGTAGGACCACAATTGAGCCCAAAATTTCTGTTGCTAAACAATAGTTCTTAAGTGAGCTTTGCCCCATTTTACTACCTTTCTTGCCATAGTTGTTAAGTGAATCACTGCAGTTGTTAAGTTAGCAATATGGTTGTTAAGTGAATCGGGCTTCCCCATTAACTTTGCTTGTCAGAAGATCACACAAAGTGATCACATGATCCCAGGACACTGCAACCGTCATAAATATGAATCAGTTGCCAAGTGTTTAAATTTTGATCACGGGATCATGGGAATGCTGCAGTGGTTGTAAGTGTGGAAAATGGCCATAAGTCTTTTTTTTTCAGTGCCATTGTAACTTAAAATGGTCACTAAATGAATTGTTGTACATCAAGGGCTACCTGTATAGTATATGAAGATGCCTGTCCATCTGTAAATTTTAGCTTTCAAATTGTGCAAAGGTAAGGAAACGTGTTTAAAAAACAAAGCAGCACCTGCTAGTTGCAACTGAGGAAGGAATTAGGTTGCACAGTCCCTACTCTTTTTCCCCAAGCAGCAGACAGAAGCAACAGATGGGGAAAGTAGCAGTGGTGGGAACAATAGTCAAACACCCCTTGAAATTAAAACAAAGTACTTCCTACAAAAATAGAAATATGAATAGTTCCCTCCTTGCTCTTTGGTACAGTCGAAACAAAAGTCCGCAGGAGGGAAAATAGGACTGGCCAAACTGTGGGCACTACATTGCACAGTTGTGAGGGATCTATGAAAAATGGTAGAAAATGCTCATCTCTTCCTTATAGCTTTTTTCTTCAGGCCATGCTCCAAATCATAACTTTGGAGGATGACTTTATGTTCCAAGCATGCACTTTTGCATTGTTTACATGGTATCGTTGTGGTATTTAAAGAATAGAAAGCTGATTGTGATTACCAGAATGTGTATGACTTGCTCGGGTTCCAGGCCCTCCACGGGGATTCTATTCACCTCTACAAGTTTGTCTCCAGCATATAACAACCCTACAACAAAACAGTAATGATATTAAGCAGTTGGTCAAAGAATTGGAGAAGAAAAATAGCCTGAATTTCTAAGGAACACCTAGAGTTATTTCTGTTGCCCCCATCCTGAATTTAAAATGTTTCATTACAGACAATTTGTGTCTTGACTATCCAAACCTTATTTTAATCAGAGTTATCTTTAAGGATGAAGAGCAGATTTCAGCTCAATAGCTTGCCCCCTCCACTTTGGTCATCAGGTGGGGGAGCAGCTGAAGGGAGCAGGAGACCTTGCACTGGGGTGAGCACAACAAGCTGACTGCTAGAGTTGGTCTAATGCATCTCCCTATCTGTAGAACACAATCTCCAATAGAAGTGCTATTATATTGTCTCTCAACCCCTGCCTCCTAAAAGCAAATATGGGATAAGCAGAAGGAAGTTAATCATAATAAAACAATTTAGAGAATACCTTCACTAAGAAACATGTTCAGAACATTCAAGAACCGTACAGAACTTTCTAAAGCACATATTGAAAATTAGTCCCTGCACCTCCCCAGTGATTTTTTTTAAACTTTTAGTTGTATTAAATTCACCTTACCACTTTTATCTGCCAGACCTCCATGGATTACTCTTGCTATTGTAATATCACCTGTCAGCTCATGGCGTTTAATGGTGGCACCCTAAGGAAGAGGAAGAAAAGGAAGAGTTGCTTCCTACTGAACAAATGAATAAAAAGAGAAGAAGGTACACACTTGGTGAGTAGTGGTATACAGGAAGTCTATAGCCTGCTAGATATATTAAGATTATAGCTTCCACTTTATGTACTTCCCTGCATTCATGTGCCATAAAATTAAGCTTGATTCTGGGGACTTATTAGAATCCGTCAATGTTGTTTTCAATGTTAATTTCAATACAGGTAGTTCTTGACTTACAACTGTAATGGAGCCCAGAATTTCTGTCATAACTTCTTGTAAGTTGTAACTCTTGTGGGTTGTAAGTCGAGGCACCCACATGACTGGACCTGATTTTACAGGGGGTTTTTTATGGCGATTGTTAAGCAATTGCCACAGTTAGGTGAATGTGATGCCCATAAGCAAACACTGTGGTTGTTAAGTGAATCCATCTATTTTTATGGGTGTTTTTGACAGAATCCCAAAAGGCCAGAAACTGACAAAAAAGTATAAATCATGGTCACATAACCACGGAATATTCAAACCGTCCAGAAACGTGATCCAGTTGCCCAGTGCCCAAAATGCAGTCATGTGACTGCCCAGTTTTATGCAGCTGTTGTATGCAGCTTTTGAAGAGTCTGTGGCAATTCTGAACAGTCACTGAGGGACTGTTCATTAAGCAAGGACTATCTGTACAGGATTGGTTCGCCATAAATTTTCTTTTTTCCTGTTCCATGGAACTAATGGTTTTGCTTTAGGTGACATAAGCAAATGATACAATCTGACTAATTAGTTCATTATGCAGGTCTGCTTAGATGTGCTTAGATGGACCTGTGGCCTTAGTCTCAGATAAGTAGCACAAAATGCTACCCGTAAATATCTTTCCCTCAAAAAAGAATTACACTAAACATCAAATAGGGCAGACTGCTTTTTAAACGTTTTCTTCTTGTGAATTCAACAACACATCACGGTTGTATCCTATACTTTTTCATATTTTAAAACAAACATAAATGAGTAAAATAAAAATTCTAAGATGGGAGGAATGGGGAAGGGATAAGAACTGCCCTGTGAGAGTCTGTGGAGTGGTAAACTTGCCATACTCTATCTAAGATGACCAGTTGCCCTGAAGGACTAAGAAAATATAATACAAATGGAAACACAGCAAACAAACTGAATGAATCTAATTAAAACTAAAGTGAAATTGAACATTACAAGAGGTTGATTGTTTTTCACCAGACAGACAATCCTCATAGCCTCTTCATTTTCAGGGAGGTTTTCTGTCAAGGGTGGAAGCATAGGTTCAAAATCCTTCTGGGCCACAGTATCATGAGCTAATAACAAGGCCTGTGAGAAAGATTAAACACAGAGATGGGGTAAATAAATGCTAGGTCATTTTTAATGGGAATGCTTGGGTGTAAGAGTTACAAGATAATTTCAACCTAACAATTATTATTATTATTTTTGTGTGTGTATGTCCATTCAGCCCAAAAAATTTGAAGGTTTTTTTTTTTTTGGGTCTAGCATACAAACCTCACAAAGTTCAAATATAATTAGACCGCTTGAATTGGAATATGAAGCCAGATACTTAATGTAGTATTTCCTTTTTCAAATGTCAATACAATGGATTTGTGTTAGAAAAAAACAACCACTCCTTGTGCTAAAAGATTTTGGTAGCCTCAAAAGAGACCCTCACGTTTTATAACAGAGAATCAGGGATCTTCAAATCAACTTTAACTCTGCAACTTATGGAGCTTAAAAAAGCTTTTTTCAAAACATACTTAAGTCTCATTCAAACATTAAGTAGAAAGCACAGAACTGTATAATTTTAAAAGGCAGATGGAAAAATTATGTATTCTCCTTTCTCAAAAGCTCCTTACATAGAAAACAGTTGATTGGCAAGAAGAAGGCAAGCTGAACTCTTTTCCAAAGGCTTTGTGGATGGATGGGGCCAGTGTTTCCATAGATGACAAGATCAGAGTGTGCTGCTGTTCAGCTCTCCAGGCCCATGGGAAAAATCTGTGATAATTGAGGGTTCCTTTTGCAAAAGAAGGGCAAATATCCCTTCCTGCAATTGTTTCTTCTCTAGCCAATAAAAGGAGCCAGATTGGACTCTTTTTGCTAAAATGTTCTTCAGGGAAATATAGCTCCCAGTACCACCTAATGTATCTCAAGTGATAAAATCACTGGTCTGGGCCAATACTCAGCTTACAACAATGCATCTTAATAGTAAAGGATCTTCTATTGGAGACATTTCTCTTCCATGCTGAAGAATTTCATAGGCCAATATTCACCTTGAAGTGAGGACCTTGTAGAAGTCGTCTTAGCTCTTTAATTTCTGGAGATTGTTGTCCTCTATGCAGCAACTCCACTACCTATGAACAAAAGAAGCATACTTCATTTTGAAAATATATAACTTAAACTATTGTTTAAATAGCACATTGACGGTTATAAAATACAGTTATGTAAAACATAAAGGACAATTTGGTGCAGTGGTTAAGGTTAAGAAACCAGAAGACCATGAGTTCTAGTTCCACCTTAGGTATAAAGCCAGCTGGGGGACCTCAGGCAGGTAAACTTTCTTTTAGCCCTAAGAACTAAGCAAGGACAACCCATTTCTGAAAAAGAATTTTGCCAAGAAAACTGCAAGGAGTAGTCCAAGCAGTTACAAGGAGTCAACATCGACTCAAAGCTATTTTATTTCTGTGGAACTTGTAATATTGAAAGCAAAAACTAGGCATCAGGGAAACTGCACTTAATCTCAACTCCAGCAATCTCACCTCATGCATCAATTCTTGTGCCTGGGACATGAATGGGACAGGTCTTCTCTTGATATACTGATGAAGGCATTCATACACCTAGAAAGAGATGAAGTTAAGATGTTGCTGTCACTGTGCAAGGTCACAATGTTAGAAACTTGTTACATAATGCAAAAGCCCGACTCTCTCCTCATACAAAGCAATGTGAATGGGCCAGGAATCAAGCCCAATTTTCCTCAGTACAAATTTACAAATATATGAGAATGATCTTTGGGGAAAGAAACACAGACTAGATAATGTCAGATAAGAAGAGCTCAGCATGCAGAAGAAATGGGACATAGTAAAAGTCTTTGAAGGGACCTTTCCTAGTTTATTGGACTGTAAAAGTTGTGGGGGAGGGAGAAATGTCCTGTCAGACTTGTAAGTTTCTGTTAACGTAACCTTATAATAAAGTTAGAATTAGTAATTCTGGATGTACCTCTTATCTGGACTACCTCATAAAGTTGACAGTATGCCTCTTCGACATACTGTATACTGGCATTGAGCACTGAAGTGACTTAAATGTATTCTGTTCTTTGTCCTAAACTGTTACCAAAGTATGCTTCTTGCATGACTTGCAAAGCGAAGTAGAAAGTTTTTTTTTTGTTATAAGATGATAGGAACAATGGCCATTAAGAAACATTTATGGTACTGAACCTTATAAATGTAAAAGGTTAGAAAGGAAGTGAAAACCAGAGAATCAGGTTGTCTTATTTTAATACTGTTCCATGTAAGACCATGGAAACATGGGTTTAAGAAATGCAAAAGAAATTGATTTCTGCCTAGTTTACTACCAAACCATTCATAGGTAGTTTAATATCTAAAATTTGAGTTAGGCAAAAATTAAAATGGGTTTATACTATGGAACTGTAATAATTATTTGTTTCTGAAGGTAAGAATGGAATAAGCCTTCTGTCATTTGTTTTTGCAGCCCATTCAATGATAAAATAGTTAAAGTTAGAAATTCTTAAAAGCAGAGAAGTCTGTTTCTGTGCAAAATAACCAAGGGAAGGCACAAAATTTGCAGCTGTTGCTTTTTGGAAGAGATTTTACCTTTAGAAGAGCCTGCAGCCATGGAGACCTGAGCAGTTCATATAATACACCATCAATATCCTTCTTGTCAAAAAAGTTCATTTTGTGCCGGACCAAAGACAGAATGTGTCATAAACCTAACCCCAAAAGACACATCAGTGATATGACTTCTACAGGGTATTTATACAAAGATCTTTTATTATTTGGACAAAAGATAAATTAAAAATTATAGCATGACAAACAGTTCCTTATCCTGATTATAAATGTTTTTTTTTTTGTTATAATTTGTGTTTTGGATTAGAAATGTTCTAATTTAATGGCATGGTTTGAAGGTATATATGTACCCTAAAAGTGTATGTGAACCCTGCATTTTTTTCAGGCCATAATCAAAATTGGGAGACTACAGTATGTTGTAAATCTTTTTTTTCCCTTAGTATTTATTTATTTATTTACAAGGCTTGCCAAAATTAAAACAGACATAAATGTGTGATAAACTGACTTCCCAGTTATGCAAATTGTCACTTTATTCTGCTATCCTACATGGTGCAGATGGCAGTTGTTACTAGGAGGGCCTTTGTGCAACTTTGAGTTGTTGCTCCAGTTGCACCCATTCCTGGACTGGAAGGCTCTGCTCTCAGGTACTCCCACCTTGGTCACCTCCTGAATGGACTGTTGTAATGTGGTCTACATGGGGCTGCCCATGAAGAGTATTCAAAGGTTTCCATGGGTACTTAATGCTGCAGTGCAGGCAGTTATGCATGTTAGGGTAACGCATGTTGTACTCTACCTCTAATTTGCAGCCTACATTGGCTGCCAGTTTGCTTCTAGGTCCAATCTGAGGTGCAGATTTTGACTTTTAAAGTCCTACATGGCCTGGGACCAGGTTATATGTGGAACTGCCTCTTCCCAATTACATCTACCCATCCCATCAAATCTGGGAGGAGTGAAGTATGTTATGGGTCATGAGTCCTAAGGGTTCCATCTGATGGGACCCAAGAGACTTTTTTGCTGCTGTGGCTCCTGCCCACTGGACTATCATCCCCCCACTCCCTGTGGAGAAATTAATCCCATTCATACCGGCCTTCTGGAAAGTCCTTAAAACATGGTTTTTCCAGCAGGCCTGGTAATCTTTGGAGACAGGGAGATTGCAAAATGCCTTTTAAACACTCTTCTGTGGTCTTGTTACATGTTTGTTTTTTTAATGGTTATTTTAATATGTTTTTATTATTTTGTTTTTACTGTACATCACCCAGAGTCACATTCTTGAAATAGATAATTGTATGAATTTGATAGCTGGCTAGCTAGATAAATCTAAATAAGGAAAATAATAGCTGCTGTTATAATGATTTCTCTCTCTCTTTTTTTTTTTTAAAAAAAAACCAGGCATTTATTTTAAAAAATGGAATAAATGAGTGGACTGTACCTTTTTCCTTGCTGTGCAAAGCTGCAACTCTGTGCATCTTACTCATTCTTGGAAATTCTGCTAGTTTTACTGGATGGATCATCTGCTATGTAATTATCAGAAGCCTAATTAGAAAGGAGACAAAAGATCACTTGGAGGACTTCAAATAGTTAATTATTAAAATATTTCTATATGAATACATACCTGTGTGAATAGAATAGAATAGAATAGAATAGTTCTTAAGCTCTCAATATACGTTCGAACAACAAAGTAATAATCATAAGCAGAAGGTAGAGGAAAGATGAGAAGGGTAATAGTAATACAGCCTTACTACATGGATAAATATCCGTAGACATAAGACAGTGCTGTGGGAATTAGGTGTTCAGCAGAGTGATAGCACAAGGGGAAAAAGCTATCTTTGTGTCTAGTTGTTTTGGTATGCAATGCCCTTTAGTGGAATAGAATACAAAATAAGAAATAAAACAAAATAAACCAAATTAAAATAATAAAAAAGAAGCAATAGTTCTGGAAATTAATTTAAAGCATAAATGCATACAACGTTCTCCAACATATAACTATTCAAATGAACAAAGCCCTAATGGAGTTTAAATGGCAGACAATACAGGTGGCATTCTTTTCCTGAGGTAAAGCTGCTGAGAATCTGAAATGTCTTTCTTTCCCAATGTACCTCATTTCTTCCCCTCATCTCACTAGACTTATTTGGAACATCATCTCACAGATAACTGAGGTTATCCAGCAGTCTGCCAGCAGCTTTAATCAGATCATTGTTTCTCAACCAGTACTATACTCTTTCCGCCATAGGCAACTCCCCTCTTCTAATTGGGAAAGAACCAACAAGAGACAAAGCAAGACAAAGGGGGGCAGTTTATAGAAATATCCATGAGGGATCCTCAAAAGTCAAAATGGCTACCATGACTATGTGATCCAAAGTCCTTTTTACACATACCTAGACATAAATAAAAAGGGATTTGACCACAAACCTATGGCACGCGTGCCAGAGGCGGCACTCAAGCCCTCTCTGTGGGCACCCGCACCATGCCCTGGAGATGGCAACCGTCCCTCTTCAACCAGCTGCCTGCTAACTCACCGAGGTCCTACATGGCCAGATGCACCCCAGCATGGCTGGTTTCCCTCCCCTCTGTCCCGTCCCTCCTGGCCTCACATGCTCTCCTTTTCCCGGGCACGACCCACTGCATTACCTCCTCAAATTGTCGGCTATCCATCCAGCTCAGAGGTGGCTTCTCTGCTGGTGGTAGGCTGCGGAGCCCCAGAGTGTGCCGGTTGAGGGGCCAGCAGGCTATGGCTGCTGACAGACACTGTCAGCCCCCATGCGCTTGGTGGCCTCTGTGTGCGGGGGTGATGGTGTCGGGTAGCAGCCATTCCGATCCCTGCCTCGCCTTGCCCTGTGACAATGGCACTCCTGCCTTGCTTTGCCTCACCCCGCAGGACGAGCCTCCTGCCCACGGTCCCATCATACCCACCTTGGCCACACCCATCCAGTCTGCCATGACCACCACAGCCACGCCCACCCAGTGGGCCATGCCCACTTGGCACCCAGCAATCAATAAGTAGGTTTTGGGTTGCAGTTTGGGTACTTGGTCTCTGAAAGATTCACCATATAGGACTTGCTAATATTTAAGATATAAAAGATTAAGAATTATTTTAGATTCTTAGAAAGCCTTTAGTTTTGTTCTGATTATAATTAGTGAACATTTAATGTTCACAAATTATAATCAGAAGAGAACTAAAGGCTATCTAATAACCTAAAATAATTCTTAATCTTTTATATCTTAAGCACTTAACCATTTAATATTTTAACTGAAGTTCAGTATATAGCTATGCATATGCAACTTTTCATAGATATCTCTTTATATTTAATTTTTAATAACTTGATTTAAAAAGATTGATGTTATGCCCTTCTACATTAAACAATTTTGTATTTAAAAAGAATTTTTAAAAATCTTGTTCACATGAAACCTGATTTCCCTTGTGTTATACTTGTATTAACCTTAATCTTGCATGCCTTTGCCATAAGAAGAAAGTGTTCTTTTTTGAATTATGCCAGAAAATGGCAGACAAATGGACAATTGTGTCAATTTACAATAGTGAAGTTCCATGTATAGAAGCCTAAAAATATAGAAGCCTAAATATTACAACAGGTATATCAGAAATTACAACAGGTATATCAAAAGAAGGGATTGCATTTTCAAAAGAAAAAAAGCTGATGTTTTTGACCCTGCATAATATAAATATATCTTGAACACAACCTCTGCCTTTGGAGTCTTCTGCAAGCATACAAACCAACAGCTGAGCAATTGCATTAAAAAAGAAAACAAGAGGATTTGCTGTTTCAGCCACACAGAGCTTACATTGTCTAGAGACATTTAGAAAAAAAATAATTTCCATGCCTCTACATTTTTGAATAAAATGTGTAATACATGAATTCATGTTTGTGTGGGAATTATTTGGAAATAAAGAGCAGCAAACAAAAGGCTACATCAATATTATCTCAAAAGTATGACTGCACAAAACATTTTATTGTACAAAAAAACAGCCACATATTCTTTTTTTTCTATTTTCTTTCCTTTTTCTTTACAAATTCTAGATGTTTCTTTACAAATTCCAGATATTGAAATAGCTCTATATATGCAAAATCTCCCTACTTAAATCAAATATTAAATATGAAAAGTTGTAAAAGAACATTTGAGATTCAGTTTGCAAATCCTACAAATCAAAACTCATACAGAACAAAAGAACAAAATAGAAAACTCTGATGGGATTCTTTCATTCATCACATAATAACTCCAAAGTTAATATTTTTGGGGGGCAAATCATAGTCTCTGGAGAAAAGTTTAGCTAATTTCTTGGTCCTTGGTTTGCTAAAATGGGTTTGATTCTAGTTAGAAACTGCCAGCAATTAAATGAGCCTCTGGTCTAAAATCCTTTCATCCAATAAAACATGAACCTGTTGCTGCATAAATTAATTGTAAACAAGATATCATTCCAACTAAGCAGCCATCAGTAGGAAATATATCTAACTGTGCTAGAAAATCCCAGAAAACAGTACCCAACCAGCAAAAATAATGCCAACCTGGAATAAAATACGCTGTCTCTTGTCTTCAGATTTTCCAAATCAAGGTAGCAGCCCTTTTCTCTGGATTGTTCTGCTGATGGAAAACTTTAGTAGAGCAGGATATATATTAATCTTCTTACAAGAAAGGAAGGATGATCATTTTTACTGTCCCTTTTTTGAACCTTTATTTAGAGCAGTCTTTCTTTCTTTTTCTTGTTGAATTGGATGCTACCATGGAAGAGATAGCTGAAAAAAATAGAGTGGAGGAAATGCACTAGGTGTGCCTGATTAAGTCTAGCTGTCCAGTGTCTAAGAAGTAATACCATAAGATGACAAATCACTACAGAAAGAAGATCAGCGAAGGGGATCATCTGACAGAGGCAGAGGAGCAATTTGAATGCCTGAAGCTGAAAGGAAGTGCAAGGATTTAGGCATAGAAATTATGTAACTCAGATTACTAGTACTTAGCTCTTAATCTTGCTTCTCTAAAGAATACAGGAAGGGGGAGGAGTCTTTCAAGTGAAAATATTTTTTTTCCCTAACAAGGGAGAAAGACATACATTTTTAGGTGGTATCAGTTAGATATAGCCTAAAGAACAAACTTCAGTAAGAAAGCTGGCACTTCTGCTGTTAGACAAACTCCCATCAGTCTCTAGAAGCAAGAAGTCTGGAGGATGTTTTCTATTTGCACTTTAAGACGCTTCCTTATTGTAAGATGATATCAGCAAAATTGGTTGGTATTGGTATTCAGCTTAACATTATATACTGTACATTATGGTGAGATCAATGTGGTCAACTATGTATTTATTACAGTGTATATGTTCAATCCAAACAAGATTCAATACAGCTAAACTAAAATACCGGTAACCATTAGGAGAAACACAACCCTCAACTTGCTAATGCAGCATCCCCTCCTTGATTCCTTCCTTGGCCCATACATTGTTACCAATCCCTAAGATTCCTTATTTAGTCAAAATGATAGAGTAGATAGTATTGCACCCAATAAATTGCAGATGTAGTTTGTCAGAACATGCACAGTCTTATTGTGCTGAAGTAAATACAGTAAACAGTGGTTTGTATTAAATGGTGGTTTATATTACACTATCTACAATATACACTAGAAACAAGATAAATACACATGGTGAAACAGCGAACTCCAATACATAGCAATTACAGCAGCCAAACGACTAGAAAGACTCCAGCAAGGCCTTCCCTTTTATATTCAAGCTCTTAAAGGGATACAGACTCCTTCTGAGTCATTCCTAACATTGCATCTTTCATTTCACATTATACAAGCTGGTTAGCTTCTAAATCATTACCTTGACATACTTAAATGAAACAGCTTTGCAGGATCATTTCATTCTAGCCATATCTAGTTTCATCACCAAAACTGCCCTGGTTTCCCTGAGAAATGATCTGTACTAAAAGTGGGTATTCCTGTTGATTTCTCAGGGCTGTTACTATCATATCTTTTGGATGGAAATTGGGAACACAGTAAGATGGTCCTTGTGCTCTTGAGCTTATTTCTACAGAGCAGCACTGCTTTGTCCACCTGATATTTAGTTGTGGAATGCTATAAGTTTCTCTTGGGCTCTCTGCAGCACACAAACTTTCAGAAATTAGAGCAATGAATAGTCAGGATACAAAAAAATATCCAGTTCTCCTTTTCCATAGTATCTCTAGTTGTTGAAACAGTGAAAGCATTTGACCCATACCTGGAAGCAAGACAACAATAAAGAAACTGAAATTGATCAAACAGAGGTACTATAACTGACACTTTAAGTGTCTGAGGTATTGGAAGACAGCTCATTCTAGACCAGTATTATTCAGATTGGATCCTGTAACATTATCCTGGAACACGTATATTTGCCTTCTTTCGCAGGATTATTCTTTCAATGAAGAGTGCATAGTTTGGAGTTAGTACTGGGTCATCTTGATCACCACCTTATTCACTCTTCTATTTAAGCACAACCAAAGGGATAGAGACACCTCTATCTATGCAAGAGCCTGGCCATTTTTTTTCTTTCCTTGTTGGATTAGCTCAGATGTGTCAATCTAAATGATGTTCTAGACAGGTTTGCACTTCAGCAAAACATATGTATTCGAGTTCCTGAATGCAGAAATTTACTACCATTATTTGCTATTTACCAGATCTTTGAACATATTTAATATAAGCTTCATTCCACTAAAAAGAAATTGATTCTTCTTGAACTGAAGATCCTCTGACTTGAATGCTCCCCAGAACATAGCTGCAAATAGATGAAAAGCATCTGATTTCTGGAGGGAGAGTAGTTCTTTGAAACTAGGTGTTCCTATGCCTATGAGAGACCATATCCATTCTATGCATGTTTTGGTGAATGCAAATTCAGAACGTTAAAACTTCAGAGCAGTGTGTACAGCTTTCCTAGAAGTAGAGGTCTACATTTTAATTTTTTCAAATAGCCTTCCAGGGCCATAGAAAATATAGCCAGGTGCAGAGGCTTAAGTGTTCTATTATCAAGCCTCGTCTAGCTGCTGCTTGTAACAACAAAACAAGCTAGATTTTTGCAATATTATTGACCAAACATATTGAAAGGGATAAAGGGGATAAAAAAAACCTTGGCAACTGGATAAATTACCTTTCTCTTTACATTGGGTATGGATTTCTTGATCCATTTACTAACCACCTGTTGATTAATGAGAAGGTAGTTCTCAATTTCCTGACAAAATAAGAATATGTAGAGGCTATTTTTGTTTGGTAAAAAATTCAGAGTTTTCATCAATAAATACTGGTAGCTCATCTCAGGGTGATGTGAGGAATTACAATATGAGAATCCACACATGACCTGTGGATCCCAGATTACCCACCCCTATTCTGTATACAAACATTCAAACATGTATACTGTTAACATTCAAACACTTCTCTGCTCTAATTTTTTGTGTATTCAAGCTCAAAATCTGCATTGGAGATCTAGACTAACTCATATGTTTGTAACAGCTAACATAACGCATATGAAATATTCTTTTGTACAACTACAGAATTCTGCACTTCCAAAAATAAATTTTATTTCTGACAGAATTCACATATTTACAGCTTTTAATAAAATTCATTGGATTAAAGCCCAAGAATTCAGAATTTAGTTTTTTTTTTCTGCATACCTAGTCCTACTTTAGTCATGAAAAACAAGCTGAATGACTTTGGGCCTTCTTAGTCCAACTCACTTCACGGGGTTGTTGTTGCAGAGAAAATAAGAGGAGGGAGGAGTATTAGGTATATTCACAACCTTATTTATAATAATAATAAAGGTGACATATAAATAAATACATTTTTTAAAAAAATACAGAAGCACAAATGTTAGCACTTAGGCTAGATCCCTTGACTATGTGCTTGCTTATTATCAAAACATGTTACAAATAATAGCTAGGTTAATTGCATTGATTCTTTTTGGCAGCTTTCTAAATTTTTGTGAGTCCATGCCCTTAATGGAAGACTGGCTCAATTTTTTTTGTGGTCGGTGGCTACATGTTTTGATTATTAAAAGTTCACAGTACACCTAGCAGTGCTGCAATGTACCAGGCAGCCTGCAGATACATTTTGAGGCTTTAGGGGATTCTGTCATGGGGACAAAACAACACGGGTTGCGTTCCTTTGCCGGCATTCCACATTGCTCCTGAGACAAAGAAGCCGTAAACCCCAAAAAAGCCTCAAAATGGAAAACAATCCTGTAGGATTGATTTTTATTTACTTTAGTGATTGGATAGCAAACTATCCTGTTAATGCAGAAAACTCACATTGAAATGATTACATTTCCAAAAAGCAATTTATATATTGCAACAAAAGCCATGACAGAATTAGTCGTATTTTTATTATGAAAACAGCTTCATTTATAATTACAGGTTCCACCAAAATGTATTTTTAATAAAAGAAGTTAACGCACAAGCATGATTCTGATGTCCAGAAGTTATTTGTATTGAATATTATTAACTAAATTTAACCAGGGGAGTATTTCTGATATTGTAAAGAACAGCACCTGTTTCATCCAGAATGAGAGCTACCCATACAAGTCAAAGAAAAAGTGACAAGAACAATGACATAGAGTTGCTGGTAACAAGGTTTCCTTCTGTCAAACGGCATTGCAGAAATAGCAGTTCAAAATCGCATAATGATAATACTTCAATCCTGAGAGGACATCTTTAGTAAGATTGCAGTTTTATCATTCTGTAACATGAAGTCCACCATTGTCAAGTAAACCATTCCAACTGTAGCTTATAAACTTCATTCATCAAGGCTTAGAAGAAATAAGAATTCTGTAAACATTTTTAATATTAAATTCAGTGCTGACTTCTACAATGACCAATGTTCCTTGATGTTAAATACTAAGCTCCCCTTAACACCTCCCCCCCCTAAAAAAGTAAAGAAATATTAGCTCCCACATATTTAACACTTTGGAATGAGTAAATCCAACAGATCTTGATTTCACGCAAGCACTTGTACTTCTATTTATAACTTTACAGAGAGGATTTTTTCACAAACTATTTTTTTTAGTAAGAAGGTTGTTTGTGTCAACTTTTTTTCCCAGTGACACACAAACCTAGGCAGCTTCTTTAAAAATAATACAGTAGTTCCATAGTGCATTTCAGTTCTTCAAAATCACAACATTTTCAACTTCTTCTGTGTCAAAAGCAGCACATTCCTGGATGACCTTTCTTTTTCTTGACATCCATGCAATTCTAACATTTTTTTCACAATGTAATTGCTTTCCGAATCTTATCTCTTTCTCTTTGATCTGACATCTTTGCTTTTTTCTGACCGTAATGACGACTATTTTCATTTGAAGTATTTCAGGGAGGATGAATAAAACTTAATTCAGGCGAGTCTTCCACATAAGGCAAATGTGTTAGGTAAGCTTTTCATGCTGAATCTGGTAATAGCATGCCTAGAAATAAAGTTTTGAAAAATAATAAGCAAATATATCTGATTAAATATACTTTAATCTGCCAATAGTAAGAGGATTATAAAATTATAAAACAATGAAAAATAAAATGCTAAATATGACTAATAGAAAAGAAAACAAAAAGATTTCCCCAAAACATGTTTAGGCATCTATCCCAGTAAATATAAGTAAACAAAGCCAAACCCAGAACTATTCAGGAGGAAAGGAATAACTTAACCTACTATTAAAAGGAGTTCATAGTAGCAGTCACGCATGCCATAAAGGAAGGACCCAGAGGGATCCAACAATTAAAATGGGGGGCTCTACTTTTTATTTACTCTCTAAAGACTATGCAAAGTATTTGGAAAAGGTCCTCCAGCAGAATACATTTCTTCTTTTAAATAAAAAAAAAAGCTCCCTAAATGCAGATATTCAAGCCTTATGCTGTCCAGGACTTAAAAATTAGTATCATGTAGGCCAGCATAGTTGATAAAACACTAACATT